TTTGCTTTTAGTGTTGTACCACAGTTCCTTCATTTAAGAAAATACACTATAATTGAGATTTTAAGAACTGAGTCTCCTGTCAGTGTGTTTATTATATTTCTCACATGTACGACTTTATGACTGTCCACTAACTCTGTATACTTCTATTTCTATCACTTTCTACCAGGCTGCTAATGCAGGGAAGTCTCTGTTCTTGCTGTACGCACTAAAGCGCTCCCCTCGTCTTACACTCTTCTATTTGTATTTATTCGACTACTCGGAAACCTTCCTGCCCTTCCTCCACACCTGCTGTCCGGCCATCACACACATCGACCGCTCAGTGGAGAGCAGCTTCCTCAACACACAGGTGAGAGACTAATACAGTATCATTAAATCTTCAGTAAGAAGTAAATCAAAGTAGGTGCATTCATATACACATGATGTTCCGGTTACTGCTCATAGTCAGAGTAAGATGCTGCTGTGATCATTAACATGGCTTTAAAGGGTAAGGGTGGTGATATTTTATATTTTTATGGGGAAAGATGACCTGGATCCAACACCACTTTTTCTGTCAACAAATTCTATTAAAAGACCAAAACCAACAACGATTCAGTCAGTTTCTTAATATTTTTCCCTTCCCTGTCAGTGTCTCTCAGCCTTACGCCAGTGTGTTCCTACTGAAGATCTTTAAAATGGGTCACAAATAGACACTTTCATTTAAAAAATAGAAGATAACTTTGTAAAACAGCCGGGTTGGTTCAGCTTAATAATTTATTACAGTATGTAGTGAAAGAGAGGTGATGGATCCAGGTCATCTTCCACCATGCTCTTCTTGACACATAAGTAAAATAATACAATTATAATATTATATATTAACAGTAACAGTAAAAGTAACAGTAACTTTTACATTATTAGATTTTTGTAATTGTTAAAAAACTGTCATCTTTTGTTTTTTATGATGTTCCTGTATTTGTTAGTTGGAGCCCAACTGGCGGCAGTGGGCAGAGTTTCTCGTAAAGTACCTCCTGCTTCCATACCAGCTGATAGCAGAGTTTGCTTGGGACTGGCTGGCCGTCCACTACTGGACATCTCGCTTCATTATTGTTAACACCATGCTGCTGTCTGTGCTGGAAGGCTGCGCCCTGTGGAGACTCTGGACGAGAGCCAGGATCAGGTAGACACTGGGGTTTTTTTTTCCTACACACAGTTACATATATACATTTTTCCACTACAGTAACAATCTATATCCTGGAGCTCCCCATAACCTAAATATAAAGGCTTTCAGACGAAGAGTAGGGCGTTTCCACCAGTTTGGAGTGGAACCACTTTAATCAGATGTGTTGCACAATGCATAACAACCTGTAGAAGATGACACGCCCACAACAAACGGTTCAAAACTAAGTGCTTTATTGGAACAGAGCCCTGGTCAACATGCATGGCTCATTGCTGGGTTTATGGGTCAGCTTACTGTGGCACTCGCTCTGTGACCATGGCAACCACGGTAACAACAGACAGGTGAAAGATATAGCGACTGATTTACTCTGAATTCCCTGAATTATAAATCAGCAGACACCAGACAGATCGATGTAATCGGATGCGTCAAACAGCATGGGAGCAACAGCAGCGCCAAAGTCTGGTTATCCGGGGTTCATGATACATGATACCATTTCTTCTATTTAAGCTACAACCTGCTATACTTAGCCTTGTGTTGAGATTACATTATGTAGATAGTAGCAGCCTGTGGTGTGCAGGCTGGTAGGATTGGAAATGCATACTTGTACTGAGAATGAGAGATGATTTGCCAAAGAAACAGTGCAAAACATTATTAGAGAACGGTGTCAAAATATTTTCAGTTCATTATTAAAGTGTGGCATCGGAGGTCAGAGAGGGAACGAGAGCACACAGATTCTCTCCTGACTCAGAGAAAGTATCTGGTAGGGAAATATAATAATGATTGCATAATTAACTTTAAGTGCCTCTCACGTAACTCAAGGACCCTTTACAGTGGAAGTGGAAGAAAGTGGCGAACAAAGAACGCTAGCATCCTCCAACCAGCACAGATTAAAGATTAATCTCTCAAGCTTTTGTTTCTGTTGCCTTTGTTTAAAGATTCCTACACTACTTGAACATTACAGGCTAGGAATGTAACAATAAGTCAAATTATGACTGAAAAAGATTCCTTTATTCCTTAGACAGAAATCTACTAAATATATTTTCTCCTTTTTTATTTCTGCGGTGGGGTATAAACTGAGTAAAACAATGCACTTTTGCAAGATGGTGCATTCTCGGTTTCACCTGCAGCCGCCTTTGTGCCTTCTTACAGCTACTGACACCGAACCAAGTCAGCAGTAGTTGGCGTCCTCAGCTGTTTAAAGAGTATCACAACTGATTTAACTGTCTTGCAGTATATTGTTACATCCTTTATTAGAGGCATATGTAATAATTAAGTTTAGCTACATGTTAAGTTAAGCTGCATGCACTTAAACACTAACTGGTATCTTCCACTTTCCTTAGGTCTCTGCCACGCAAGATGTGGAACCACTTGTGGAAGATGTTATCTCAGGGGTTTGCCTTCGCCCTCCTGTGGCCTTTTGTCCCTCAGTTTGTGTGCAACTGCCTCTTCTACTGGGCTCTCTACTTCAGTCCCATTATTAATATAGACTTGGTGGTGCAGCAGCTAATGCACCCAGAAACACAGGCACCGTAACAAACTGCATGTAATCAGTGCCCAATTAAATACCGTACAGTTCACAGCAAACATAACAGCCAGAAATCCGGTTGCTGAGGAGGAGAAGTGTTTTTTAGCAGAAACAATCACATGAAACTGGCTTATTTGCTGCTGGAAAGGAAGTTTTCTTGCTTCCTGTCTTGTTTCTCTGCTGGATGGTTGTGCCATGTGGAACAAGAAAGGCACTGAGCTATTGTAGGAGAAACAAAATCAACAAGATGAGAAACAGCTGAATATCCGTGGTGTTATTGATTAGGAGATATTACTGCAGTGATCTGTCTCTCTGCGTCCTCAGTGCATTCACAAACCACATTGCCTAAATGGTCCAGAGGGCAGTTATGCAAATGATAAGTCGTGTTCCAACACTGGTGGTAGTAAAGACTGGCCTCATGAGGAGTTCTCTGATAGCTTTGTAGCACTGAGATGGGTGTAAGCTTTTTTTTTTTTAATGCATATACAGACTTGGCTGCTGAACAGGAATCAATAAATTAATTTTAGTTTTAATTAAATGTCTTAATGGCATGCAAGCCACAGCCAGCTAAAGCTCCAGTGTGTTACATTTCAGTTGATCTATTGATTCTATTGGAAGAAATATATGAATAAACGTATGTTTTTCTAGGCGAGTGGTTATCCAGTTACCATTGTTGCAGTCTGCAACTTCACCACTAGATGCCACTAAATCCTACACACTGGTTCCTTAAATGAACAGCTGCTGCTCTAAAAGTATCAGCTAGAATGAAAACAGTATTATAGTGAGTTAAATGTATATAAATCCTTATTCTGCATACATTTTGATGCGTTCTTCGGGTCTTCGGTGTGCTTCCAGCTTTGACTGCGATCTCGGTGCTGTGGAGCTGTCGGAAAATTCTCTCTCTACGAGGTTTGATAACACAATTGTGAAACGTGTCAATGCTGGGTTTTGTAGTTCTTGCAGACTGATGGGAACATGAGTTGAGTCGAAGGGAAAACAAAACCATCTCACAATAAATGCGGCACTTAGATTTGAAATATATGTTGAAAACATTTTTTTAGATGCTAAAAAAATATCTTTTCTAATTTTTATGATTTTTATGATTGTAGCAGATTTTATTTGCTGTTATGCTGACAAATATTGCTTTGCACATTTTTTTGTTTGCTGTATAAATCTTCATGTTATGGGTGATTGAAGCCAATCAAAGACTTTTTTTTTTTACATAGTTCATTTGCACTTAAACATTCTACACTGTGATTTTGTTCTTCTATGTTCTCTAATGACAAAGTACAAATAAAGATTTTTAAATAATGTTTCCCTGTTGTGTGGATTTGTTTTTCTTAGGATAGTAGTAGTAAATTTAAGAAATTAATTTTTATAAAGCTGCTGTATGTGCTTTATAAACATTATATATCTAAAATATCACCCATGTACTGCACCCGAGGAAAACAACACAGACAAGCTATTTGTCAATACCCTAACTTTCACTATATGAACTTAAAACACCTATTTTTAGCCTTGTTTTTAATTAAAATATTTCATGGCCATGATTTAATTGAATATACAAATACAATTTAAAAAGGCAAATTATACACAATAACTAAACCAGACTAAATACGATACAAGATAGAATAAAAGAAACAGAATTGAGACTAAAGGGCAATAAATCTATAATATGCACTGTTTGTACAATGATACAGTGATAGTACCCAGTAATATACTGTATATTCTTCTCAAATATTGCTAAAGGCTCTTGTCAGTGAGTATTTAACAGAATTATCCATACAATATATGGATAATTTACACTACATGGATGGTTGTCTTATCTAAATAGAGAGTGTAATCAATAAATATTTAATTCAAGTGAGCAGTATGTCATAGTTCTACCAGTAAACTTTCACTTTATAGTTATACTGTGTCATCATTAGACTGTCTGTGACCTGTTAAGTAGTTAATTAATTAGTGTAGTACTCATTTGAAAGTCAAAAATGTAAAATAATAAAGTTTGATTGATTAAAATCTGTAGCACGACCTCTATGGCGCCCTCTGGTGCCTAACAACCGCCATGGCAACAACGGTTGTCGCCATAACAACGTAGGGACTGTCTCAAAAGAGCACGCAAAAAAAAAAACTCCACATTAAATTATTGCGGTCGAATTCAAACATGATAATTATTGAAACTGGACCCATCCACATTTAACACAAGTCTATCCAAATATCAACCCTATTTTTTTTATTTTTTTGTACCTTGGTTACCATGGCAGTCTTAAACCAACGGCGCGTTTTCAAACCGCCCGAAGCACTTTACCCTCTCTCCCTTACGTCATTGTTGCGGAAGTGAAAAGTCTACGTGGGGAAGAAAGGTTGGTCTGACCGCGTTTGAAAACCTTACACACCAGCAGCGCCGATGTCCAATCCAGGTTAGCTGTGTGTCCCCCTTGCCGAAACCCGTCTTCCTCCCCCGCCCCCCGTTAGTCAAATGGACGCGGTGAGCAGCAGCCGGAGCGTATAAATGGGACGGAGAGCCGCCGACAGCCTGTAATGCTGCGCCGGGTGCGGCAGTCTCTCCGGCAGGTGCTGTTTCTGATGGCCCGGAGACCGGGTCTACTCTGCGGGGCTATCGTGCTCGGCGTCCTGCTCATACTGGCCGTCAAATTCACATGCAGGTAAGAGCAGCGTAACTAAAGAACCTCTTTTGTTTATATTATTGTTCATGTGAGCTTGTTTTTGTTTGTTTTTTTTTGTGATCAGGCGTATGTGAGACCTCCTAAACATTTTAACTGAGCGTACTTTTTTTGCTGAGAGATAATGTTGTTGTAGCACTAATACAGCGTCAATTAGCTCTTCCTTCTGTTGATCTAGTTACTGGGGAGCAATTAGGGTGTTCATTATGTTGAGCAGCTGATCTGAAACTGACTGTGTCCTGTAGGAGAGGATTAACTAATGCTTTAAACCGTTTAAACAGACCGTGGACGACCCATGTTTATGTATCATTCATTGAACACCACAGTGTTTGCAACCATTGCTCTGTAGTTAAAACATCCCTCCAGCTGTGGAGATGACAGCTGTGACTGAGGACTGAAACTTGCAGACACATCCTGCTCCTCAGCCAGTAGTGGTGGCTGACTTAAGTACAAGTATGAATGTATAACTAACTAAATCTGTGCAGCTGAAACAATTACTTGAGCAGTCAGGACATCACCTTCCTTTGGGAAAGTATAAAACACATTTTATAGAGCAAATGATGAACCCAAAAACTATTGACAGATTAATCGATAGTTGCCGATTGGGCCCTCCATTATGTTATACAGCTGAACTTATTATATAAAATATCAGACGTCCATCTCAAGTCCCGACCAACAATCCTAAACCAAAGTTTATTCAGTTTACAACAATAAAAAAATGTTTTGCTAAATAAATTATTTAAACTTCTACTAGTTGTTGCAATTGCTGGATGATTAATTTTCTGTAGGTCAACTAATAAATGAATTGATTAAATATTTTGAGCACTGAGCCATACAGACTTATCTCCCAGTGATCCCAGCAGTGGGGGTTAAAACCTGGGCGGACTGAAACTTGCAAACAAATGATCTCATGCTGCCTCTCGACCGTGGAAGAGTGCTTCACTCGACGCAGGTAACTTTGGTGTCAGCTTTTTTATGTTTTTGTGTCTGTCTTTCTGCAGCCGGGCTAAAAATGTGGTGGCAACAGCTCGGCCTCCGGTGCGGTTCTTCTCTGCCGAGGCCCCGGTAGTGGACCTCTACTTGGGTCAGCTAGACCAGGTGAGATTCAAGGACACACACCTGATGCAAAACACTTTTTTTTATGAGTCAGGCGTTCCCTCATTAGATATTTTAAAATCTGCTCGGTAGGCTACAAGTATTAGTCCCTGTTAGTGATCAGAATCAGAATCAGAATCAGAATTTTGTTTATTGCCAAGTAGGTTTTTCATGCCTACCAGGAATGTGACCTGGTGCAACTGGTGCATAAAATATGCAAATACAAATATACAAATATACAAATCACAGAAAAATCACACAGAAAAATAAAGTACTTTCAAAATATAAATAGATAAAGATAAGAAAGATAAGAAAAGAAAACTGTGCAGAAGACAGGGGTGCATTATAGTAATGCATACTAGATAGATAGATAGATAGATAGATAGATAGATAGATAGATAGATAGATAGATACTTTATTTATCCCAATGGAAATTCAAGCATACAAACATACATTCAAATGAAAATTAACCTATAATTAACCTATAACACATAAATTAAATTTAACCTGAGATAAATGTATAATCATATAGCGTTATTATCCAGTACATGTCAGTAACATTAACGTTTTTCTCTCCAGGTAGAGCGTCTCAGGAGTATGGCGGAGGTATCTCTAATCTTCTTCTATGCACCGTGGTGCGCTCACTCGATGGCTGCCCGGCAGGAAGTGCAGCAGGTAGCTAAGAAGCTGGCCAAGCAGGTACAGAAACCCGAGGACACAACAGGCACTCTGCAGGATTGTTTCAATACCAAATAGCAACCTTAACTGACGCCATCAGATTACCACTGACAACGCGGCAAGTGCTTGTTGTTATGGAAACATGCCAGTCAACTTACAAAAAACATGTTAGACACGTAGAGGAGTAAATATAAAGTTGTTAACTCGAATGTTTCTGACTGTTGTGGCGTAATTCGTCAGGCTCTGATGTTTTTTTATGTAGAGAATATAACACATGACTGAGATTGGTAACACAAACACTTCGTACCATATCACTGGTCTGGAAATGTTTTTTTTTTTTTCTTTGTTCAGCTCTTGTTTCTCTCTCTTACACAACTACAGGTGCAGTTTTTGGCTGTTAACTGCTGGTGGAGTCACGGGAAATGCAGGAGGCAAAACCGCTTCTATCAGTACCCGATCATCCATTTGTTTTATAGAAGGTAAGACGGAGAACGCTCATATTTGTATTTAACTAAAATGGTGGATTGTGAATAGGGTTAGGCGATATATTAAAGTTTTCCAACCAGCCATCATCAGTCCAGAAACCGGTGATTGTCGATGTATTCGGCGTGTGCGTCTGAATGTTAATGTGATGTGATAATTTTGTTGATATATCATCTAAACTGATACAACTGAGCTGTAACGAGGGAAGAGCCGTCATGTTTTTGTGTTTCTGTGTGTTTCTATGTTGCAGGTTTGGGCCAATAGAGTACAAGGGTCCATTAGTGGCTGCCTACGTGGAAAGTTTTATCCTCAGAGTCATCACACCGCTCACTTACCTCCCATCCAGAGCCACACTTGAAGAGTTCCTCTCCTGTCACGAGGTATTGTTTGCCTTCAGGCCGTCTGATGGAGAGTTGGCAGAAAAACATGAAGTCACGCAAGTTGCTAATATTGGCTTTCTTTAAGGAAAGACCTGAATGTTTTACTGTTGTTCAATTTACATAATGTGTGCCTTCTTTGTCTCTTGTGTGCTTCTACTTCTAGCCTCGAGTGGTGGGTTTCTTCCAGTTTCACTCCTCACCTCAGCCACCGGGGTACATCACATATCTGTCCTCGGCCCTGCAGGCCCTGAAAAGGGGTAAGAAGAGGTCACACAGCACTAAAACCAGTTTTGAAGTTTTAAATCATATCAAGTAGGTAAGATTAGATTAGAAATGGCCATGTTTTGGGTAACTTGGTAACTTGGTAACTTGGTAACAGCAGTGGGTCTGACTAATGTACAATGATGGGTAAAACACTATGTAGTCTTTTCTTTATCAAATGTGTGTAAGTGAGGATAGAAAAAACAGAAACAAAACTTTCTTCTGTTTTTCTGGTGCAGATTTTCGTGGTGTTGTTCGTTTTGGGGTCATAACAAACAAACAGGTGGCGGGGGCCATTTCACTCACAGAAGATGAAACCGTTTACCTTTACAGAAAATTAAACTCCTCTTTGGTAAGCAAAGTCATCACGCCGTGATAAACACTACATAAAACACTGGTTTATAGAATTGTAAGTAGATGCTGAATACATGTTACTGTTTTTTTAGGATGTATACTAAGGGATTGCACCGGTATTGCGCTGTATGTTTTCTTCTGTCAGATCTTCCCTCGAAGGGAGCGCAACTTCACATCAGAGGCCATCTGTAGCTGGGTGTTTGAACACCGCAAGACCGTCCTCCATTGGCTGCAGCCTCCAGGAACAAAGTCCCGCCTCCTGGAACATGAGCTGACTAAAGGTCCGGCACTGCTGCTGTTCCTGCCACACAATCCCCTCGGGTCCAATCCCAGTCCCATACTACAGCAGGTGAATTCAAATTTGCTCCATCTCATCTCTTTGTGTCGCTCACTTACCTCCAGTATTTGACTTTAATGCTACATTTCATACAGTGGATCTCGGCATGCTCGTCCCGAGATGGGTAGCCATCTTTGATACTGCCCTACTCTGAACAATCTAATGCTGTGGTTGTGTGCCACAGGGCTCAGTTTTAGGCCCACTACTGTTTTTTTTTATTCACATGCTTCTTCTGGATATTATTTAAAAAATATATTAATTAAAAATGTTTATGCTGATAATAGCAGTCTTCTCACTCTCATTAACTGCGTTGATGAGATTAAAGGTCCAGTATAACATTTAGGAGGGTCTATAGTGCAGAAATTTAATATAATATTCATCACTAACTTTTCTTTGGTATATAAACACCTGAATATAGGAATCGTTATGTTTTTATTACCTTAGGATGAGCCGTTTATATCTACAGTCGGCATTTTTGCGCTTAGAAGTGGAGGGTGAGGTGACTGAGTGCACAGATGCCACTAAATCCTACACACTAGACCTTTTAACAATTTCAAGGAAGCCTGACCACATCACTCTTATCTTCCATCACTGGCTACCAGTTAATTTCATTTTAATTTATTATTGCTGTGTTTCTTTTGTCTTTCAGGTTGCGGACATTGCTGTGCGTTATCATTCCTGTGACAACAATAACCACTCTAGCTTGGACAAAAGTTTCACCTCGCTTTGCTGCCAGTCAGTTCTTCTTCCAAAGTCCAGTACAAGTGTGTGTGAGGTGTGCCTCAGCTTGTCACAATCCATCCTGACCAGCTCCTCTGTAGGTTGCTCGTTCCCCTCCACGGCTCAGGGAGGAGACCTGCTGCATTCTTATCTCAGAAACTGCTGCCTGCACCAAGTGTCTGCACCCATGTCCATAAAAACCACAACCTTAGTGGTCTGTAGCAACTTTCTGAACAGCTACAGCCCATTTAGTCAATACAGTGCCTGCTGTAGAAAAGTAGAACCTCAACTCAATGATTCACAAGCCAAAGAGGAGCCAGACATGCAAAGAGTTCCCCTTACGCCTGCTTCTTCGTCCAGCCTTCCATCCTCTGGCCCTCAGCAGGGAGGAGACGGCATCACAGGGCTCCGATGTCGGACCAACAGGACGCTCAGGTTTTATGTGCTGGACGTTGCTCTGAACTGGCCTCTGGCGATGAGGCTTGGAGCAGCAGGCAACAGAAGTGCTCCTCTTCACCAGGAGGCTGATGCACAAGGGAATGGGAGCGGTGACGGGTCGTTTGCAGCTATTGTGAACCTGAAGGATGAGGTTCATTATGTTCTCCACCGCAACCCAGCAACCACACTGACAGAGTCTCTGGGTAAGACTAGGACAGTATTTCTTTCATATCACATGGTTTTATTTATTTATAACAGCACACACATTTCTCACCACCAATGTCAATTTCCAAAGTCACAAATATTGTTGAACACAGTCCCTCCTATGTGAGGATTTGCAATGCAGGTTGAAGATCCAGCGAGCACTTTGTCTGAAGCACTCTGACCCCATTACTCTTCGTACTATACTCGCCACAATTTCTGATGTCAGAATATAATGACAAATTGCAACAGGTTGAGTCACCACGGCCGTTGCACCCTAAAAAAAGAACACTCACTGAACAGTGAACACTCATATATACTGAAAATGGCTATTTTTTAATAGGTTATTAATAGGTTCCTTAAATCAGTTTTGCTTAAATTAAAATGTAGATTATAGATATATTGTAGTATTGTAGCCTGGACTGGGCTACTTGCTACTTGCTAATTCCACTAAGTTGGATGCAGCTAGTTTAGAAACACATTTCTGAGTTTTGTGTTGCCTCCTGTTGATGGACGTGGGTTTACTTCGGAAGGCACGAGCCTATATCTGTTCATTTTTGTGAAACTTGAATGGAATAATTATTGTAGTTACCATGTCTGTTGAGATTCACCGATTCTGTGCAAATTTGGTGCAAATTCTGTATATAACCAAAAAAACTAACAAAACAACAATTTTGCATAGTATACATATTAGCTGATGTGGCTTTGATTCATGGTCATTTACATACTGAACATTTGCAAAGGTAATGTGGTATGTGCTTCTTGATGCGCAGGCAGCGTTCACAAAAACACAGACTGCATGAGTGTTATTGTCACTGTCATTTAGTACAAAGACATTAAAAGTTACACTACACTACTACTGATAATTTCTAGTAATGGAAATAGTAAACCCTTATGTATCTCACATTTATTCACATGCCTTTAATACTACAGGTAAAGACTGTTGTGATGTTCTGTAACCTGAACACGTGTTGACTGTACTGAGTTTCAAGTATTTTGCCTTTTCCAGCACCTGGAAGCATGTCAGTGTGTTCAATATGTGCAAGATCTCTCTCTAGTAATAATATAATAAGTAATAATATGTATTTAATTATAATAATTAACTAACTGCTCACAAGGTCTCTGGCTACTGTTGCCACCATCTTGTTGCTGACCTGGTTTCACCATAATATCATTTAAAATTGGCTTGTCCAGAAAGAAATTAAAATCATCCTGAGGTCATTGTCTAGATTTCTAGAAGAACCCAGACGTTTTTTATATTACTTTAATTTAATAATCTTATTAAATAACTATAATTATTTGCCTTCTCCGTGCACTTTGGAGGTTGGTGAATTTGTGCCAGATATGCCTAGATTGCTAGAAGACCCCATTTAAGGGCTCTACAACAGTCTTTTTGTTGTCTCTTACGTTCTCTGCCGTATTTGAATATGATTCTAACAGTAATTCTCTGTTTTCATCGTGTATTAAAGAGGCCTTCATCAGGAACTTCAGTGCTCCGTACAGCCTCTTGCAGAGACACTTGGTCGGAGAAGAAGACAGCAAAAGTGGCGAGGGGGAAACCAGGCATCCAGACGAACACCAGCACTCGCCCCGGCGCCCCCTCATCACAGAACTGACAACCTCCACCTTCCTGCCTTCCGTCATGGACCTCCAGAAGGTGAGAAAAGACTGCTTCAATTCTTTTAAACCTTCAGCTATTAAGGCGTCGTCCCAAACCAGCTAATGTTGAATGGAAGTAGATTACACACAGACAGACTTATCATAGCCCAGTGAATATAGAAATAATGAAGTAATCCGCAACATGTAGTCAAGCTATACATATATATATATATATATATATGAAGCATATACCCATTTGAAGACTAAATACACCTCGGAGTGTAACTTCATGAGGAGGGACAGTGTGTGTGTGGAAGGGCTAGTGGGGAGCAGGGACCTTAGTGGGCTCACTGTTTGGTCTGGAGATGAACTGTACTGAGTTCATGGACTGTATTGTGGAGAACAATATATAAACGTTTGCCTGTGTTCTCGTTTAGGACGTGCTGCTGTTCTACTACACTCAGTGGTGTGGATTCTGCTCTGTTCTCAACCACATCATCATCCAGCTGGCCCGATTATTACAGCAAGGAAACAGCACAATCACTGTTGCCAGGTACAGTACGAGTATTTATGTCTGACTGTTGTTGCAGGTATTGTGGCAGTAATGTTTTAATATGGATTTCTTGTTGAATCATGTTTTAATTTCAGTGCAAAATAAGCTTTTATTAAAAATACAAAATTAGTTCTCTGGCTCAAACTTTTTAAGAATATAGTAATACAACATTTTGTCTTTTTTAGGGTGAATGTTGCACGTAATGACCTTCCATGGGAGTTCATGGTGGATCACGTTCCCTCTATTCTTCTCTTTCCCAAATACAGGTAATAGAGACACACACAAACACACAGACATTTGCATTTTCCAGTAATACCTGGACATGTGGCTGACAACGACCAGAGTACTCTCTACAGCTGAAGCTGGAAACATACATTTGATAATCAAATGTCAGATGTCAGGATTTATATGAAAACTTAATATCTTCAGGTTTTTAGAGCGTTGGTCAGACAAAACAAACAATTTCAAGATCATTCTGGACTTCAGCGAAGTGTGATGTGACATTTTTCACTCTTTCCTGACATTTTATAGACCAAACAGTGAGTTAATCTAGAAAATAATTGTTAGTGAATTGTTAGTTGCAGTTGTAGTTCAGCAGAACACAGCATACAGTAACCCCCAGAGTGGTAACAGTAACAACCTTTATCTTCCCCAAAGGGAGACCGATTTACCACACAAGATCCACATTAAACAATATTATTTAACCACTGATATTATCAATTCATTTCAACAGAATTGTTTTTTTCACTCATTTTCTTGTTTTTGCTTCTCTTCAAGAAAACAATTTAGTGTGAAGTTTCCTGACGAACTGCCCATCACATTACCCAACCTCCTTCACTTCATCCTGCAGCACTCCGGCTATGTAGAATATGCAGACAAACCAGTGACAGCTCCCAGCGAGGCAGAGGGCCCAGGACCCGGTGCCATCTTCCGTGCAGAGTTTCTGGCACTCCAGCATGAGGTTCAACTGCTGCATCATGCCCGCGAGCGTCTCTCCCAACAGCTGGCGCAGCTGTGGCGTGACAACCGGCGACTAACATTTGACACTCGCAGCTTAGAAGCCCAGAACGCAGAGCTGAAGCAAGAAAGGCAAAGCTTGGAGGAACAGCACCGGGAGAAAAGCAGGCAGCTTGGGGAGGCAGTGAGACGGCTGCAGGAGCTGGCAGACGCCTCCGAAAACCTGCTGAATGAGAACACGCTGCTCAGGGTCCTCCTGAGGGCTCTGAAGGACAGGACGGAGGCTAAAGAGCAGGTGGAAGCGGAGAGAAAAGAGGCAGAACAGAAAAGAAGCCATATGGCCTCCTGACGTCGAAGTCTGCAGGGAATCCCGAGAGCGAGAGAAGAGGAAGGGAGAGGAAAGACGGCCAGAAAATGAAGGGAGGACTGAAATGGATGAGAATGAGCAGCGGTTAGACCTGTGATGTTGTGAAACAGGAGGGATTTGGGAGATCATGTGACACCCACAGGGCTGTGACCTAATAAATTCATTCATGGGAGAAAATGAGGAGAAAATGACAGTTGTGATCCGTCAGAAGAAAAAGCGTAAGACTGCTGCCAAGTCAGGACAGAAGTCAGGAAAGGTGGATAAGTAGTGAGGGAAACAGCAGTGTTTGTCACAGAGTACTTCGTTCGAGTGCTGTGATGATGAACGTGGGTCATAGGAACACACTAGCATGGGAATTAAGTGCCAACTATCCATTTAAAACTACTCAGTTCTAAAACTGCGCTTGCAAAAAGGTAATGTCTGTTGGACGGTGAAGACGTAACTACAAACACCCTGCAGCCAAATTCTAGACCTTCCCTGAGTCTCAAATAACAGCAGTGGCCAGCAGCTCATTACTCATCAAATATGATTTATTACTCGTCACTCTTTTCAAATGTTGTATTATTACTTTATGTATTAATCCCTGCCGGCAATAGTTTGTGTGTGAATGTCAGGCGAATCACAGCTGAGGCTTCAAACTATCTGCTTTTTTTCTGCAGCCTAATCAATAAAAGTTACAGGCGAGAAGACACTCGCGGGATTTTGATTGCGGGACAAAATTTTAAACAACTTCTGTCTTTTAAAAACGACATAAGTAGTAAGGTTTTAAGTAGTTATTTAAGATATTATTTTGGGGGAGTAACTGTAATAATATTACTGAAATTTAATACTAATTAGTTACACTACTTATTACTGGTGAAAGTTACATTATTACTAGTGATGTTGCTGCCCAGTACTGGTGGTCAGCACAAACAAATAAACACCAGGTTAAAGAGGAAACACTGAGTTGGTTGAACTTCACATGGTGAATTGACAGCACCAATTCCATCAGTATAACCATAATGTTACAGTCATCAGTCTGCTGCTCTCTGTCTTTTTTAACACAATGTTTTTCATACTAATAAAAAAATTCCAGTTGTTCCGTCTTTTTGCGGCGCTCCTGATACATTTGAAGCTAGCTACGTCATCAGAACTCAGCACTTCCGGGGGTAAAAAAGGCAAAGTGGAACGCCTGACTGGGTGTGCTCATGGAATTAGTGCTGTGGAAGTGTACTGAATTTATCTGGACAAACTGTGAATGTGGACGTAATTTTTAGTTTGCATTAACTGGGCACTCCCTCCAGGATTGCACAGGCTTTTTTGGGGGGTATTGTTGCAGCCTACCTGCCTGATTTCACAGCAGCTGTTCTAAAAAAAGGAAATGACGTTTTTAGGGGGGGCTTTTGCAATGAAATTATGGGATAAGCAAAAATAATTGCTTTTTTTGTATAATTAATTAGAAATGGTAGGCAGAAGAGAATAAAGTCACTAGCTGTCGGCGTATGGCTCAACTTTTTCCTCTGGAAACTAGATGATTGGAGGTGATAAGACAACATTTGCTTTGGTTGAATTTCTGTTAAATGTTCTGTTAAAACTTCCTGGAGGGACTGACTAGGAAACAGGAAATATTAGAAATAAATACAGAGTTCTCTCTGCCACTGAAGTAAATATAAATGCCACAATCTATATTTGAGAATTTCCACTGTGCACTCGCCTGCTGCCCTACAAGCTGAAAGACGATGATGATATTTTCCCAACAGTCCTTTTGCTTTTAAATTAATGTACAGCAGCAGGCGAGTTCATGGCTGCAGGGATGTAGAGTTTGACTGCAGGGGGAGAGGGCTACTAGTGAAGCTGAGACTTATTTAATACTGAAGGTGTCGCAACTGCTCGCCGATCTGCAGGTGAGCCTAAGAGCACTTGAAATAATTAGCAAGATTTCCTTTTTATTTTGAAAGGGATATAGTTCTTTTGTTAAACTGATCTATTTTTACAGGAATCCTTGAGTCACTAAAATATTATTTCTATGTAACTATTCAGGTATTAAGAATGAGATGCTGCAATTGTTTACATGTGAAATATTGCACCTGTTTTTACTGATTAAAAGTCTTTCATCTTATTGTCCTCCTGTGTTTTATTGTGGATTAAATCAGTCAGAAATCAGAGCAATCAGTACAGATCTGACCTGATATTCTTTGTCTCTTTGACAACCTTATCTTAGTGGTTCAGAAAATGATACAACTCCTACACAACATCATATTGTCTCCCTATGCATATTAATAAAGATTTTTAGGTGTAGCTTCACTTCCAGCAAAGGTAAATGTGTGAAAAGTGACACAATAATCAAAAACCTTAGATGTGTTTTCAGCACACAGTGACCTCTGACTACAACTGCAACTACATCTCCCTCTTTCCTTATTTATGAGGTTTCACAGGATGCTCAGAATTAGTAGAATAAAGTCTTTTTGTATGCAGTAGTAAAAGAAGTGACTAAAAGTAGCAATACCAGAGTGTTAAAATCCATAATGCACTCAAAGTCTGAAGTAAAAGTCATTAGTAGCACCAAAGTTTGAACATTTAAGATGAATATTCCTGGATTATCTGCTGTGTACTTTAATCATTACCGTTAATAATAAGTATAAACTGACCTTGAGTAAATAAACCAAGGTATATTCCACCACTGTTTATGCACCTTTGTCCTGTCAAAGTAGTAACTTTTTCTGTATGAACCAGCTGACAAATGCCAACCTCATCCTTTCAGCATATGTAGACTAATGTTGGATCGCTACCGTGTCGCCATGAACTACGACCGTGTTCAGCAAACAGTTAAATGCCAGCTCTAATTTGGAGCAGCAGGAGCATGTGCTGTTAATTTCAGCCTGAATGGAAGGTTATTTGTCTTTACTTAGTTTCATCGACTGCAAGTCTGTCAGCCACAGAGATGTTTTATAATCTGTTTCCCAAGATAGTTTCACATCTGCAGCACTTAAAAACACTAAATACTGCAGAGCTGGTTTGACCTTCTCTGTCTAATCCTTAAGTTATATATGCATATATTTGTTTCTTTAGGTTTATTTATTAAATGACATTGTGAAACAACAGAAGTAAACATCTTGCAGTTATATTTTTCCTGTTAACACAAACTTAAACCTAAACAAACAGACACACACAGTATTAACCCAATAATGATAAATGCCCCAAAGGTTGTGTATGGAAGTTACAAACTGAGATAAATAATAAATCAAATCCACAATGAATCAGAATAATGATAGATAGTTGCAGTAAAATGATAACAGTTATGTTTGTGTGATTTTAATGGAGTTATCTGTTGACTAAACTCAACAAAATCACATTTATTTAAAACATATTTATGTTAATTGTTATTTTACTACACCAACTTACACAGTAAGATTATATAACCTTTCTCCTCTGCTCTGTGGGTGCACAAGGACTTAAGATTAAGAAGAGACACAACAGCTAAAATCAACAAATATGCATCCAGATTATATTAATATTAATGGTTAAATTACATTAAGGAGACAATTCAGATGAGAATTATTCTCATGTACACATCTGGAAAAAAGGGAAATCAACGGTTGTTTAAAGTCATAAAATATTGTCCTTGCTCATTGGGTTTGTAATATGGGTTGGGTCAGTGAAGTCCACACAGACAATTCAGCAATCTTATGACTCCTGGGGAAGTAAACAAGGTTGGCAGGGAAAGTGTAGCCGGCACTGAGAAAACTGTCCTCGCTGCAGTCACACATTCTTCTACTGTAAGTACCAGTTCATTTATTAAACTCATTATGTTAGTATTTAAGGATTATAAAGGCTGTTTGCATAAGCAAGCACTGATACTGAATCCCAACAGTGTGTTTAATGATACACTCAGAGATTTAAACATGTGAGGGTCATTTTGTGAATAAATGACGCATTTTTATCAACATAAACAAAACATATTTAGTTTCAAATAATAATAACAATAATATATTCCTCATATGAGGAGTTTTAAGTTTAATTTAATACTTCTTGGCTGCAGTACGTCATTATTATCCAATAAAGTCAGTCAATAATCAACAGTTGAATAAGAACATTTGTGATCAAAATAACCTTTAAATGTATATAGGTTTATATCTGTGTACCATAGATTTGTCTCTAGTAAACACAGCCTGTGTTTAACTACATCTTCGATATGAATTGTTTACAGGAACAATGGCAAATACACAAATTCCTGTTGGTGAGTCTGTTCTGTCCCTCATAATAACACAGCTCTAATTTCCTGTAAATTCATTGAAACTGTCACTCTGTCCTCATTCTTTGGTTCTTTGGTCTCATTCCTGATCTCTAGTGACAGTCGGCCCGTTGGGAGACAGTCCGGTTCAGGTTGCCTGTCCTAAGTGCCATCAGACGGTCCTCTCCAAGGTGGACTACTCCCCTGGTTTGCTCACCTACCTTTTCTGTGGAGGACTCTTCTTCTGTGGGTAAGGAGGAGTGAAGTGTCATTCACTCCATTTTAATATTAATTACAAAACCTTTTTGTGTGGCTGAAAAAAGGACACAAAAGTACTTTTCTCAGCGCCTTAGTATGGGGCAGTTGGTACACTGTACATCTTATAAGAACAGATAGTTTTTACATATTTCCTTTAATAATAATACTATTCTTATTTATATTTACTGCTGAAATATAACTATATTATATTATAACTATATCTACATATAATAGCCTCAACTGTACTTGGTGCATTGACTTTAATACTGACATTATTATGTTAATATGCAAACATTTTGCTTTATTCACCTACTGACATCCTGTGAGAAGGAAAATATATTAACTTCACCCACCTATTGTAAATCAAAGTTGAAAATTACAGGAATTTCAAAGCTTAAATAATAAAAAGGTTAAATAAAAGTCTAATTGATTCAATTTAGCTGTTTAAAAATACTATACACTGTTAGCTATAGGAGGTTTTCTGTTCTTTCCATGCTGCTGACAATAGTGTGAATGCATAATTAGCATGTAGATACGCCTATTGTGTTATCTAAGATGATGATTGTGTTGGACGAGTGTCGATGGCACTAGTGGAAAAGTAAAGGAAAGGAACCATAAGGATTCATCGTCTAAGGAACATGAATGTCTGTAGCTACCAAATTTTATGGAAATCCATGGGATAGATGTAAAGATATTTCCCTCTGGACCTAACAATCAAAGCGACCTAAATACTACATCACTGCTGCTACCATGGCTCAAAATGACCAGGTGTAATTGTCCAGTGTGCTGATAGATCTACGTGACCATAAGAAACTGCCTTGTGAAATGCATGTGAATGTTACCTGTGAGTAATGATTAGATAAATGCTCTAATATGTTTGAAATCATATATTGTATGAATAGACGGTGCTGACAATAAGCTGCTGTCCTCTCCAGCTTTGTTTTAGGTTGCTGTCTCATCCCGTTCTGTGTGGACCGGCTGAGAGACGCCAAGCACTCCTGTCCTACCTGCAAGACTGTACTCGGCGTGTATAAACGCTTATAACTGATGTTACAGCTGCAACCATTAGTCCACAAAAGAAAACTGACTGGCAGTTTGTTTCTTTAATCTTATAATCCTTTTTTTAATTTTTTTTTTAAGCAAAAAGGCCAAGAAGGTTAATCAATAATGAAAATAATTATTAGTTGCAGGCAGAGCTGGGACCAGGTCGTTGTAAGTCTCTAGTCATAACAGGCTCCTCGCCAAATGTAATGTCATTTTAACAACAGAGTAATAATATATTAAATTAATTAAATGCTTTTCAGAATTTGTATCTATTTGTTAAAGCAGGTGTGACTGAACTCAATAATTAAAAAAGGTTGTGCTGCTCTTTCATAGCTTCTTATATCTTATCTTATAGCACGATAACAGGATTAATTTAATGTTTCTGCCCGTCTTCTTGTACTAAAGTCAATAAATATTAATAAACTAAATTGCAACAGTCTATTTATAAGACATTTTTATTCCTCTGACGTGATATTATGTTGTTGTTGCCATGTTTTATGTCTAAATGATATAAATAATAAATGTCACATACATTTTAATCTTAAGGCTTTTAGGTATTATTGTAGTACAAGTCCAAGTCGAGTTGTAAGTGACTCGAGTCCTCTCCTCTGGTTGCAGCCCTAACTAATGTGGTGTCCTGCTCAGGGTTAAACTTCCAACACATCAGCAGTTTCCCCTCTGAATGAACCACTGTTGAATTCAGAAAATGCAATTATACTGAATCTGACACTAATAAAGGTTGCCTCTGACGCTGTTACGCATCTGCTCATATTCAGTTACTGGCTGCTTGAAGGACTTTACAAAGTTAGACTGGAAATATGATGGTACAGCTCAGACTTACTTTAATCATAACACACATATTTGATGTTGTGGCTAAGTTTGTTGTTGGTTTTACTGTACAGGTGATGTGATGTGACCCTCTGTGACAACTTATTCCCTTCAAATAAAAGCAGAAGATGAGCTTTGATGATTGTGCAGCTACATACAATGCGCATTTATTAGATTTTTTATAATCTCATACATCTTTGGGCATTTTCAGGGTGAGCCTGCCTAAAGGAAGTGAAGTCTCACAGTGGATACACATGATTACATCAACACAAATACAGCAGAAACTCTCACCTTCATTATTCTGTTAACCCTTCATTTTAACAATTGCAACAAGTGGATAAGTAAAACAAGTAAATATAAGAGCCAATAGTGTGGTTTTAGAGGATGAAATAATAAAGAACACATTATTCACATCTACTACATTCTTATTGCACATTACATATCGTATCTTAAAAGTTCAGCTTGTAGCAAATACAATTTGAAGTCACTTATGGTTTGAGGTAACTGTGGCTGTCAGCATCAGCTCTTTTACAGTATTTCCTTCAATCTATATATATATATATATATATATGTATATAATATATATCTTCATCCGTTATAATAATTAGCTATTTGTTTCTTCATACTAGAATGTGCTGAGAAGCGACGAGGAGCGCGAGGAGAGCAAGGAAAGAGAAGCCAGCGTCTGCTCGGATGCGGCCACCGCTGTTACCTGAAACAGACACAGAACAAACTCACTTTAGAGATCAATAACACTGAATATATTCTTCACTAGATTTACAATTATATACAATATATTGATCAAGTGTTAACTGAGATCAGCAGTTAGTGTCGTTGTTGTTCCAAATTATAAAGGAAGTTCTTTATCATTTATCTCTGCATCACAAACTAAATGGACTTCTTAAGTGACAATAAAATACCTCACATCTCTTCTCTCATTCAAAGTTATAATATGTAACATTTCCACATTAAAATGTCTATAAACACAAGACCTATGTTACATATTTTGTTGATTTGTGCAACAAATTTTTTCAGGTAACGCTGCGTTTAACCAGTTTCCTGTCAGTGAGATAATTCCTTTGTGTCAGCATTGTGGCTGCCAGAAACAGATTTTTTATCCAGTTTTGAGGCACATTTTTATGATACACTTTATAGATATTGGTTGTTTTTTTAACAATATATTTTAACCAGATGAAGGATTATAGTGATCGGACATCTGGATCTTAATTCAGCAGCAGCAGCTCGGATAGCAACCCCTCCAGGACCTCCTTTGTCTGCCAAACAGTAAAAAACCTTCTGAACAGAAGGAATCCTAACAGGGAAAAGCTGACTGCAAAGACGACAAAGACAACAACTCCCACGATCCCACACCACTTTACACAACATCATCAAACTTTGAATGTAAGAGAAGCCCTAGTGACAGAAATGACATATTATAACTTTAAATATTATAACTACAGTGCAGCTGCCTAACCTTATTATATTCCATATTCACACATTCAACAGTACATTGTTTCCTGAATATTAAACTTTTTCAGTACTCACCCGTGGTGGTGGAAGATCCTGATGCTGTTGTGGAGCTGCTGGATCCAGACCCAGCAGTAGTTGTCGATGATGAGGTTGTAGTAGCAGGAGGGTTGGTGGTGGTGGGGTCCGCCCTGCCTCCCACGAGCCCCACTCCCAGCGTCTCAAGCTCTGACTGACGCTGCGAGCGGATCCAGCTCTGTACCAGCGTTTGGTTTTCATAGGACTTCAAATCTGCCAGGTTGGTGCCAAGAAGACCTTGAACTTCAGTGACAGACAGGTTCTAGGGAGAGCGGAGAAGATAAATTGTATTATTCTTGTGAAAATAAACACACTTATTTAAAGGAGAGGTTCACATTCTCTTCCTCCTGGCCATTAAACAATCTCTTCATAACATGCTTCCAATGTAAGTGATGGGGGATTTAATTTACTGACCAGTACGACGCTCTCATTCAGGCTGGTGAAGGCTGGCATATCCATGCTGATATTGGAGGCCGCCAAATTTTGGACATAGGCCAAACGTGCGCCCCCTGCAGGCCAGGAAAATAATTAAAAGTGAGATCACGGTCAACTGTTGGCGTTCAAATTAAATTCTTCAGCATGCAGTATGGATGTGTGTGTGTGTGTGTGTGTGTGTGTGTGTGTGTGTGTGTGTGTGTCTGTGTGCCTACCAAGGTAAGGTTGAATGAGCTGGTAGGTGGTAGCAGGAACAGTTTGAGAGCGTGTGCTTGTGGCAAAGGCTTGTACGGCGATGGTGAACAGTTCTTTCTTTTGCTCCGTGGTGCAGTTGGACAGGGTCAGTGCGTCGGCGTTTCTGCAGGAGATACAAACAAACCGAGTATGAGACGAGAAAAAGGCAGGAATAACCATGTGCACATGCAGAAAAAAAACCCTCAGTGGGAAGAAATACCAAGAAAATCAATAGGATACAATAATCAAGTACCCACACACTGGAATCAAGAGTTCCCTGAAACTGTTATTAAACTTTTAGTAACATCGTAATGATTTAATTACATCCATGAGTGTCAGATCATCCAGATTACATTTAGCCTGCCTGAAGAAGACCTGCAATGGGTTGAAATGTTGTGTTTAAGGAAGCTCTGATTGTGGGTGATTTTCTATTGTATTCTCTAAAAGAGAAGTAAAAAGTTCACTTTTTGAAAATCTTTATTGTTTTAAAAACTATAAAGGGGTCAATTTTATGATGATTCTGTCTTTTAATAAATTCTGTACTACCCTTAAAAGAAAATATCTGCTTTCTGGCAATTTGGTTCATATAAATCTTTTTCCCAAAACTGCAACATCTTGAAGTAGTAGGTTTTAGTATGAGCTTAATACAACTAACTTTAACTTTATTTACTAATATGCAACTATTTTCTCTTTTAAGGTACACACTCTCTCTACGGTACACATTGTCCTGTGACTGTACAGCTGCCAAACTCCAGATTAGCAAAATGCGGATGAACTCACATGAGTTGCCTTCAATTAGTACTTTGTACAAAAAAAACAAGGTTTTGGCTACAAACAGGCTGTCCTACACTCACAACATGACCTTTAGACAAACTTCAGGGTTGAAAAAAAACTCCTCTACATATTTTCAGTTCAAACAACATTTAAATTTGCAGTGAATATTCTCCTAAAGATGATAAAATCACACTTAAATCAAAGATAAGGAAGTTACGTGCTCGTTTTAGTAAAGATGTAAATATGTTATCTACCAATGAAATCAAATGTGATTTTGAGCAAGGGTCAGTGCATTAATGCATTAAAAATACTGCAATTTTCATAGAATTCCTTATTTTTTATTATACTGTCATTATTATGAATGCAAAATGAATGAAAAAATGTATTAGCCAAATTGATATAAATTAAGGAATTAGCATTTAAATCTTTTTTTATTTGCTGATTTAACCTTCACTTTGAAGCCTTCCAGGTATGAACTGTAAACTTGTGGTTTCACAGGCAACAACAAGTAAACTTAGCTTGGACTGAGATGTCATGATACTAGCGTAACATTCCTCCAAACACACATACGACCCTGACTTCTTACTTGAGGCTTTCTTGGGAAATGTTCTTCAAAACATTAACGTCCAGGGAGCACAGGTTGGTGCCTCCGATGACGTTGAGCTCAGCACTGCCCAGTTTGTTGCCTTCCTTACTCAGATACTTAGAGATGATGGCTTTAGCCTGGACCAAAGGAAACATTCATTCATGAGACAAGTGTATATGCACACAAACACAACACACTTCATTTATTTACTTGTTTGCTCACCAGGCTCGGGTCCCACTCCCCGTTGGACGAGTCCATCAAAGAGGAGAGTGTGTCGATCTCAGTGATGGCCCACGTGTTGATGTCATCAATCGTGGCCACACGGGACGCCGGGCCTAAGACCTGAACCTGACTTTCTGGGATGGTAGAGCTGGCAGAATAAGCCTTTACATATGTGAGGAAAAGAGACAATTTGTTAAAAGACACAGAAAATGAAAATGGAGAGAAGATTTTTGTATATTGATTTTTAAATGTGATTTTGTTAATGTGTAACATTCAAAAACATTGTCAGATTCCCAAAGGCCTTCTTTATTATGCAATCATTATGTGTTAATATGTGTTATGTCGGTACTGTATTTATTCTATAATCCACTTATATCATCTTAGACACAGATTTCATCTTTTTCTGCCCGGACTATATCTTAAGCTTTTTTAACTACCAAATGTATACTGATTAGTCGTTCAACTTATTACAGATATCACAGAGTCTGCCATGATAGGATTTCAATTTAATTCAGATGTCATATGAGAGCTATGGGGTGATATCATATATACCCATTAACACATCAATCAGTTACATTTATATCAACTCACAAAAAGAAACTAAAATATGATTTTTGAAATGTATTACTGAATTCTTCCGGAAAATTATTTTACCTCATAACAGCAGTGTTTGTCTATATTTCCACAACAAGTAAAGATGACGATATAAATCAATGTTTTTTGATGTTACAACTCCACTCAGTGGTGGAAATGAAGGAACAACGGAGCAACGTGCTATTTTCCACACAGATTTATCTTTACCTGTCTGGGGATTTAACAAACAAACTCTTGGTCTAGGCCACGACTGTAACATCTCTCTGTAAAGGACGGTAGTCAACATTTGTTCTTCTGCTGTATCAATATAGTGATTAATCCAGCACCACTGCCGACAAGCCTGAACTTTTATTTCTCAGTTTAAAAAGTTATTTTCACTGCCACCTACCTCTTTCAGTTTGCTGAGAACAATGGTGAGGTATTCCTCATCGTCCACCTTCCCAGTGATTGCATCCAAGTTGTCTTTGACAGTGGTGGCACTGAGGCAGCAGTTGAACTGGGTTATGTCGTCATAGTCAAAGGGGAACGTCTCATCGCTGATGGTCACCTGGCTGATCATTCCTACAGTGCACTCGTTTTCTAAAACACAGTAAAAGAAAACACAGTTAAAACGTTAAATAAATTATAGATAATCATAGAGAAGAATCATAGAGAAGAGCAGAGCAGATAACAGAGGGAGACTCACCTATAGACCGCTTTGACTTATTCCTAATGGATTTTCTTATTTCTCTCCTCATCCTCTTCCTCATTTCTTTGCTCACTCCAGTGCGCCTAAGAACTCTCATGAAGTACCTCAAAAAACGCCGCTTTGTTTTCTGCTCACAGGAAAAAAGAACACACAGACGTTAAAAAAAAACAAACAAAAAAAACATCACCAACCTCAAACCAACGCCAGACGTATTCATGTGTGACTCACTTTGTCGAAGTTGTCATAGAAGGTTGAACTCAGATACAGCGGTAATGTCCCGAGGTCCCTCAGAGTCTGTTCATTCCACGTTGATGGAGTTCTGGTTATTGAAAACATAGTAAAAAAGAGTTTATTAAACTGAGATTTAAACAAAAAACCCATATTTTAAAGGCATACTATGCAGTTTTCCGGTTTTGTCAAACAGCTACCCCTAGAGTCGCTGCGGAGTACTTGTATTTAACGTTAACTGTCGTAAATACCATTCACCAGAGCCGTGTCTATATACGACTCTGCGTCTCTGCACTCCTGGCCTGATCCCCTCCCCCCTGTATACCGGTACATGTTCAGTAGGATGGAAGCGTCGGACATCGAACAGGCAAAGATAGAGTCCGAAGATGTCTACTGACCAGGTAACGTCTGAGTGAATGCCTGTTAGTGTCTTCCATTGAGGCTGCTTCTTATGTCGCTGATGTATGTGACGTCGCGCCGTAAAGCAATTTGTGATTCTCACGAGATTTGGCGGGGCGCCACCTTTCAGACTTGCATTGCTGGTTCTGCCAGCGGCGTCCCTCTCCAGCTTTGCTATTGGGATGATTCGCTATACTACGAGTTCGTTTACCGTCGAAATGACTTAGAAGCTGTTATACTAAGGTAAAAATCTTGCATAGTGTGCCTTTAACAGAGGAAATTACTCCAAAGGCTGCTGGTAAGAAATAAATCTGCTTATACTGCAAGGACATGCATATAAGAGGATTTATATAACTGATAATAGATATATTCCTGCTGTTGACGCACCCGTACGGTGTTTTCCCGCTTAGCAGCAGAGTTTCAACAGCGGCGACCTGATTGATGGTGAGGGATGGGCAGTTCTTGAGTTTTTCCAAGATAGATGGATCAGAGTTCTCGATGTAGGACGCATCCAGAGTGCAGCACATGTTTCCCAACACTGATATATTGTCCTCAGTCAAACTTGTGCTTGTTATACCCTTAGAAAGAAAGAAAGAACAGAAACCAATGTATAGATTTGAATATTTAAAAAACCGAAGTACTAAACATCTGAAACAAAGTTGTGTTTTGACACAGTGCTGTACACACTAACATTTATTTTTAATATTAATAGAGTAATAATAGAGTATAATCTATGACAATTTCAGGTCCCTATGTTAAATAAAAGATCAGATTGGAGCTCATAAAGTAGAACTAGATGTTGAAACAGACAATAAAAGTCAATCAAATAATCCCCACTGTACTTTTATTTGTACGTGGACATATATTAAGATTCAAAATTCATCAGTTTAGTTCAACAGGGTACTTGAGTACAGTATTTGAGATGTATTTCTGGTTTGCTGTTGGGGGCTCACCAGGCAGCTTCTGGCATTAGCAAACAGAGCAGACAGCTTGTAACTGAGGGCGAAGGAGAATACTGAGAAGTCTGCATCCGTCAGCTGTTCAAAATAGGACCTGCAGCTGGCCTGTGGCACCAGGGAGTAACTGTGGAGAGACAGAGAGACAGTAACTAACACAAACCGTTCTGACAGTTACGTTTTTAAAACAAAAACATTTTTTAACTTTTGTCCAACAAAAATCATTCTAAACTCACTCATAGTACAGCAGCATATCAGGAGGATAGAGGTTGAAGCTGGTGGCCTCTGAGTCCACTTTAATGTAGTTGTACATGCAGGTCAACTGTTGGTGAGAAGAGCAAAAACTGTTATCGATTCTGTATAAATATCCTTTCTTGTTCCACTAATGCAGCTCTTGAGCCCCTCTCGGGCGGCTCCTGTGGCTTATATGGAAATTAATAATGCTTTTTAACTTTTTAATTTATCATCATTGTAGGCCTAAAGCGATTTTTACAATCTCTAATTGTATAAATGTGTCTAGGCCACATTAAGTATAACTTATATAACATCTAGTTTCAACTGCATTTTAGTGACTTTGTTAAGAAATGCAGTGATGACCTTCGCACACAAACACTCGGCCGCTCTCTCACCTGAGTCTCCACCAGTTTGACCTTGTTCCTGCCTGTCCTCCGGCAGGCTTTGATCAGCTTCTTGATCTGCACCTTTTTAATGGTCCTCACTCCGGTACATGTGAACCCCTGCAGCACTGAGGATGACAAACTACACACACACACACACTTACTTTATCCTTTGTACATATTGCAACCCACCTGCAGGACATTTTACTGATCGGGTATTTTGTGTAAAATTGCTTTATTGAAAACTTCTTCAAAACTCACTTGTTTGGACTTCCCAGAGTTTCGGTCGCAGTGTCCACTGCTATTACATCGAAGAACAACTCAGCCTAAAAAGAAACACAAAGTGTGTAACGACATACTGTCCAGTAGGTGTGTTCAGGACAAAAGTGTGGGTTTCAGTGTTGCGTCCCCCTACCTGCTGCCGTTTCCATTTCTTCTTGTTGAGTCTGTTGATGACGCTGAAGGTCTTTGAGAAGCCCGCCAGGAGAACGCGAGGGATCTCAGTGGCCAAATCATCTGGAACGTTCTCTATGATCATCTCACTGCTGCTGTTCATGGATATGATCTGAGTGAGGAGGTGGGAAGTACGTTAAAAGTCTGATCACACCTAGCATGTGTTTTACTCCTGCAACCACAACCAACAGTGATGTTGACGATAATCTCTATATCACTGCAGCAAGTTGAGAGGTTAAACTGATGGAGGAGATTTTCAGGGCGTGTTTAAATTCTCCATCTTCACACAAATTAGACAAACAAGTTTTTGCATGTGGTCTTAATCAGTTAGCATTCAACTGGGACAAAACAAGTAATGTTTGGACTTTAAACATCACATGATAGTTGGTTCTAAGCATTCTGGTTCGGGGATCTCGCAAACAGCTGCAGTCTTTATCTTTTCACAAAAAACTGTTTTGAAGGTTACATTTACAATTTATCACTTTTTAATGCTATGTGATGAAGTTGAACACAATTTTCTACCATGTGGACAGTTAAGCTCCTAACTAACTTACTTCATAAGTGGAAGACTGAAGTGATCCAAGTGCCCCAAAATTAACTGTATATCTTGGCAGGTTTTACATTTTACAAAGTCTATGAGTCTCCAATCAATATTTGTTATTCAGGTTTGCACTTTAATGACCTAATATTGTCATTCTGTTCCTCCATATTGTAATTTTACTATTGTTTATTTGTATTTGTTTATCTGTATATATGATATCTGCTGTATTGCGTTTTGTAAAGTCTTTTGGGGGAGTTTTTCCCTTATCCATGCAAGGATGTAAAGATGTTGCATGTTGTACGGTATAAATAACATTCATTACACTAATTTTCTTTAATTTATCATACAAGTACTGTAACAGAAATTAAGCTGTTATACCTGAGTAACAAAGGTCTGCTGGACGATCTGTGGAGCAGTCATCAAGTGTCCCAGAAATGAAGGATCTTTGGATGCAGAAATCAGCTGAGAGCCGCTGATGCTGTTGAACGTTGTCGAGGGTATACCCACAACAAGAGAGCCCAGCTGGAACAACGACAACGCACTGTTGACCTGGTGGGATGGGAAAGGATAAAAGCAGCACAAATGTGAGACAGCTCCATTCTGAATGCTATGCTCACACAGCCATAGCATCTCAAATCAAATCTAAGTTCAATACAGTGACACACAGACTGACAGACAGCAGCTACCTGGAACAACCCCGAAGACATCAGAGACAGGACAATGGTCTTGGCCTGACCTGCGTTCCAGCCCACCACACTGCTGAGGGTGCTGAGGGAAAAAAGTAGGTCCTGAGGCTTTATCATCGTGATCTGACCAGTGGACATGCCGATGCTTTCGTTGCCGAGGGCAGAAATGGCCGTGGCATCAATGCCGTCGCCAAGGTTACCCGCCAAAGCTGCAGAAATCTACAGAGGAAAAAGTGAATGATTCGTCAGTTGCAGTTATATTTTTGCGTAAAATAGAGGAATATTTGTGTACAAAGGCTTCTTGAGGCAACGTAATCTCTTATTCAACATCCATTTTTGTACCCCTACCATTCAGACCTGACAATTATGTACCCAGAGATACCAAAACATTTAGTTTCAACACTGAGGAGGTTCACTACGAGGGTGTAACGTGCTGAAGTTCATGCTATAACCAGGAAAAGTTTCTACCGAGACACGATCCCTCATTGGGTTCCCACCAGTGATCACTCTAAAATATAATGTATTATTATTGTTATTAAAATTGTTCTGTTCTGTTTTTGCATGTGTTTTTATTACCTGTGGGTCCAGGTCTGTGCAGAGAGTGGTCAGGTTGTGCAGAACTATTATACTTTCTTCTGAAGTTAGCTGGCTGAATGCTGGACCAGGAACGACACACCGACACAACAGAGGAAGACTGCACATAGACAAAAGAATCGGTTTACACCTTAATAGTATAGTATTGTTCACATGTGTATTTGTGTGCTTGTGGCTGAAAGGTTAAACAGAAATGACTCACAATAGGGGGTTGAAGTTGCTGTCCTGTAGATAAACAAGCTCTGTGTAGTAGTTGGTGAGGTTGGGAGGTAAGGCGGAGTGGTTGAGGAGGGCAATGTTCAGAGGGTTCACTGTGAACACCTGGATATCCTACAGAGAGGAGAGAGGGGGTATAAACACTGAAATCTTTGACTATTTATTTCTCAATTGCAATCTCAGTAAACAAAGCTGAGCTGTTTATTTAAGATTTCCCACATTAGGTTCAGTACCTGTGCAGATCCTAATGACTGAAATTCCTCCAGAGTCAGGAAAGGCATGAAAGGGCCGATGTACTCAGCAAACCAGGCTGTAGAGTTTAGTTCTGGGTCCTTGTCATTGTAACACCTTGGCAAAGTTGGTACTACAAGAAATTACAAATATGAACATGGAGGATGTTACTGAGGGAAACCAGAGGGATAAAGGATGAAAGAAAGATGGGAACAAATCATCAAAAAGAGCTGAGAGCTGAAAAGCTAATGAAAGCGTCATTTCACACGTGGCCTTATTTGGGGTAACTATTATATACATAAAGCTGTTTATGTGACACTGTTATTATGTTTAACATGTAACATAATGCTACTAGCTCCTTTAAAATGTGACTTCATTGTGTTTAAAAAAAAAAAAAAATTCTCTAAGTTGAAATCAATAAATTTAACAAAATACACTAGTGTGAATTAAACACACTCAGAGAATTGGTTGATACAGCCCTCTGGTATTACTAGCAGTGCTAATGTTAGGTAATATTTGTTAACTTTAGATAGATATTGCAGTTGTAATTGACATAGTTGAGTCTGTTTGCTCATTTTATTACCTTTTTCTATGCGTGCTACAGTTATACTGTGTTTCAGCATTTTTCCCACACTTGTCACAGATACGATACACTGACTTGCTTTAAAGATCAGTGCAAAGTAACTAGAGCCTGCTTGAAATGTCGCTAGATGATGCATATTCCTGACATCATCACGCAACTAATTATATACCCGACTCTCGCTTTGTCATTAGCTATAGTCATTTTTTAAGTTACTATCATCATTATGTGTCTGAATCTACTTCTGATTTCAAAAACCTTTTATGAAGGTTGTCGTACGGACTGACAATAAACAAAAAAATATTTCAATTTAAATATTCAAAAAAAACAAAGGAGTTCCTCAACAAACAATGGGGATCGTGGTTGGCTGCCAGGTAAGCACATTCACAGCTCATTCAAGTTTCTATCTGGCTGCTGATTGGAAAACTGGCGAGAGGAGAGTTAAGGTCTGCCCAAAACCTCGCTAGATTCGTAACTAAAGGGTTCCTAAAAGTTGCTAAATCTAGAAAGAACTTCGCTTAGTTGCAAACGCTGTTAAAGACTACACTACTGTAGGTCTGTGTTATTCTGAGGACTGACCTGAGGTGAGGTAGGCTTTGATGGTGTTGAACACATCTTGCAATGTAAAGTCTGCATCAGTGTAGTTGTATTCACCAAGAACTGAAACGCTGTAAAACAAAACGAAACCAAAACACACGATTTGAAAAACTCCCAAAAATGACACAATATACAAAAAACACCTATATGCTGTGAGAACCATACATACAGCTTTTGGAAGGCCAGGCAGGAGGTAGTGTTTGTGCTATTGGGGCTGATCAGACTCTTAGTGAGGAAGGCCAAGTAGTTTTGGAGGCGTCGGTCAAACCAAGCGTTGACCTCTGACCTCTTAGAGCTGCTGAGAGCCGTGGGCCAGACGCAAGGCAGTGTGGGCCGCCGCACCACAGCCGGGAGAGACTCCTGTAGTGAAAATACACAGTAAAGTTATTATATCTTCAATATGTGTTTGTACATTTTTTTTTTTTTTTTTTGTGTTTGCGTGTGTGGGACATACAGTCTCCAGGAACAACGGTGTCTGCATGTAGTTGTCGTAGATCACACAGAGCTCTGCATTGTTGTCGACAACATCAGGGCGACGGAGAAAATCCCCAAGAGCTGATGGAGGCATGGAGTTCACCAGCTAGAAGAACAACCAACATTAAATATGTCATCTTCACACTTCACACACCGTCAACTCGAGTACTAAAAACTAACCCTCCTTAACTTTCTTTGAATCCTCTGTTTTACTTAAGCACACAAACCTGATGCATCCTGTTGACAGGCATGAGGGACAGGAAGGTGGTCAGGTTGGGGAACTGGAATCCCATGAATGAGCGCTCCAAGAAACTGTAGAAACTTTGGTTGTAGTTGTCACCGTAGCACTGGAGAGGTATTGGTCCTAGAGTGAGGGAGAATGAAAGAAATCGGCTGTCAAAACTTGGCTCTGCAGAGTCAAAATTAAGGCTGTAGGTCTGGTTTCAAACATTATATAATTTCCCTGCTGTAAACGACCATTGAAAAAAGAGTTTATTACTGAACATTTTATGAACAAAAACTTGAGCCTTAGCCTAATTTTTATAACTTCAAGGTAAAGAAACACAGAGCACTACTGTATATCAGAGGGATATAAATGGTACTTTACAATTAGTGTGTTTTCCTTACCTCTGAGAGTCTGAATGATGTGATTGTAGATTTCTTGCTGTGTAACTTCACTGAACGAGGAGATTGTTGAATTCAGTCCTTCGACTCTGAAATAAAAAAAATAAGGAAATAAAACATTTTTGTGTCTGCTGTCTGGCTACATTCATTGACATTTGATATTTGTATAGAATCACATACAGGCAACTTTATAAATGAGGTACAAAAAAAATTTCCAAGATTCCAGTAAAATAATCATTAGCTCGGTCCTCTTCGCGCTACACTTACCCCTGCTGCTTGGTGCTGCAGTTTCTTCCCGCCAGTATGTTGAAGAACGGTGCGACATGGCTCGGTGACAGGTTGACCAGCAGGGGGGAGAGTCGGTTGTGGAGCCACAGAAGCACAACTGAATCCCCCACTGAGTGATCTGAGAGGTTTGCACGATCGAACACAACTTGCAACATGGCTGACCTCACCGCAGGCAGGAACATGTTTTCATGACCCTGCATAAAGAGAGAAGAGGACAAAATAAGGAAAAGCAAGCATACAGAGAAAGCTTTAAACTTAAGAATTCTATCTTTCCGCAGAGCTACACGATGTTTTATACATAGGATTTAGTTAGGTGTTGCCAGTTTAACTGCACCTTCTTCTATATTTCTGAGTGTAATCAGACCAAAGTGTGACATTTTGTTTTGTTGATGATATGAGGCTTTTCCCATGTCATTCAATATATTCTACCTTAGAGAAGTTCATGTTATTTACGCTGACTAAAATATTGCTTCCTGATAACAATCAAGGACAAGATATTATTGGAAAATCTGTGTTTTCACACTCACCAGGATAGCAGGTGAGTATTCATCAAAGAAGGCAGGGAGGTGTTGGTTGGGGATGTGTTTAGTCACCATGGTAACCTGGGCAGGAGCGGTGAGCTGGCCAGGTGTGGCGGACACCTCTGCCAGCTGTCTGACTGTCAGCTGTGGTAGGGCTTCCATCTGCGTGTTCACACAGACAAATAAATGTACAATAACACAAACAAAAACACACTAAAACACTAATGAGAGGAAACACAAGGCAAGTACCGCTGAAAACTTAGGATAGAGCGTCTGCAGGTCTTGGAAGGACGCAAGTGCCAAGAAACCTCCCAAGTTCTTCTGCAGCCATTCTCCACTGTTGTTAATGTTTAAGCTGCAGCTGACGTCTGAATCACAAAAAAAAAAAACACAAATTCAACTTTACTGTATGCTTTATGTATGCATCCCGGTACAAGAAACCCTGCGACCTGCAATATTTTCTAAGAACGATAGTTCTATTGATACCTAACATCAGAGCAATGATGCTATGGTTTATGAGTGACATCAGTATTTATATCTAAGGCACATTAGTGGTGCTGCTTTGGATTTCTGTGAAAAATATTAAAAGTGCCTAGATTATGTGTCTTACTGACTTTGATGACTTTGGAAAGACCTTTTGTTTACGGCCACAGATTAATTTATAATTATATATATCTTTTTTTATTTTTCTGAGAGAAAGTTAACAGCCTGCAGCTAAGATCTCCAGCTTAAAATAGTTTGCAGTTTGCACCGCTAGGACATACCTAAATAAAAATACAATGCCAACAGAAATACTCATTCAGCTACTTATAAAGCAACTATATAACCTGCACAATATGTTGCTTGTGTTCTCTTGCTTCTTTGTAGCTAGTAAATCATTTAACAAATGGCTACATGTATGAAAATAAGAAAAAAGGAGCAGTGTGAAAACGTACTGGAATAATATATATATATATATATATATATAAAACTACATCCTTCTTCAAATCTGAGAACCTACCTGCGGTGTTGTTGCGCGTCAGGAAAACCTGGATGAAGTGTGTGTAGACTAACATCTGCCTCTGGAGCGTCATGTGTGGCTCAAGACTGCCCAAAATCTGCAAACTGAGTTCAGAAAGAAAATGAGGGGCGAAAGAAAGAATGAAAGAATATGATCTGCATTGAGATCTAAGAAGTTTGGTTGAAGGTGACAGTAAATGTGTGAGTTTACATGTGCTGGTAGGTGCTGCAGTTCAATCCCTTTGTGGTGAGACATGAAAGGAAGTCAGGGGAAACAGCCGGCAGGAATGGACGAAGCCGATGGTTGAACCACAGCTGGATGACAGCAGGATCATTTAGACTGTCCACGCTCAATTGGTCCAATCGGATTTCTCGTATAGCGTCCAAAACCATCGACAGAACAGGATTTTTGGGGTCCAGAGTCTACAAAAGAGAAAAAAGGTATCCAGAGTCTAGTTCTGATCAGGAGAGAGTAAAGTGAGGACTGTTGCTGATTCCTACCTTGTTGCTTAGAAGATCCAGAGCTTCATCCAGCACACGTGAGGCTTTGGAGAGGAGAAGCTTCCAGGTGGGTTTTGAGCTGCTTGAGTTGGAGGAGCGATCACACGCCAACATCGCTGCCAGATCCATTGCTTTCAACGATGACAGCTGTGTGATAAAGAGCAGAATGACAACAGCTGAATAATGATGGAACATCAGAAAACATACTGAAGATCACATTGAAACAGTTTCATATAGCAGTAGTTGGAGGACTGAGATGTTTTGGTGTCTTACCGAGGCACAAGCAAATTCCTCAACAGCAAAGTGACAGAAACTTCCATTCATCCGTCCGCTGTCAAGATGGAGCTGCAGCATTGTGCTGTAGTTTCAAAATAAAATAAAATGTCAAACATTTGTTGACAAAATATTAAAACACAAACTGTTTAAACGAGTTCAAAGATACCAGAGAGTTAATAAATCTCACCTGTTCACTCCAACACAAATGTCTGTTTCTGTGAAAAATAAGAATTAATTATTTCATAGTCATTATTAACATTAAATTATTGAATAATTTTTTTAATTCATTTTTTTAAAACAAGTGAGACAACTTACGGTTTGTCGCAGTAACGGTGCACTTAAGGGAGAAAAAAAACAAAACGTTATGATTCTGTCATAAAAACAAGATGAGACAATATTCAGAAAAACAAATGTGAAAATCACATATAATTACCTGTCCACTGTATATGATGCAACCTATAATAAAGCACAAGTAAATGCAAATAACTTTAGTTCAGAAATTACATTTCAAAAATGCTAATTTCAATTACAACTTTACATTATGACAACATAATAACAGAGCAATAAAATCTTCATGTTCAGGTAAGATAACAGAGTTCCACACAGCACAGAATCTACTCTTAAAAGTGAATAATGGCTGTATTTAAGCAACAGATTGTAGAAAATCCACTTATTTCTTACAGCCTCTGATACTGGAGGTCATATTGTGTCTGTTACACCTGCAATAACCAATTCCTTTGGCCACGTGAGGACAACAGAAACAAGATGACACACTGACATATCATCACCGTTTAAGTTGTTATCGTGAACTTGTTAGCAAACACTTTCTTACTTATACATCCAGCAGTTATGGAGCAATATTATCATTCATTTGGAGTCACATATCAGGCCACCTGTCCAAATATTCACCAACTCCAGAGGTAGATATTTGGCTGTTTGGCTGCTAAATGCCTCACTGTGTTCACCAGCTAGTCTCTACGTGTGTCTGTCTGCTGGTTGGAGCTAAGCAGATAGTGTACAGAAGATTTTTAGAGATTTTTCGCAGAAAACACCGGCCTGCTAAGGACAAAAACAACACCATAACAGTGGTGAGAGTAGACCACAGCAATAAAATTTTGGGTTGAACAACTAACAAATTAGCTGAAACTCTCTTGAAAGCTCCAAAAGATGAGAAGAGCAGCAGCTTTGGGTGACAATTCTCTGTAGGTGCATCACTACAAGTGACTTTATCATTCAGTTTTCAAATTGTCATTTAATGCCTTGTTATTATAAAAATATCAATTATAGCTGCTTAAAAAAATCCTGTCTCTTTTACTTAGATCAACACATTAAACCATAATTTTGAGTAAAGGTGTCTGAAAAGATGCAAAAGACTTCCAAAATATTTCCATTTGATTAAATGGTGTAGACACAGAACAAACATCATCTTAGGTTTGAATTGTTCTGATGATTTTTCTAACCTTATAGCTACCTATTCTAAAAGTCTTCCACAAAAGTAGTTAGTTTTATATTATATCATAATTAATAGTATTTTTATAGATTGTGCTTCTCACCTGGTGGTATGTGCTGGGATAAGGCCATCATGCTGTTCATGATGGATGACACTACATCAGGAGAAGCTGTAGCCATGGCCAAGTCCAGTCTGTTAAACCTACAACAGCAACATGTGGGATAAGTATCAAAGTTTTATGTTTCATACATAATCAATATAATATCTAAAATATTTATAACTATATATGGACTCACAGTGTTTTGTATGATGAACAGGAAAGGTTTCCCTTCAAATACAGAAAACAAAGATTATTACCTTCAACAAGAAGAACAAAGTGTACATTTTGAATAAAGAGGAATCAGGTTTCTCTTTCTACCTGTTGGACAAACATGACGAGGTGGGACAGGAACTCTGTGAATTTCATCTCGTTTGGAGACTCAGTCAGGTAATCAAAGATCATATTTATGACAACGTCTTTGTCTGGATGAGCAGGAAGAGTCACCACCAGCAGCTCTGCACTCTGCTTTGGAGTCAGGAGTCGTAGCGCTTCCAGCTGAATGGAAGAGAGGATCAACAATAAGTTTACTGCTGCTGAAAATAAGGTAATAACAGCACTGACCAGTTTTATAAACTCTTGATGTTATCAGAAATAAAATCTTACAGGGTTGAAGTCTGGGTTGAGATGAATCAGCTCTCTGACTGTCAGTAGTCTTGAAAACGGACCCAGATTCTTCATCAGCCAATCTGCACTTCCGTTGGAGGCTGACACACAGGCTGGACCAAACCATAAAGATAAAGAAGAGTGAAATAATGGCAAACTTGTCTATCCATTTGTCATCCAACAACATTGTTTTCAGGTGTACAATGAGTAATACAGCTTCACAAGCCACTGCAATATTTACTTTTATACTTTAACTGTAGTAAGAAATTCTAGAAAATGTGTTAACTTTTTTGGAAAGTGTACAGAGAGAAGTTGAGATTTTACACTCAAAATAAACTTACTGAGTTTGATTCTCCATCTTTATGGAAATCTAAGGACCTACCTTTGGTGTTGTTGCTGGTCAGATAAACCTGGATGAAGTCTGTGTAGACTGACATCTGCCTGTGGAGCGTCATGTGTGGCTGGAGACTGCCCAAAATCTGCAAACTGAGTTCAGAAAGAAAATGAAGGGTTAATGAGAATCAAAGAATCTGATCTGCATTGAAGTTTCATAAGTTTGGTTGAAGGTGACAGTAAATGTGTGAGTTTACATGTGCTGGTAGGTGCTGCAGTTCAATCCCTTTGTGGTGAGACATGAAAGGAAGTCAGAGGAAACTGCTGGCAGGAATGGACGAAGCCGGTGGTTGAACCACAGCTGGATGAAAGCAGGATCATTTAGACTGTCCACGCTCAATTTATCCAATCGGATTTCTCGTATAGCGTCCAAAACCATTGACAGAACAGGATTTTTGGGGTCCAGAGTCTACAAGAGAGAAAAAAGTTATCCAGTGTCTAGTTCTGATCAGGAGAGAGTAAAGTGAGGACTGTTGCTGATTCCTACCTTGTTGCTTAGAAGGTCGAGAGTTTCATCCAGCACACGTGAGGCTTTGGAGAGGAGAAGCTTCCAGACGGGTCTTGAGCTGCTTGAGTTGGAGGTGCGATCACACGCCAACATCGCTGCCAGATCCATTGCTTTCAACGATGACAGCTGTGTGATAAAGAGCAGAATGACAACAGCTGAATAATGACGGAACATCAGAAAACATACTGAAGATCACATTGAAACAGCTTCACACAGCAGTAGTTGGAGGACAGTTGTTGATCTGAGATGTTTTGGTGTCTTACCGAGGCACAAGCAAATTCCTCAACAGCAAAATGACAGAAACTTCCATTCATCCGTCCGCTGTCAAGATGGAGCTGCAGCATTGTGCTGTAGTTTCAAAATAAAATAAAACATTAAACATTTATTGACAAAATATTAAACAAGTTCAATGTAAGATACCGGAGAGTTCATTAATCTCACCTGTTCACTCCAACACAAATGTCTGTTTCTGTGAAAAATAGAATTTAAATAATTAATGGTGATGACTAACATTAAATTAGTGAATCATTTATTAATTTTTTTTTTAAGCAGTGAGACAACTTACCATTTGTCATGGTAACTGTGCACTTGGGGGAGGAAAAGATCAAGAAGGTTATGAGTTTTCTATCATAAAACCAATATTAGACAATATCCAGGAAAACAAACCAATTGAATTACCTGTCCGCTGTATATGATGCAACCTATTAATAAAAGCAAAAGAAAATGCAAATAACTTAATTGTATAGTTATTTATTTTTTATAATATTATTATTATATAACTGTTGATAGTATTTTTGTAGATTGTGCTTCTCACCTGGTGGTATGTGCTGGGATAAGGCCAATTTGCTGTAAATGATGGATGAGACTACATCAGGAGAAACTGTAGCCATGGCCAAGTCCAGTCTGTTAAACCTACAACAGCAACATGTGGGATTAATATCATAATGTTATCTTTCATATATAATAAATATTAAATATTAAATATTTATTAATATACGTATATTAACTCACAGTGTTTTGTATGAGGGACAGGAAAGGTTTCCCTTTAAATTCAGAAAACAAAGATTATTACCTTCAACAAGAAGAACAAAGTGTACATTTTGAATAAAGAGGAATCAGGTTTCTCTTTCTACCTGTTGGACAAACATGACGAGGTCGGACAGGAACTCTGTGAATTTCATCTCGTTTGGAGACTCAGTCAGGTAATCAAAGATCATATTTATGACAATGTCTTTGTCTGGATGAGCAGGAAGAGTCACCACCAGCAGCTCTGCACTCTGCTTTGGAGTCAGGAGTCGTAGCGCCTCGGGCTGAATGGAAGAGAGGATCAACAATAAGTTTATTGCTGCTGAAAATAACAAGGTAATAAAAGCACTGACCAGTTTTATAAACCCTTGATGTTATCAGAAATGAAATCTTACAGGGTTGAAGTCTGGGTTGAGATGAATCAGCTCTCTGACTGTCAGTAGTCTTGAAAACGGACCCAGATTCTTCATCAGCCAATCTGCACTGCCGTTGGAGGCCGACACACAGGCTGGACCAAATTGTAAAGATAAAGAAGATTGTAATAATGGCAGAGTTCTCTCTCCATTCGTCATACAACAAAATTGTTTTCAGGTGTACAATGAGTATTACAGCTTCACAAGCCACTGTAAATATTTACTTTTATATATTAACTGTAGTAAAAAGATTCTACAAAATTTGGTAACTTTTTTGAAAAGTGTACAGAGGGAAGTTGAGATTTTACACTTAAAATAAACTTACTGAGTTTGATTCTCCATCTTTATGGAAATCTAAGGACCTACCTTTGGTGTTGTTGCTGGTCAGATAAACCTGGATGAAGTCTGTGTAGACTGACATCTGCCTGTGGAGCGTCATGTGTGGCTGGAGACTGCCCAAAATCTGCAAACTGAGTTCAGAAAGAAAATGAGGGGTTAATGAGAATCAAAGAATCAGATCTGCATTGAAGTTTCAGAAGTTTGGTTGAAGGTGACAGCAAATGTGTTAGCTTACATGTGCTGGTAGGTGCTGCAGTTCAATCCCTTTGTGTTGAGACATGAAAGAAAGTCAGGGGAAACTGTTGGCAGGAATGGACGAAGCCGGTGGTTGAACCACAGCTGGATGAAAGCAGGATCATTTAGACTGTCCACGCTCAATTTGTCCAATCGGATTTCTCGTATAGCGTCCAAAACCATTGACAGAACAGGATTTTTGGGGTCCAGAGTCTACAAGAGAAAAACAAAAGTATCCAATGTCTAGTTCTGATCAGGAGAGAGTAAAGTGAGGACTGTTGCTGATTCCTACCTTGTTGCTTAGAAGATCCAGAGCTTCATCCAGCACACGTGAGGCTTTGGAGAGGAGAAGCTTCCAGGTGGGTTTTGAGCTGCTTGAGTTGGAGGAGCGATCACACGCCAACATCGCTGCCAGATCCATTGCTTTCAATGATGACAGCTGTGTGACAAAGAGCAGAATGACAACAGCTGAAAGATGACGGAACATCAGAAAACATACTGAAGATCACATTGAAACAGTTTCACACAGCAGTAGTTGGAGGACAGTCGTTAATCTGAGATGTTTTGGTGTCTTACCGAGGCACAAGCAAATTCCTCAACAGCAAAGTGACAGAAACTTCCATTCATCCGTCCGCTGTCAAGATGGAGCTGCAGCATTGTGCTGTAGTTTCAAAATAAAATAAAACGTCAAACATTTATTGACAAAATATTAACCAAGCTCAATGTAAGATACCAAAAAGTAAATAAATCTCACCTGTTCACTCCAACACAAATGTCTGTTTCTGTGAAAAATAGGAATAAAATAATTAATGGTGATTACTAACATTAAATTATTGAATCATTTTATGAGTTAACTTTTTAAGCAGTGAGACAACTTACCATTTGTCATGGTAACTGTGCACTTGGGGGAGAAAAAGATGAAGAAGGTTATGAGTTTTCCATCATAAAACCAATATTAGACAATATCCAGAGAAACAAACCAATTGAATTACCTGTCCGCTGTATATGACGCAACCTAAAATAAAAGCAAGAGTAAAAGCAAATTACTTAATTGTCTAGTTATTTATTTATTATAATATCATTAACTTATAAATGTTAACAGTATTTTTGTAGACTGTGCTTCTCACCTGGTGGTATGTGCTGGGATAAGGCCAACTTGCTGTTAATGATGGATGACACTACATCAGGAGAAACTGTAGCCATGGCCAAGTCCAGTCTGTTAAACCTACAACAGCAACATGTGGGATTAATATCACAATGTAATCTTTCATATGATTATTGTAAATAATCAATATAGAATCTGAAGTAAACATGAATATATATGGACTCACAGTGTTTTGTATGATGAACAGGAAAGGTTTCCCTTCAAATACAGAAAACAAAGATTATTACCTTCAACAAGAAGAACAAAGTGTACATTTTGAATAAAGAGGAATCAGGTTTCTCTTTCTACCTGTTGGACAAACATGACGAGGTGGGACAGGAACTCTGTGAATTTCATCTCGTTTGGAGACTCAGTCAGGTAATCAAAGATCATATTTATGACAACGTCTTTGTCTGGATGAGCAGGAAGAGTCACCACCAGCAGCTCTGCACTCTGCTTTGGAGTCAGTAGTCGTAGCGCCTCCAGCTGAATGGAAGAGAGGATCAACAATAAGTTTACTGCTGCTGAAAATAAAAAGGTAATAACAGCACTGACCAGTTTTATAAACTCTTGATGTTATCAGAAATGAAATCTTACAGGTTCGAAGTCTGGGTTGAGATGAATCAGCTCTCTGACGGTCAGTAGTCTTGAAAAGGGACCCAGATTCTTCATCAGCCAATCTGCACTGCCGTTGGAGGCCGACACACAGGCTAGACCAAGTCGTAAAAATAAAGAAGATTGTAATAATGGCAGAGTTCTCTCTCCATTCGTCATACAACAAAATTGTTTTCAGGTGTACAATGAGTATTACAGCTTCACAAGCCACTGTTAATATTTACTTTTATATATTAACTGTAGTAAAAAATTCTACAAAATTTTATAACTTTTTTGAAAAATGTACAGAGAGAAGTTGAGATTTTACACTTAAAATAAACTTACTGAGTTTGATTCTCCATCTTCATGGAAATCTAAGGGCCTACCTTTGGTGTTGTTGCTGGTCAGATAAACCTGGATGAAGTCTGTGTAGACTGACATCTGCCTGTGGAGCGTCATGTGTGGCTGGAGACTGCCCAAAATCTGCAAACTGAGTTCAGAAATAAATTGAGGGGTTAATGAGAATGAACAAATCAGATCTGCATTGAAGTCTAAGAAGTTTGGTTGAAGGTGACAGTAAATGTGTGAGTTTACATGTGCTGGTAGGTGCTGCAGTTCAATCCCTTTGTGGTGAAACATGAAAGGAAGTCAGGGGAAACTGCTGGCAGGAATGGACGAAGCCGATGGTTGAACCACAACTGGATGACGGCAGGATCACTGAAATTAGCTACGCTCAATTTGTCCAATCGGATTTCTCGTATAGCGTCCAAAACCATCGACAGAACAGGATTTCTGGGGTCCAGAGTCTACAAGAGAAAAACAAAAGTATCCAGTGTCTAGTTCTGGTCAGGAGAGAGTAAAGTGAGGACTGTTGCTGATTCCTACCTTGTTGCTTAGAAGATCCAGAGCTTCATCCAGCACAAGTGAGGCTTTGGAGAGGAGAAGCTTCCAGGCGGGTCTTGAGCTGCTTGAGTTGGAGGTGCGATCACACGCCAACATCGCTGCCAGATCCATTGCTTTCAACGATGACAGCTGTGTGACAAAAAGCAGAATGACAACAGCTGAATGATGACGGAACATCAGAAAACATACTGAAGATCACATTGAAACAGTTTCACACAGCAGTAGTTGGAGGACAGTCGTTAATCTGAGATGTTTTGGTGTCTTACCGAGGCACAAGCAAATTCCTCAACAGCAAAGTGACAGAAACTTCCATTCATCCGTCCGCTGTCAAGATGGAGCTGCAGCATTGTGCTGTAGTTTCAAAATAAAATAAAACGTCAAACATTTATTGACAAAATATTAAACAATCTCAGAGTAAGATACCAGAGAGTTTATAAATCTCACCTGTTCACTCCAACACATATGTCTGTTTCTGTGAAAAATAGAATTAAAATAATTAATGGTGATGACTAACATTAAATTATTGAATCATTTTATGAGTTAATTTTTTAAGCTGTGAGACAACTTACCATTTGTCATGGTAACTGTGCACTTGGGGGAAAAAAAGATGAAGAAGGTTATGAGTTTTCCATCATAAAACCAATATTAGACAATATCCAGAGAAACAAACCAATTGAATTACCTGTCCGCTGTATATGACGCAACCTAAAATAAAAGCAAGAGTAAATGCAAATTACTTAATTGTCTAGTTATTTATTTATTATAATATCATTAACTTATGAATGTTAACAGTATTTTTGTAGACTGTGCTTCTCACCTGGTGGTATGTGCTGGGATAAGGCCAACTTGCTGTTAATGATGGATGACACTACATCAGGAGAAACTGTAGCCATGGCCAAGTCCAGTCTGTTAAACCTACAACAGCAACATGTGGGATTAATATCACAATGTAATCTTTCATATGATTATTGTAAATAATCAATATAGAATCTGAAGTAAACATGAATATATATGGACTCACAGTGTTTTGTATGATGAACAGGAAAGGTTTCCCTTCAAATACAGAAAACAAAGATTATTACCTTCAACAAGAAGAACAAAGTGTACATTTTGAATAAAGAGGAATCAGGTTTCTCTTTCTACCTGTTGGACAAACATGACGAGGTGGGACAGGAACTCTGTGAATTTCATCTCGTTTGGAGACTCAGTCAGGTAATCAAAGATCATATTTATGACAACGTCTTTGTCTGGATGAGCAGGAAGAGTCACCACCAGCAGCGCTGCACTCTGCTTTGGAGTCAGGAGTCGTAGCGCCTCCAGCTGAATGGAAGAGAGGATCAACAATAAGTTTACTGCTGCTGAAAATAACAAGGTAATAACAGCACTGACCAGTTTTATAAACTCTTGATGTTATCAGAAATGAAATCTTACAGGTTCGAAGTCTGGGTTGAGATGAATCAGCTCTCTGACGGTCAGTAGTCTTGAAAACGGACCCAGATTCTTCATCAGCCAATCTGCACTGCCGTTGGAGGCCGACACACAGGCTAGACCAAGTCGTAAAGATAAAGAAGATTGAGATAATGGCAAACTTGTCTATCCATTTGTCATCTAACAACATTGTTTTCAGGTGTACAATGAGTATTACAGCTTCAACAAGCCACTGTACATATTTATTATTATATATTAACTGTAGCAAAAAAACATTTGTCAAACATTTCTTAACATTTCTTCACTTTTTTGTAAAGTGTAAGAAGACTTTGAGACTTAACGCTCAAAATAAACTGACTGACTTTGATTCTCCATCTTCATGGAAATCTGAGGACTTACCTGCTGTGTTGTTGCTGGTCAGGTAAACCTGGATGAAGTGTGTGTAGACTGTCATCTGACTGTGGAGTGTCATGTGTGGCTGAAGACTGCCCAAAATCTGTAAACTGAGTTAAGAAAGAAAATGAGGGGTCAATGAGAATCAAAGAATCAGATCTGCATTGATCTCTCATAAGTTTAGATGAAGATGACAGTAAATGTGTAAGCTTACATGTGCTGGTAGGTGCTGCAGTTCAATCCCTTTGTGTTGAGACATGAAAGGAAGTCAGGGGAAACTGTTGGCAGGAATGGACGAAGCCGGTGGTTGAACCACAGCTGGATGATGGCAGGATCGCTGAAATTAGCTACGCTCAATTGGTCCAATCGGATTTCTCGTATAGCGTCCAAAACCATCGACAGAACAGGATTTCTGGGGTCCAGAGTCTTCAAGAGAAAAAAAAAGGTATCCAGTGTCTAGTTCTGGTCAGGAGAGAGTAAGATGAAGAGTGTTGCTGATTCCTACCTTGTTGCTTAGAAGATCCAGAGCTTCATCCAGCACAGGTGAGGCTTTGGAGAGGAGAAGCTTCCAGACGGGTCTTGAGCTGCTTGAGTTGGAGAAGCGATCACACGCCAACATCGCTGCCAGATCCATTGCTTTCAACGATGACAGCTGTGTGACAAAGAGCAGAATGACAACAGCTGAATGATGACGGAACATCAGAAAACATACTGAAGATCACATTGAAACAGTTTCACACAGCAGTAGTTGGAGGACAGTCGTTGATCTGAGATGTTTTGGTGTCTTACCGAGGCACAAGCAAATTCCTCAACAGCAAAGTGACAGAAACTTCCGTTCATCCGTCCGCTGTCAAGATGGAGCTGCAGCATTGTGCTGTAGTTTCAAAATAAAATAAAACGTCAAACATTTATTGACAAAATATTAAACAATCTCAGAGTAAGATACCAGAGAGTTTATAAATCTCACCTGTTCACTCCAACACAAATGTCTGTTTCTGTGAAAAATAGAATTAAAATAATTAATGGTGATGACTAACATTAAATTATTGAATCATTTTATGAGTTAACTTTTTAAGCAGTGAGACAACTTACCATTTGTCATGGTAACTGTGCACTTGGGGGAAAAAACGATGAAGAAGGTTATGAGTTTTCCATCATAAAACCAATATTAGACAATATCCAGAGAAACAAACCAATTGAATTACCTGTCCGCTGTATATGACGCAACCTAAAATAAAAGCAAGAGTAAATACAAATTACTTCATTGTCTAGTCATTTATTTATTATAATATCATTAACTGATGAATGTTAACAGTATTTTTGTAGACTGTGCTTCTCACCTGGTGGTATGTGCTGGGATAAGGCCAACTTGCTGTTAATGATGGATGACACTACATCAGGAGAAACTGTAGCCATGGCCAAGTCCAGTCTGTTAAACCTACAACAGCAACATGTGGGATTAATATCACAATGTTATCTTTCATATGATTATTGTAAATAATCAATATAGAATCTGAAGTAAACATGGATATATATGGACTCACAGTGTTTTGTATGATGAACAGGAAAGGTTTCCCTTCAAATACAGAAAACAAAGATTATTACCTTCAACAAGAAGAACAAAGTGTACATTTTGAATAAAGAGGAATCAGGTTTCTCTTTCTACCAGTTGGACAAACATGACGAGGTGGGACAGGAACTCTGTGAATTTCATCTCGTTTGGAGACTCAGTCAGGTAATCAAAGATCATATTTATGACAATGTCTTTGTCTGGATGAGCAGGAAGAGTCACCACCAGCAGCTCTGCACTCTGCTTTGGAGTCAGGAGTTGTAGCGCCTCCAGCTGAATGGAAGAGAGGATCAACAATAAGTTTACTGTTGCTGAAAATAACAAGGTAATAACAGCACTGACCAGTTTTATAAACTCTTGATTTTATCAGAAATGAAATCTTACAGGGTTGAAGTCTGGGTTGAGATGAATCAGCTCTCTGACGGTCAGTAGTCTTGAAAACGGACCCAGATTTTTCATCAGCCAATCTGCACTGCCGTTGGAGGCTGACACACAGCCTGGACCAAGTCATAAAGATAAAGAAGATTGTAATAATGGCAGAGTTCTCTCTCCATTCGTCATACAACAAAATTGTTTTCAGGTGTACAATGAGTATTACAGCTTCACAAGCCACTGTTAATATTTACTTTTATATATTAACTGTAGTAAAAAATTCTACAAAATTTTATAACTTTTTTGAAAAATGTACAGAGAGAAGTTGAGATTTTACACTTAAAATAAACTTACTGAGTTTGATTCTCCATCTTTATGGAAATCTAAGGGCCTACCTTTGGTGTTGTTGCTGGTCAGATAAACCTGGATGAAGTCTGTGTAGACTGACATCTGCCTGTGGAGCGTCATGTGTGGCTGGAGACTGCCCAAAATCTGCAAACTGAGTTCAGAAATAAATTGAGGGGTTAATGAGAATGAACAAATCAGATCTGCATTGAAGTCTAAGAAGTTTGGTTGAAGGTGACAGTAAATGTGTGAGTTTACATGTGCTGGTAGGTGCTGCAGTTCAATCCCTTTGTGGTGAAACATGAAAGGAAGTCAGGGGAAACTGCTGGCAGGAATGGACAAAGCCGATGGTTGAACCACAACTGGATGACGGCAGGATCACTGAAATTAGCTACGCTCAATTTGTCCAATCGGATTTCTCGTATAGCGTCCAAAACCATCGACAGAACAGGATTTCTGGGGTCCAGAGTCTTCAAGAGAAAAACAAAAGTATCCAGTGTCTAGTTCTGGTCAGGAGAGAGTAAAGTGAGGACTGTTGCTGATTCCTACCTTGTTGCTTAGAAGATCCAGAGCTTCATCCAGCACAAGTGAGGCTTTGGAGAGGAGAAGCTTCCAGGCGGGTCTTGAGCTGCTTGAGTTGGAGGTGCGATCACACGCCAACATCGCTGCCAGATCCATTGCTTTCAACGATGACAGCTGTGTGACAAAGAGCAGAATGACAACAGCTGAATGATGACGGAACATCAGAAAACATACTGAAGATCACATTGAAACAGTTTCACACAGCAGTAGTTGGAGGACAGTCGTTAATCTGAGATGTTTTGGTGTCTTACCGAGGCACAAGCAAATTCCTCAACAGCAAAGTGACAGAAACTTCCATTCATCCGTCCACTGTCAAGATGGAGCTGCAGCATTGTGCTGTAGTTTCAAAATAAAATAAAACGTCAAACATTTATTGACAAAATATTAAACAATCTCAGAGTAAGATACCAGAGAGTTTATAAATCTCACCTGTTCACTCCAACACATATGTCTGTTTCTGTGAAAAATAGAATTAAAATAATTAATGGTGATGACTAACATTAAATTATTGAATCATTTTATGAGTTAATTTTTTAAGCAGTGAGACAACTTACCATTTGTCATGGTAACTGTGCACTTGGGGGAAAAAAAGATGAAGAAGGTTATGAGTTTTCCATCATAAAACCAATATTAGACAATATCCAGAGAAACAAACCAATTGAATTACCTGTCCGCTGTATATGACGCAACCTAAAATAAAAGCAAGAGTAAATGCAAATTACTTAATTGTCTAGTTATTTATTTATTATAATATCATTAACTTATGAATGTTAACAGTATTTTTGTAGACTGTGCTTCTCACCTGGTGGTATGTGCTGGGATAAGGCCAACTTGCTGTTAATGATGGATGACACTACATCAGGAGAAACTGTAGCCATGGCCAAGTCCAGTCTGTTAAACCTACAACAGCAACATGTGGGATTAATATCACAATGTAATCTTTCATATGATTATTGTAAATAATCAATATAGAATCTGAAGTAAACATGAATATATATGGACTCACAGTGTTTTGTATGATGAACAGGAAAGGTTTCCCTTCAAATACAGAAAACAAAGATTATTACCTTCAACAAGAAGAACAAAGTGTACATTTTGAATAAAGAGGAATCAGGTTTCTCTTTCTACCTGTTGGACAAACATGACGAGGTGGGACAGGAACTCTGTGAATTTCATCTCGTTTGGAGACTCAGTCAGGTAATCAAAGATCATATTTATGACAACGTCTTTGTCTGGATGAGCAGGAAGAGTCACCACCAGCAGCGCTGCACTCTGCTTTGGAGTCAGGAGTCGTAGCGCCTCCAGCTGAATGGAAGAGAGGATCAACAATAAGTTTACTGCTGCTGAAAATAACAAGGTAATAACAGCACTGACCAGTTTCATAAACTCTTGATGTTATCAGAAATGAAATCTTACAGGTTCGAAGTCTGGGTTGAGATGAATCAGCTCTCTGACGGTCAGTAGTCTTGAAAACGGACCCAGATTCTTCATCAGCCAATCTGCACTGCCGTTGGAGGCCGACACACAGGCTAGACCAAGTCGTAAAAATAAAGGAGATTGAAATAATGGCAAACTTGTCTATCCATTTGTCATCTAACAACATTGTTTTCAGGTGTACAATGAGTATTACAGCTTCAACAAGCCACTGTACATATTTATTATCATATATTAACTGTAGCAAAAAAACATTTGTCAAACATTTCTTAAACATTTCTTCACTTTTTTGTAAAGTGTACAGAGAAACTTTGAGACTTAACGCTCAAAATAAACTGACTGACTTTGATTCTCCATCTTCATGGAAATCTGAGGACTTACCTGCTGTGTTGTTGCTGGTCAGGTAAACCTGGATGAAGTGTGTGTAGACAGTCATCTGACTGTGGAGCGTCATGTGTTGTTGAAGACTGCCCAAAATCTGTAAACTGAGTTAAGAAAGAAAATGAGGGGTCAATGAGAATCAAAGAATCAGATCTGCATTGATGTCTCAGAAGTTTAGATGAAGATGACAGTAAATGTGTGAGCTTACATGTGCTGGTAGGTGCTGCAGTTCAATCCCTTTGTGTTGAGACACGAAAGAAAGTCAGGGGAAACTGTTGGCAGGAATGGACGAAGCCGGTGGTTGAACCACAGCTGGATGATGGCAGGATCGCTGAAATTAGCTATGCTCAATTGGTCCAATCGGATTTCTCGTATAGCATCCAAAACCATCGACAGAACAGGATTTCTGGGGTCCAGAGTCTTCAAGAGAAAAACAAAGGTATCCAGTGTCAAGTTCTGGTCAGGAGAGAGTAAAGTGAGGATTGTTGCTGATTCCTACCTTGTTGCTTAGAAGATCCAGAGTTTCATCCAGCACAAGTGAGGCTTTGGAGAGGAGAAGCTTCCAGGCGGGTCTTGAGCTGCTTGAGTTGGAGGTGCGATCACATGCCAACATCGCTGCCAGATCCATTGCTTTCAACGATGACAGCTGTGTGACAAAGAGCAGAATGACAACAGCTGAATGATGACGGAACATCAGAAAACATACTGAAGATCACATTGAAACAGTTTCACACAGCAGTAGTTGGAGGACAGTCGTTGATCTGAGATGTTTTGGTGTCTTACCGAGGCACAAGCAAATTCCTCAACAGCAAAGTGACAGAAACTTCCATTCATCCGTCCACTGTCAAGATGGAGCTGCAGCATTGTGCTGTAGTTTCAAAATAAAATAAAACGTCAAACATTTATTGACAAAATATTAAACAATCTCAGAGTAAGATACCAGAGAGTTTATAAATCTCACCTGTTCACTCCAACACAAATGTCTGTTTCTGTGAAAAATAGCATTAAAATAATTAATGGTGATGACTAACATTCATTTATTGAATCATTTTATGAGTTAATTTTTTAAGCAGTGAGACAACTTACCATTTGTCATGGTAACTGTGCACTTGGGGGAGGAAAAAATTAAGAAGGTTATGAGTTCTCTATCATCAAACCAATATTAGACAATATTCAGAGAAACAAACCAATTGAATTACCTGTCCATTGTACATGACGCAACCTAAAATAAAAGCAAAAGTAAATACAAATTACTTTATTGTATAGTTATTTATTTATTATAATATCATTATTACATAAATGTTAATAATATTTTGTAGACTGTGCTTCTCACCTGGTGGTATGTGCTGGGATAATTCCAACTTGCTGTTCATGATGGATGACACTACATCAGGAGAAACTGTAGCCATGGCCAAGTCCAGTCTGTTAAACCTACAACAGCAACATGTGGGATTAATATCACAATGTTATCTTTCATATGATTATTGTAAAAAATAAATATAAAATTTAAAGTAAACATAAATATGTATGAACTCACAGTGTTTTGTATGATGAACAGGAAAGGTTTCCCTTCAAATACAGAAAACAAAGATTAGTACCTTCAACAAGAAGAACAAAGTGTACATTTTGAATAAAGAGGAATCAGGTTTCTCTTTCTACCTGTTGGACAAACATGACTAGGTCGGACAGGAACTCTGTGAATTTCATCTCGTTTGGAGACTCAGTCAGGTAATCAAAGATCATATTTATGACGACGTCTTTGTCTGGATGAGCAGGAAGAGTCACCACCAGCAGCTCTGCACTCTGCTTTGGAGTCAGGAGTCGTAGTGCCTCCAGCTGAATGGAAGAGAGGATCAACAATAAGTTTACTGCTGCTGAAAATAACAAGGTAATCACAGCACTGACCAGTTTTATAAACTCTTGATGTTATCAGAAATGAAATCTTACAGGGTTGAAGTCTGGGTTGAGATTAACAAGCTCTCTGACGGTCAGTAGTCTTGAAAACGGACCCAGATTCTTCATCAGCCAATCTGCACTGCTGTTGGAGGCTGACACACAGGCTGGACCAAGTCGTAAAGATAAAGAAGGTTGTAATAATGCCAAAGTTGTCTCTCCATTTGTCATCCAACAACATTGTTTTCAGGTGTACAATGAGTATTAAAATCTCACAAGCCACTGTAAATATTTACTTTTATACTTTAAGTGTAGAAGAAAACATTTATGAAACCTTTTTACCTTTTTTGAAAAGTGTACAGAGAGAAGTTGAGATTTTACACTCAAAATAAACTTACTGAGTTTGATTCTCCATCTTTATTGGAGTCTAAGGACCTACCTTTGGTGTTGTTGCTGGTCAGATAAACCTGGATGAAGTCTGTGTAGACTGACATCTGCCTGTGGAGCGTCATGTGTGGCTGGAGACTGCCCAAAATCTGCAAACTGAGTTCAGAAAGAAAATGAGGGGTCAATGAGAATCAAAGAATCAGATCTGCATTGATGTCTCAGAAGTTTAGATGAAGATGACAGTAAATGTGTAAGCTTACATGTGCTGGTAGGTGCTGCAGTTCAATCCCTTTGTGTTGAGACATGAAAGAAAGTCAGGGGAAACTGCTGGCAGAAATGGACGAAGCCGGTGGTTGAACCACAGCTGGATGACAGCAGGATCGCTGAGACTGCCTTCACTCAATTTGTCCAATCGGATTTCTCGTATAGCGTCCAAAACCATTGACAGAACAGGATTTCTGGGGTCCAGAGTCTACAAGAGAAAAACAAAGGTATCCAGTGTCTAGTTCTGGTCAGGAGAGAGTAAAGTGAGGACTGTTGCTGATTCCTACCTTGTTGCTTAGAAGATCCAGAGCTTCATCCAGCACACGTGAGGCTTTGGAGAGGAGAAGCTTCCAGACGGGTCTTGAGCTGCTTGAGTTGGAGGAGCGATCACACGCCAACATCGCTGCCAGATCCATTGCTTTCAACGATGACAGCTGTGTGACAAAGAGCAGAATGACAACAGCTGAATGATGACGGAACATCAGAAAACATACTGAAGATCACATTGAAACAGTTTCACACAGCAGTAGTTAGAGGACAGTCGTTAATCTGAGATGTTTTGGTGTCTTACCGAGGCACAAGCAAATTCCTCAACAGCAAAGTGACAGAAACTTCCATTCATCCGTCCGCTGTCAAGATGGAGCTGCAGCATTGTGCTGTAGTTTCAAAATAAAATAAAACGTTAAACATTTATTGACAAAATATTAAACAAGCTCAAAGTAAGATACCAAAAAGTAAATAAATCTCACCTGTTCACTCCAACACAAATGTCTGTTTCTGAGAAAAATAGGAATAAAATAATTAATGGTGATTACTAACATTAAATTATTGAATCATTTTATGAGTTAACTTTTTAAGCAGTGAGACAACTTACCATTTGTCATGGTAACTGTGCACTTGGGGGAAAAAAAGATGAAGAAGGTTATGAGTTTTCCATCATAAAACCAATATTAGACAATATCCAGAGAAACAAACCAATTTAATTACCTGTCCGCTGTATATGACGCAACCTAAAATAAAAGCAAAAGTAAATACAAATTACTTAATTGTATAGTTATTTATTTATTATAATATCATTATTACATAAATGTTAATAATATTTTGTAGATTGTGCTTCTCACCTGGTGGTATGTGCTGGGATAAGGCCAACTTGCTGTTAATGATGGATGACACTACATCAGGAGAAACTGTAGCCATGGCCAAGTCCAGTCTGTTAAACCTACAACAGCAACATGTGGGATTAATATCATAATGTTATCTTTCATATGATTATTGTAAATAATCAATATAGAATCTAAAGTAAACATAAATATATATGAACTCACAGTGTTTTGTATGATGAACAGGAAAGGTTTCCCTTCAAATACAGAAAACAAAGATTAGTACCTTCAACAAGAAGAACAAAGTTTACATTTTGAATAAAGAGGAATCAGGTTTCTCTTTCTACCTGTGGGACAAACATGACGAGGTCGGACAGGAACTCTGTGAATTCCCTCTTTTTGGGAGACTCAGTCAGGTAATCAAAGATCATATTTATGACAACGTCTTTGTCTGGATGAGCAGGAAGAGTCACCACCAGCAGTTCTGCACTCTGCTTTGGAGTCAGGAGTCGTAGCGCCTCCAGCTGAATGGAAGAGAGGATCAACAATTAGTTTACTGCTGCTGAAAATAACAAGGCAATAACAGCACTGACCAGTTTTATAAACTCTTGATGTTATCAGAAATGAAATCTTACAGGGTTGAAGTCTGAGTTGAGATCAAGCAGATCTCTGACTGTCAGTAGTCTTGAAAACGGACCCAGATTCTCCATCAGCCAATCTACACTGCCGTTGGAGACCGACACACAGGCTGGACCTGGACCAAAGTCATAAAAACAAAGAGATATCTCTAAATGCAAACATATTTTCAGCTCTTGAGTTTAGAAAGATGAAATAGTTCTGAAAATAGTCACATCATTATAGTCATTCACTTCAGTACCTGAGTGCGACAGGAAACGAAGGACGAAATCCTTGAGCACCACATGCTGTTGTTCTAAGGTCATGTTGTCAACAGGGTCGATAAATTCCTCTAGTCTGAAAACAAAATCAACCATAGAATTACAAATATTAGATAATGAGGGTAATTAAATAATGAAAAATGGTCTTAAACTCAAGATGTTGTAACTCTCATTACACAGTTGGATGAAAATTGGAGACACAAGGAGGGAGACTTTGTCATAACCTAAATCAAACAGGCTGCATGGTGGCAATTAACATCTCAAACTCGTCAGCCGTAGATGAGCTCTTGATATTTTAATGCTTACATTAGCCTGCTAGCTTTGGAAGAATATCTTCCTACTTCCTGAAACCTGCACTAACTTCATTTTTTGCCACTTGGGGGCAGCAGAGAAAGCTGTAAACACAACACTGATTTATTATGAATATTTAGTTAGCAAACAGATTACAAACATTCATTTTACTGTGTTTCTGTCCACTTGAATGAATGACAACCATAATTCTCTCTCCTTTTTGCTCTGTTTTGTTTTCCACTAACTACAATGTACAATATTAGGCTGTTTAGCTGATAAATGCTTCCCTATGTTCGCCAGCTAGTTGCTGGGCAGGTAATGTACAATGTCTTTTTCACAGAGAACAGCTGCCACTTGCTGAAAACAATATTGATCAGATGATGAGAACAAACCAAAACAGTAATGTTGCAGGACACAAACCACCCAAAAAATTAGCTGAAAGATGCTAAAATGCTACGGAGTTAGGCGATGCATTGTTAACATAAAAACATTGATTAGTACCACTTCAGTGGGATGTATTTCATGTTGGAACACATGTTGGGGTGAGACATAACAAGACATCAAACTGTAAGTGTAAACCAATAAGCTATTAGAGGTCCAGGGTGTAACATTTAGGAGGATCTACTGGCAAAAAATGGAATATGATATTCACAGGTATGTTTTCAACTCTGGCTCGAAAGAAAGGCAGGTTTGTTGAAAAATGACTATACAGAAGCATTATTTGGTTACACCCAGTGGTGTGGGGAGGTCTTGGGAGCCCATCTTTAACTTATTAACACGCTTAGAGTTAGCATGTTAAATTGTCCAACAGCAGGGTTCAAAGGAATCCTGACGTCTTGAGCCAAAAACAGCAAACTAGATAAAGGATGAAGGGTGATATGAAGTAATGTGCATGTTGCTATGACAGAGCATCTCTAATGTGAGGTTAGGGAGTCTGTGGACAGTCGCTTACATTTGCTGGTATGAATGACAACTGAGGTTCATGCTGCTCAGACAGCGCAGGAACATTCCTGATGCAGACGGCAGGAACCCGCTCAGACGGTTGGAGAACCACTGATCGATGACACTGCTGTTCATCAGCTGCTCATCCGTCAGTATCGACACTCTGATCTCTCCAATCACGTCCAAAATCACTGACGCTGATGGGCCGACCATGGTCATGGACTGTAGGGGAGATCAGTTGATTGAATCATTATGGATTGCAATAACTTACCATTCCTAAATCACACCCCTGTGCTAGGGTCTGCAAGCCTCAGGGCTCAATTCTGATTTATTGCTCAGATCTGATTTTTGTATTTGTTTGGGTGTCCGCATTATTTTTTAAAATATGGCCCGGATCAGATTTCAGTGTGAACAGGTCACGGTCCTGGCGTGACCCGCATTGGCGAATGTCAGTCTAGAGAGACATGAAAGTCACATAAATTCTGATATGTCTGTTTACACTGAGGTCACATTGCCAAAAATCAGACCTGAATCTGATCTGACTACATATGAAAGTGGCTCAAATCAGAAACTGTAAGATCATATTTAATGTGAGTTGGACTGTTCACACTTGAAATGAGAAAAAAATGTAATCTGAGTCACATTTGAGTAAAAAATTACATTTGGGTCATGCATTAGCATAACATTAACGTTAACTTCAAATGAGATTATACATTTGTTGCTTTTAACCATCTTGAAAATGTAGTTGTCTTTTCAACATAGATGAGCCTAGCACATAGCATATAGCATATAAATTAACATATAGCAGTTCAGTAAAGGCAACAGTTGACCGAGGTCCAAAAAAGGGGTCAACTGGAGCTTCTAAACGATTTTAATTTTTTTTGGTCTAATACATTTTAAATTATTAATTAATAATCCTGTAAATAAATTGTGTGTGTGTGTGTCTGAATCAGAGTGTTAAAAATATTCTCACCATGTTAACCAAGATGTCCAGAGCTGGGTCCAAGACAGAGGAATGTTTAGTCAGCAGCAGCTTCCACAGCACCTTAGAGTGGCTGCTGTTTCCAGGCAAATTACATTTCAGAAGAGACACCAGCTGATTGGTTGTGAAGTTCTCCAGCTGTATGTGTGAGACAGTTAAATGGTCAATTTATTAATTTAAAACATATTTCCAATCAAATATCAGTCTTTATTGTCATTTCACAGTATATACAGCCTTTTACTTTAAGTCTTTTAAATGAGATCGTCACCTGTGCACATGCATATGTCTCCAAGGTAAAATTGCAAGAAACTTCCATAGATGTTTTCAAGTAAGATTGCAGGTCAGAGCTGTAAATACAGGAGAAAAAGCAAAATACATGTCAGAAAAGAGACTTTTGAAACTTAACATTATTTGCAATTTTGGATACAAATCATAAAATGGGATTACCTGTTAATTCCTCTGCAGACGTCAGTAACTGTCAAACAGCAGAGGAAAAAAAGATTTTAGCTCGATAAGCACTTATAGTAATGTAATGAGTGAATAAATGAGACTAAAAGAGATTTTTACCGTTGTACTGGGTTATTGGGCACTGTGAATGAAAGATTTAATAAATGTTATGGACCATTCAACTAATTTATCAGTAAACTTCAAACATAAACTCCAAAATACAAGTAAAATAGATTAATTGGAAATATAAGTTAAGCAAATTTAAAGAAATCTCACCGCGATGTTCTCTGGCACGCACTCTGAACAAATCGAAACATAGAAAACACTATTCAGTCAACTGTTGTGTGCACATGCTAACATTTGTGATACAATTTAATAAAAATAAAAAAAAACATCCACAAAATAAAATAAGAACTTATCCTGGCTGAGGAAATTAGGAAAAATCCATTAAACATTACAGTCAAGTTAACATGTTTTTCTGTGTATGAGACTGACCCTCTGGTGCCATGAGTATCAGCTCATCTATGGTAGCCCAGGTGACAGGTTCAATGCTTGGTGGCAGAGATGGTACGGCTCCATACAGTCTCTCAAAACTGACACACAAATAGAAAAAGAAACACTTACTTAGCATTTGAAGAAGTCATAGCCCAACTAAAGCAACATGAAATGAATTGAAATGTATTTTCTCTGCATCAAAATTAACATAGTGATAGACGATAATGGGATACAAGAGCCAGATTAATATGGGGGGTCATCAGAGAGGTGAGGAAAAAGCATACACTTGTGATACATGTCTAAGTAAACAAATAAATAAATGAATAAGTAGTGATAAGGGCAATAACTTAAATATAAATAAATCTGATAATAACTGGTTTATGAAGTGGTTCCCAAACTTTCTTTATGTCCCACTGTGGAAAGTCAATATTGGATATTTTTTGTCAAGTAATTAATTTGCTTATTTTATATGCTACACGACATTCTCAGCTAATTTTCCAGAAAATGTAATATGTCATAGTATCTATATTAATATGATGGGGGTAGGGTACCTTTCATAATTATAATCATTTGAATACTGCAGCTGTCCTATGCGTGTATGCAACAGTACTTTCATTTTCTAATTTATGGTGGATTTGAAGCTATAATATGCAACATTTCTGCATTAAAATGTCTATAAACACCAGACCTATGTTATATATTTTGTTGTGTAGTTACATTATCCCAAATGTTTCCAACAATGTTCAAAAGAAAGAATCTTTAATTTTATTCAGGTAAAGGTGCATTTCACCAGTCATCTGTCAATGCCATTAATGGTGGTGAAGATAACAACTCCCATGATCCCACGCTACTTCACCACGTAATTAATCTTCATCTCTTAGCGCCAGAAATTACACATTAAAAGTAAAATCAATATAGATTGCTACACCAAAATGTAATCTGAAAGTACTCACATGTGTTTGTAGACACCACAGGGTGGCTCCATCTGGAAATTTTAATATATATTTTACAATTAATTATCCAGTTTTTCCAATAAGCATTTAGTTACTGTATAATTACAAAGCCGTTACCTCTTTGGCGAGCTTGACCAAGTAGTGCAGGACCTCCATGAGTTTCCTGTCTTCAGGGGACTCCAACAGGAAGTCAAACACTCGGTCAATGACAACGTCTTTCTCAGGTGGAGTGGGAAGAGGAATCAGCAGCATCTCTGCCATCTGCTTTGGAGACAATATTGGAAGAACCTCCAGCTGAACAGGAGACAAAAGAGAAGAAAGTATTTACATTAATCCGAAGGCGTCAGTGAAGTCGGTTATAGATGAAGCATGCCGGGTTTTCCAGACTTACTCCGGAGAAGTTTGAGTTAAGACTGTGAAAGTCTGAGATGGAGGCGAATGTTGAGAAGACACCAAAGTTGCTTTGGATCCAGTCTGCAGTGTGAGCGGCTGAGGACAAACACTGCGGGTCTGAAAAATACACACAAATATAATGTATATTTATAAATGAACCACAGACATTAACCCTTTGTCTCTGCATTATTCTTTATTCACGGTAAAGAAAAAAACTGAAACACAACAATGTAAAGTAAGTACATTTACATACATGTAAGTAGTTTATTGACACGTGATATACGTTAAACGTTAATAAAAATTGTAAAAGCTGTTTATAAACAACATACATGTACAGTTGTGTGTGCAGATATGTATATGTATAAATATATGTATAGGAGACAAAGTTTATGTGTTAATTGATAAGTAGAGGAGAAATGGTAGGAATAAATAAGTGTATACTTCCTCATTCTGCTTTTCGAACATTTACATTTAATTAGTGTTGTTTATGGGGATTTATTCATTCTGTTTGTGTATAGGACTAATGTTAATTTCATTGTGATGTTATTTTGTCTTGTTTTTTTAAAAAAAAAATTCTGTTACATGTTTGAAATAAACACAAACAAACAAAGGAGCCATTTTTCAGCATTTAACTTTTACTTTTGATACTTTAAATACATTTTGATGCTGATACTTTTTTACTTTTACTTAAATAATATTTTCAATGGAGGACTTTTAAGTATTTTTACACTGTAGTATGACTACTTTTACTTAATAGATTATCTGAATACTTCACCATGTGAACATTTTTATGAGGTATATTTTAAGTAAAAAGGACACTTTCACAAACTTCTGCCAACAGTTTACTTACCAGAGCCGTTGTGATGCAGCAGGAAGGAATAGATGAAGTGCTCATAGATGTTATGACTCTGCTCTGGATCCTCATCCATAAAACTCATGTGTCTGTTGAGTTCTGCCACACTGCACGTATAGGAAAATAAAATAAAAGAAATAAGAAACTGAATACACCAAACAGTGTGTGTGTGACAGAAAACATCATCTCCTCAAACCTGTGCACTCACATGGTTTGGTAAACTGGGCAGGAGAAGTTCTTGGTGCTGAGGCAGGACAGGAGGCCTGTGGGTATGTCAGGCAGGAGAGGCATCAGTTTGATCTGAAACCAGAGCTTGATGAAGTCCGGGTCCATCAGGTGTTCCTGGGTCATTGATGGAGATTCCACCTCGCCAAAGATTTGCTGAAAGTCGGACGCCAACTCGCCAAAGTTCTACAGGAAGAAACGAATAAGGGAGGACTGATTTCAGTTACATACAATAATTTAAATTTGTTATGTGTTAATTTTATGTGTCTATAATTATCAGTGCTGTAGACAAGACCACCTTTATCGAATCCAAGACAACTCAAGACCAGAAACCCACCTGATTTAAAACTCTGACTGACAGGTTATCCCCAAGTTAGTCTTTTAAAGGCACCGAAAATGATATGCTATCATTCCCAAATTGTTTGACACTTTTGCTATATATACTGTTAATAAATGTACTGTAATATAGGCACAACCCATGGACAAGAGTTAATTTATGCAGAGTAATGTTTGTAAAACAAGCTTATATTCTGTTTTATAAGCTGGATAAAGAGATAGAAAGGTAGATAGATCTACTCACCACTGTCGACAGTTCTCTGATCAGTGAGTTCAGACGTCCTGTCAGCTCTACAATCAATCTCATGATCGTCTCCTCAGACATTGTCAGGTTGGTACGAGCAGCACAGTGCAGGACATTGGCCACATTTTTCACTGCGTCAGTCAGCTGGAAAGAGGGTAAAGCTCATTAATATGACTTTTCAAGCAGAATTTTGACAACAAGGAAAGGTTATATAGACTTGATTATTTATAAAAGATTAAAAAATAAACATTTTAATGACGCCTCACCCCACAAGGGCTCTTATCAAGAGTGATGCTGCAGACATCCATGTTTTCAGAGGTTTCATTGTCCATGCCATGGTCGAGATAGCTGAACACAAACAAGACACAAACACACATTCAAAAGACTTTATCATACACCATCTTACATCACAGAAGCATATCGATAGTCCTGGGTGGATTGAGTGAGACTGGGGCACCAACTAAAGTTGCATCTGTTGATTGATCACTAGTGGGCAGTGGAACGTCACAACCAGCTGACAAACCCAGAACTTCAACACAGTTATCCCTTTATGAAGTTGCTATGGCTGGCATGTTAGCAAGCAATGGGCCTTTTATACATGCCATCATTAAGATTATAGATTAGGAGGATCCCTTGCATAAAACATAGAAACCCTTTCTCTTATATGTTGGTTTGAATATTTCTACCATTCTCACAAGAGGGTTTGTATCATAGCTCTGAATGCTCTGCCTTAAGAGGGACATTATTTATTATTTACCATTTAATTGATTTACTTTTATTTCGGCATATCTTTCCTTAATCATGTAAATATAATATACATAACAATACACCCTCAATTTATCTTTTTTCATTGTATTTATTTATTTTAAATGTATTTTTACTTGTATAGGATGTGACTCCTGAATCTTTTGCCTGTACGAATTTGGATCTGAATATGTGTGTGAGCCAAATGTTTGTTTGTTTATTTGTTTGTTGATGTATACATTTTATTATATGTATACATTTTATAAACATATATATATATATAAATTATAGATTAAGATATATCTTATTTAAGTTTGTACTTGACTCATATACTGCTATTGTTTCCCACCTAGCTTTTTCTTCACGGACACACTCACTACTCTTCACACACTAAAAAATATATATATGGAAAAAAGAAATGAATACAGAAGAACACTAATAAGAAATGTTTGTGGGTGACGTACAACACTTCGTGGAAGGCGAGTGTGATGTTTTGATGCATCAGGGCCCCGTCATTTGGCAAGAACCTCCGTAACAACGGGACCACCACCTGCTGGTACCAGTCCTCCACATTCGTCACGTCAAACTCTGGCTTCTCGGGAACTACAGATGTGTTTTGGGGCCGGTACAAATCTGCCAGCTCAGCCAGGGTCCAGTTGAGCAGGAACTGTGTCAGAGTGGTGCTTCTTATTTCTGATACGTTCGTCTGGAGACAAACACAGCAGGTCAGGAGTAGTTTCACTTCATATAGTCTGTGTGTATGTGTGTGTTAGTGCATGAGAGCTTATACCTCCTGTGTGAAGGACACAAAGTCATGAACAAAGCTCCTAATGGGTCTGAAAGCCATCATGAACCCATTTACAACCTGTAAGTGTGAGAAAAGAGGTGACATAGTGTAAGTTAAATGATAACATCTTCAATTAATAAACTTTTTATTTATTTTTTGTTTATGTTTCCTGCATCTTTTGCTGCATTAATTATTTTTTGGCCATTTGGGGCACCACAGTAACGTGAAACTGATTATCACCATATAAAGTTGATATGATGAGAGTGTTCACAGTTGCTAACTTTGTCTGTCTAACGTTTTGTGCTGAGGAGGTAAACATCATAGCTTTTTGCTGGAAATGACTGCATCTGGAGACGAGGTTAAAGCAATAGTTTAGTGCTTGTACAGGTTATACTGTATATAACATTATAATGCAGACTTGACAAGGTAAGCTGTTTCCAGTCTTTGTGTTAAGCTCAGATAACCAGCTGGTGGCGGTAGCATTCAGTGCACCGGCATGAGAGTGGTATCAATCTTCTAATCCAACCCTCAGCAAGACAGCAAAGGGTATTTCCCAAATTGTTAAACTATTAACTACTACTCCTTAAGGGGCCCAGTGAAAGTGAACAAAAACAGTGGCTGTTTGTTTCACCACTTCATAAAAGCTGCATTTGGAATATAATAATTTTAAATGCTCAAACCCAAGATATTCTAGTTTTTTATGGCTTTACATTATATGTTGCTATAATATTATATCTTTACCTTTATTTATACAGCACTTCTCAAAACCAGTTACAAAGCATTTTACATACAATTAAAAGGACAATAAGCAACAGTTAATAAATAAAAGTTAATAAAATGCAACAAAACAAAACATCACAAAACAAACGCTAAAATCAAGAAAAAATAAGTAAAAAAGTTTTTCGAGGTGACTTAAAATAAGAAAATGCGTTATAATAATTTATCTTCAAAATGTCTGACAGAAACTTCCCCCTTCAAGTTTGATAGACTTTATAAACTCGGCAGCACTACATGAGTTTACACACATGCACACACTGATATGCAGCTTAAAATGGTGAATATTTGTGATACCATGACCACAAGAAAATACCAGGTATCTGTTAAAATCACATCAACTACCAGCAGACTATAAAATACAATAATTTCAGATTACAGATACATTACAGTACCTCTTTGAGGTTGTTGTGTGGGGATGGTGGCTGGTATGGGTTATATGTGGGCTGTGGATAGCTAGGATGGTATCCAGTTGTCCAGTTGTGGCCTCCTTCAGGGCTGGCAGTGGGGGGAGGGCCAGCTCCCCCTGTCAACAAACTGTGGAAGACCAGGTTTAGGGTGCTGTTGTCTAAACCTGCAACCTCAGGCCTTAGCAGCAGCTCGGCCTTCTGTGCTGGAGACAGCAGGTGGAGAACCTCCAACTGTTGGAGAAAGAAAACAACAGAGCACAGGGACAAGATCAGGAGAAAATTAGTCGTCTGACAGTGAAAAAACTATTTTAAAACCTATAAATCTTTTAGAAAACTCAAGTTAACTCACTCCACTGAAGACCATGTTGAGCGTTGAGAAGTCATTCATTCGGGCCATGACTCTGAAGGCACCAAAATTCTTCATCAACCACTCCTCACTGCTCTCCTCTTGACTCACACAGCCTATACAGACATTACACACACTGAGTGAACACATTTCAATGCAATTCAATTCAATTTTATTTGTATATTCAAAAAATAAAATAAAATTTACATAAACCACCATAACTCTTAAATGCAGAACAATATATATATGATCTCAGAATAATTCAGCACAATTGTATGCAATGGCTATGAGTTTGATTTATAATCCTTGTTCAAAGATCTAATTCTCCATGGCAAGATTAAGCAGTTCTTTAAAAACCATGGTTGCAATCAGTCAAGATGATCTCCCCATATCCAAATTTAAATATAGAAGAACCTGTCGAGCACTGATTGATTTGCAGATTAAACAGAGCAAACTGTCGTATTCTCTTAGTAGTTGTATTCTCTTGTTTCTGCAGTAGTGTCTAGTTAAATATAAAGTTTAATTAAACACATAAAAGCTTTACCAGCCACTCTGTCTCCAGACAGAAAGGGGTACATAAAGAATGTGTAGATCCACTTTTGTCTGGCTGGATTCATCTCAGAATAATGGTGACTCAGCTCCCTCACCCTGCGAGAAGAGACAAGATGATGTGAAGTCGTTGCAACAAAGGTAACAGAAACAGACAGGCTGACAGAGACTCAGGCATACACAGTCTGGTAGGTGGAGCAGCTGAAGTTCTTGGTGCTGAGGCAGGACAGGAAGTGTTTGGTGATAGATTTCAGCATAGGTTTTATTTTGACCTCCATCCACATCTGAACCAGAGCTTCATTCTGGAGAGGGTCTGCTTCGGGGTTTAATGCCAGCTCCCCCTGCAGGCTGAGAAGTGGCACTCCCGTCATGCTGGACCTCTGTTGTGGGTGTAAAAAAAATAAAGATTGGGCAATTGAAATGTATTAATGGTGTGTGGATAAAGTGTTTCCTTAAACAGATAAAACACTTGTGACCTGTGTCTCTACAAAGGACGCCACACAACTATCTCATGTCACAGTCTGTAAAGTCTAAATGGCACTCCATGACCAACAAGCTTTACAAAACCAACTAGTCAGGTGAGAATTTCTGACAACATTGCTTTTGTTTTCTCCTGAAGAACATTCCTGTCCTGCTGTTAACTAACACGCACCATGAAGGTGTACACATCCATCGTTGCTTCAAGCATTCCTTTTAGCCTCCGCATGTGGTCTCTCCCTGTGTCTGTCGATGGCAATCCCACGCAGTGGAGGAAGTGCGAGGTTGAATCTGGCACCTTGGAATGAAGACAAAAGAAAGAGTTGAGCAATGGGGAAACAATTTGATGAAATGCTCATATTGCTTGGGAGGCTGGGTTTTCTTTCTGGCAGACATCAACAGATATCAGGAACTGCACAAGAGTTCAAATACTGATAAAATCACAAAGTTAGGGCAGCAGTTGCTCGGTCCATGGGAACTCGGCTTGGGTAGCGGTTCAAGTCCAGCATGGATCGGTCGATACTGAGTGTGGACTGGTAACTGGAGAGGTACCAGTTCACCTCTGGGGTGCCCATGAGCAAGGCACCTAACCCCTTGCTGCTTGGTGTGCTGTACTGCAGCAAACCCATCGCTTCGATATTTCTCAACATCAACCGCATGTGTATATAGGTTTCTGTGTGTGCTCAGACCTCTGTGTGTGTGTAAATAATACTAATCAGAATGAAAAGATGAATTAAAATTAGTAAAAATGAAAAACATATTGTGCAGTTCCTGCATTGAAATACATATGAGAGAGTAGTTGTAAGAGACAATTTATTATTATTTAATTTAAACTGAAAGTGTGTCGCCCAGTATATATATTTTTTTAGAAAAGCTGCTGTCAAATAAGACATTTAAGGCCACAGCAATCCCAAAAAAAAGCTGGTTCTTGTTGTCACACAGCTGCGGAGGTAGTCTATAGGTTTGGGGGACAGTCCTTTAGCTGACTTGGACCGAGAATTTGTTCCACATTAATACTATATACATGCATCTGGATGTCTTCTCTGATCACAGTTATTTAGCTTCACTTGTTCCAGGGCTCTACTATTTTATGTTCTGGCTCAGTGACATGGCCAAGTGATCACACTTAAATGAAACGGATACAAGTGTTTAATTACACATGTGCTTTTCCTGTAATAGTGTCTGGTGAAAAAGACCTTTATAATATTTCAACAAGAGTCACACATGTACAGGATGTCGGCTTGACAACAAATTTTTTTTTAGAGGTGACAAACACTCCTAATTGCCTAATTATACAATCAAAGGTTCTGGTGCATTTGTTGCAAAACTATGTACTGTGGCAAAGGTGAAAAGCCTGAGAGTATCAACACTACAAAGAACAGGATGAACAACTTCAGCCCCTACGACACCTACAACAGTCTGACTGGCTTCACCATATAACAAAAAACTAAATCTATTATTTGCTGTTTCTGATATGCAGTCTGCGTCTGTTGGACTATCAGATGTTTTGACAAACAATGTTCAGGTTTGAAGTATTTTATCATGCTCAGTTAGATAATCTGACTACTATGTTGAACCTTGATCCTGTTGGTATGTAGTCTGGGCAGTTTTTCAACTGAAAATCTTAGACAGCCGTCAGAGAGAGCAAAAACACAAGGAAAGATTTGACTAAAGATCAGGTGTCATAACAGCTCAGTAGTTATTCAGCCAATATGATTCAGTCTAATTTTAGAAAACACTTTTTTATTATTTCCCTACAGAAAACAGTAAATAATAACTTCAACTTCTCTGCTGTGAAACAATGACAAACACTGACAAAAGACAGGATTTAATGTATCTGAACTACAAAAACACACCATATCCACCCTATCCTGCTCTCCCTTTCTCTCTCTAACCCAGCTGGTTGAAGCAGATGGCTGCCAACATCGAGGTTTCTGCCTCTTAAAAGCAAGTTTTTCCTTGCCACTGTCGCTAAGTGCTTGCTTTATGGTTGGAACTGTATTATGATTTTATAAGGAGTACGTCTCTTTATGAAAAGTGTCCTGAGATAACCTCTGTTATAATTTGCCACTATCCAAATAGAATGTTATTGAATGGAATTAAATCCCCCCGGACAACTTTATAACTTGTTAAAAGTTGTTCTATCATTTGTTGTTCAGATAAGAACTGAGAAATTATTTCTAAAACAGATAATATCAGTAGTATGATGTTTGTACCCTTAGCTTTGATTATGATCAATAATTCAAATCCATCAACATAAGTTATGTGTGACAGTTTCACTCACCTGACCACAGTTTTCTGCTGTACTGCATGTTCCATTTCTGTAAATTTCCATTGGTGAAGCAACAAGACGTTTTACAGACAAAAGACAAGATAGATCAGTACAATCTCAGCAAGTAGAAAAGAACATGCTTCACTGGGTTTGTAATAAAATTGTTGTGTCACTGTGTCCACTTGTTGTTTCAGCTTTCTGATCTTACCTTTGTGCACTTGATGGCCCTGTTAGGAGAAGACAAAGTTCATTGTTAAAGCTGACATCTATGTTCTAGCCTACAGTACTTTAAATAGAGACGTGAGCTGCATCAGTAGTGATACAGATAATTACATTATGGTCAATTAAGGAGTAAATGTTATGTTTTCTTTTCCTACAACAGATTACTCTGATTGTTGAGTGTTAAAATGGTCCAAACTTTAACAAAAACTGACATTAAAACTGTGTCACAGGAGTGTTTCCAGCTATTATATTTAATTTTTATCTGCACTGTATGTATTTTATGTTTCCCAAATACCTGTTTTTGCCCACATATCAGGGAGGATGAGAAAAAACATAATGCTGCATAACAAAATGGGGCAAGAAAAGCTGTGTGTTTAAAGGATAATGTTGACAATGCTCTCTATTTTTGTATTGTCAGTAAATCCAGTTAAAAAGACAAAACTAACTAGGGAATTAATCCTCATGTATTGTATATATGAAGTAGTTTATTCGTATGTTTGCAAGATCATCAATTCATTGTAATGAAGGAACATGCCACTTTACTGGCTACTTGATATGTTTTAATAGTTTTTGGACAATCGTGGAGCTCTACGGCACAGAGGAATAACAGGATACACTTGTTCATTGTTGGTTTTGGTCTTTTAATGACATTTATTGACAATAACGAAAATATAGAATATCACCAGCCTTGTCCTTTATGGGTGGATTTGTCCATTGACACTTATTCCTTAGAGAAAAGACACATAATCTGTTCTTACCAAAGCAGCTTGCCAGGAAGTAAACCAATAGGAATAGGTTGCGTGATCTCATGATGTGACAAGTCTCATGGGGACGAGACGTCTTTGTGGAGAAATATACTGGAAGAGGGAATCAGAGAAAGCAGATGATATAATCAGCCACTACACCAACAAGCAGGTGGACTATAAACCTGATTTAAAAGGGTCTTTCTTTTAAAGTAAACTCAAAAATACAACAAAAACAAAAAGCATTATATCACCAATCATATTAGTGGGAGAACTAGCAAGTACATTGTAAAATAACTGATGGTATGTAATCCTTATCAAAGAGCCAGGCCACTTTCTGCTCCTGTGAAATCACACCATATAAAAGTTTAATATATATAAATTTAGGGTTTTTTTTACATGCTGTCCAGTGGCTGTCAACAACGTTTAACATCAGTGCACATTGTTAAGTCAAGGTTGATGCCTGTGGTTTTGCTGGCTGATAGGAATCAGGGAGTGGCAGTAAGATATTTTACATTCAGTGGCATAAAGTGACCTTTAACATAGCGATAGAAAGAAGATGAAACAATGGAGGCATCAGTGCAAAGAATGCAGTAACTCTAAACCTTCCACCTACGAACAATGAATACAAAGAGTAGATATATATTCTGTAAAATGTTACCAGAACAAAGATTTTATGTTGTTTGACAATGATACTCACAGTATCCATTGCTAATGCCTTCATATATGACAGATTATCTGCTCGATATCATTTAAAAACCAGTGTTGAGTATCTTTCAGACAGTGTGTGACAAGAAAATGGAGCTTATAGTGCAAAAGTCAAGAACATATCTCACTGAGGCGAATGACTCAAACCCACGATTTAAAGATTAATATTTATCAATTTCTTATGTTGTTGCTAATTAACTCATATCTCTCAGTTTCTGTCAAAGTTAATTGATAATAAATAAAGACTAATACACTTTTTTTTGTCATAAGACTCAACCGTAAAACTCTATCTCTATCTCTAACTCTATCCTCTATTATCTCCCCTTTTTGAATGCCACTAAGAACTGTAAAGAGTGGAAGTGATGACTTTTATAGTGCTAGATAGCTATAGCTAGCCACTCTACTAAAATAATGTTACCATTGTAACTAGTAAGTTAGCAAGTTGGTGACTGTCCAAACTTAATTAAATAAGCATATAGTGCTGTGCAGTATGAGTAAAAAGTTGTATCAGAGTATATTTTAAGATTAAATATCATGTTTTGTGGATTTTTTCCTACAACGTAGTAAAAACAGAACTTAAACCTAACCCTAAATAAATTAGTTGTATTAACACGATGAACTATCTAAGTATTTAAGTATTCAAAGCGATATTTTTAAAATTGCACAAATAGGAAACAAATGAGTCACAGCACTTGCTTCAGCTAGTGCACCAGTATGGCGGTATATATAAAGAATGAATATACAGGAAATTAAAACCAGTATACTACTTCATGTGGCATGTCGCCCAGTATTACATACGCATTTGTTTGTACTTTTTCTGTCCATCAGATGACTTTATAAACTCTACTTTTAAAAGCTGCTATATAAATAAAGTTATTATTATTATTCAATATTTACTTTCCTCTAAGAAATATATGGAGCTTGCTTGATGCTTCATATTTTCACCAACTCGTCATTAACTTTGTGTGTTTTTACTGTTTGGTGCTGGGCTGGTGTAGTGTACAGTGGATCTGTCAGAGCTTTTATTACTGCGGGTGGAAACAAAGGTGGTAAGAATGGAGTTTGCAGACTGTAAAAACGAATGATCCAATAGACTACAAGACTCACTGCGTCATTACGAGCGACTTCTTTCACATTACGTGTGAGTTATTTGATCTAATTGTTATAATAAAAATATATAAATTAGTGCCGCTTTAACGCTTAACCATTCGCTTAACACACACACTCCCTCTCAGTTCCCTCGCAACACTTTCACCCATTTATCCAGAGATACATATTGCACCATACATCTTTGTGTTGGAATAAAGAGTTTGTTCACTTTATGTGTTTGTTCAGGATCATTCCCTCTCCACACACTGGCAGCTGAAAGACAAACACAATTCTCTGAGACTAATTTGTTATTTCCAACCGAAGTGGTGCCAAACTATTTGAAAGATGTTTGTCCAATAAGGCTGGTTAAATTATGTCACATATATATATATATATATATATATATATATATATATATATATATATATATATATATATATATATATAATATTCCCTCCAGTCAGATATTTTTGTCTTTTAGATCCATATGACAGTATGTATAGTAAGAAGAAGTATAAAATTGAATGGGGACTGTAAGGATTTTTACTACATAACATGTAGCTACACAGTCCTTCAATAGAGGTTAACAGTCCAACACTTTTAATTTAAATGTTAATTTACACTTTATGAACTACAAATTACAAATGTTTCGTTATTGCAGGATATCTAATTTACCTTTGATGGACTAAAACAGTTTTTTTCTTTTCTTAAAACAACATTTTTGTTACTTTTAGGTTTATGGTTGAAGTGCGAAAATGTAAAAGATCACACATAAAAAGAAACACTGTAACGAAGAACATTTACTCAAGTGGTTTGAGGTACTTAACCTGAGGATTTGATACTTCTACTTCACTGTATTTCAAGAGGAAATTCAACAATATTATGATTTATTACTTATATTTACAAGTTACTTTTCAAAAGATTGTACAAGCAAAACATGTGAACATCTTACAAACTTTATGACTAATACTATATAATAACACACTGTATAACATATAGTGACTCTGTGTACACATTAATGAATCAGATATAATTATATAATAATAGCACAAAAACAATAACAATAACACTCTGAAAGGAAGAGTTCTTTTACTTTTTATTCTTTCAGTTCATACTTGATAAGAATATAAGAATTATTTAGTATTTAGGACTAATTAAGGAATATTTATACACCGATGTTGCTGTTTTCTACTTAAATAAAAGGTCTGAATGTTTCTTTCTGCCACAGTTTTTTCCTCCCTGAGAACATTTTGTTGACTGCAGTCACAAGTCAAGTCATTTTGTCAGCTAATGTTTTGCATTAGTTATTCCTTTTTCCAAACGTTATCTAGAAAGTCACATTTTTAGGCCTCTTCTTACCTCATACAGGTTTGAGCACATGCTAACCCAATTTAATGAGGCAGAAATAATTATTCCCACAGCTCAAATCCCTTAACGGCGTGTTGTTGCCAGAGGTACACACTCACACACGACATAAAAGGACCAGGTTATGGTACTTTAAGTGATTGCCTCACTGATTTCCCTCCGTAACTGAATGCATCTATCTCTATGTGACCAGCATTCACTATAAATCTATCAAGGACATATTGTTTATATTATAACATCAATCAGTAGGGATAGACAGGTGCACATATACGATCTTAAGAGATAACATTAAACATTGATGATGGAATCCGTTAGCACTGACAGATTTGTCCAGGAAAATAGACCATCCAATAAAATGAAATCAAAGCAGAATCACTTACCAAATCTTTTTTAGTCGCTGGACTCCTTCAGGTGCTGTAAAGTGCTGGTGTGTAACTCGCTCCTGACACCTGAGACACAGGCGCACCAGTAAAGGGTGTGTTGTCTTGTGATGATGACATTGGTGATGGTGGCTGACTCCTATGTGAAAACAAAAGGGGGCAGGACAAAGTTGGCTGGGGGGGGGGTGGAGTCATGTGTGTACATTTATTCTTAGCTTTTCTGTAGACCAATGCCAATGAGAAAGAGAGCAATGAAAGCTAAAGAAAGAGACACAAAGTGTAAAGTTACATTTGATTCATGTTGAGTAGGTTAAGCCCCCCACCCCCTTTTGATGTATAGCCCATATAAGCTTCTGGCTTTGTCTTGGCTCTGTATCACTTAGACAGCAGCCATACAAGTCCCAAATTGTGCAGAAAAATAACATGAAGGTAACATTAAAAGGGATTTATTTGGATTTTTAAGCAGCTTGTCAGGGCAATTCAAACAAAGCTTGTACCACACCCAAATCAGGTATCATGTGTAGACACCAGAATAAGGTTTAAAAGGTAAGAAAGAGATCTTTTTTAATGCTTTCAAAGTGATAAGTTTCTCTAATATGTCTCATAATTTATTACAGGATTGTCTGACATTTGGTTAAATGCCTTAAAATAAGAAATAACAAGCAGAAAAATTGTCATAAAATCAAAATGTGGACAGTAAACAGCACAGTGGCAGAGTCTAAACACAAGCTGAGAAATGTGAGACTTTGATATGCACACACGCACACACACACACACACACACACACACACACACACACACACACACACACACACACACACACACACACACACACACACACACACACCAGTGCATGTACACACAGATCAAGTTCAACTGGTTTGTTAACTGGAGGCTTTGAACAAACTGAAGTCATTATTATAGGAAGCCCTTCATTCAGTATAAAGGGTGACAAAGTGCAAACACACCTCCAGCAATGTATTATGAATTAATAACAATCAAATTCAAATAAACTTAAGTTTACTCATAATAAGATAAAGGAGAAGTGTAAATCCCAGTATGCTCACAACAAGACACTTTTAGTATTTCAGTCATATGTGTGTGTGTGTGTGTGTAAAATGTATACATGTTTAAGCATTTTAAAGTTGTTAAAGGAATAGTTTGACATGTTGGGAAATACACTGACAGAGAGGTTAGATGTTGTATGCTAAATATGATGCTAGAGTTGGTGGAGACCAAAACTAGGCTAAGAGAAGAGCTGGTGCTGGATTTACTTTCATCAGGTGGCCAGAAACAAGACTGGTTGTGTGAACTTTAAATCATTCACTAACACGTTGGCAATATCAACTTTAATTAAGGTTCTGAAGTGTCAGTGTTGTGTTTACAGACTGTTGCCAAGTGGTTAGAAAACAAAATAACATTTAGCATTATTATGAGATTATATTATGATGATTTAAGTTTAGATCTCTTAAAAAAGAATGTATTGATGATGGGCAGTGTGATTATACTATTATCTTATCGTAACCTTGTTTCAAAAAACTATCTACTTTAATGATTATAGAAACTCTTGAGGTGGAACATGTGACTAAATGACTCAGTGTTTTCTTCACAGTGTTTTCCTCGGTGGCTCCTCAGCTCTCTGCATGCTCATGATTAATCCCCAGCTTCCTTTCATTGCTCCAGAGTCACCAAACTTACAGTTGCTGCATGTTGTTGTTCTGGCCGCCTGCCTGTGAGTGATTGACCTCATCTCAGATATTAACAGCCGTGTATCTGACTTGTGGTCCACAAGTTTCCAGCCTAAAGTCTTCAGTCGCTTCCCATTCTTCAGTCATTCCCCAACAAGCTGTCTGCAACTTAAGGTTTACTCTTCATCCCCTACTTCCTGCCAAACTCCTGGCCAGTCCACTCCTTTCTCCAGTAAAATCTCCAAAAACATAACCGTCTGACTATATTCTGTTACATCTACAGTAAGAGTTGGGAGAGTTATTTTAAAAATGTAATCTGATATCCAATTCTTAATTTCCTGTTAAAAAATGTAGTCAGTAACCTAATCCAAGTATTATAATATTTAATTACCACCAAAAACATCAAATATCAATAAGAAGTATTAACTGTAATCTATAAAACAACAGAACAACCTTTGAAAAGAAAATGGAAACAGAAAAACTGGAAAATGGAAAGATTTCTAGCATCAACAATGTTTCCTCTGCTCAGTATTTAAATAAAAATCTATTTTAAAATCGTAATCCTGCTATATATTAATCCTTTTTTTTCCTAAATGTGACTTTTTTTTGTGCCTTTTTGTTTGGTATCCTGATTGCATAACCGTTGAGTCTCTGTAAATAAATACAGTCTAGACCTGCTATATTTGAAAAGTGTCCTGAGATTACTTTTATTATGAATTGGGCGCTATACAAATAAAATTGAATTGAATTGAATAACTCAGTTACATGTGATCCGTAACCACCCAGGGCTGTATGCAGTGCTATAATAATTAATAAAATAATGAACATGTCACATGTACAACCAAAACAATATTTAAATGGTTACATGTGGAGTTTATTCACAAAGTTGAATGCAGGAATATTTTTCCAATACTTCATAAAGTTGGGGGACTCACAAGAGACTTTAAATGTTTTAAAAAGGTCCCAAATGATGTGTTACAGGCCGAGATTTAATTACTTTTAGTCCAAAGTGTGGGTGAAGCTTCAAAAACACCAGATTTTTATGACCCCTTTTAAATGATAATGGTTTATTCCACCGCTGGGTGGCAGTATGCGCTGTGAGGATGCGCAATTCATCTTCCGGTCGCGTATCGATGAAGAGGAAACAACATCATGGTTTGACCCAAACAACGAACAAATGCTGCTGAACTTTCATAACATTAACATTAAGGTTACATGTGAGGGGACAACTCTTAACATTCAAAGCGTTGTGTGTTGCCGTCGTCGTCTATCGAAATGCAGTTCCAGTAACGGTCGTCAACGGTTACGAGAGCCAAGCTACGGTAGCGAGCTGTACGTCATATGAAGCCTCCCAGCATGCTGTTCACTCACAGGTGTTTTCTGACAGCGCTCGGACACACAGCAGGTAAACTCCGGCTGAGAGCCGCCGGTATACGGTGCTGCTCCACGGTTCAGGGTGAAGTGAGGGTCCGGTTTGCACCTAGTCCGACAGGTAAGGTCCTCCACCAAAATATATAGAGTCAGAATGAGCTGTAAGGTTAACTGTGGGCTCAGTATCACTGTGCTGGTTGTTTACTACACGTGTTTCCATTCATAGATCAACAAATCAAACACACCTCGGGTCATTTTCTAAACAGTCCTTGGTTTATATGAGTTCTGGTGCTCCACTGATATGTGCCGCACACTGTAATCCAGGATATATGCTGCTAAAACACGTTTCAACCCAGATTAAATCAGTTTTACACAGGTTTATTTATTAGTTTAACTGTCTCTGGATGTAAAACATGGACCGCATATTGGCATTTTAGTCCATAGACTTGACTGGAACTGAACCGTAATTATTATCACTGCTAACACCTGTGTTTGCCCTACTGTTACATGTCAGAATGGCTGCTGTGAAAAAGGTATATTCAGACACTTTCCTTCAACACCAAACCCTTGAAGTCAGTGCAGCTGCAGGTCTGTCGTCACAGTAGGACAAGTGCAGGTGTAAATGATGAAATTAATGTTACAGATTATGAGTGAATAATCCAGAATAATGTATTGAACATTGTGTTGCACATTGACCCGGTATTGCATTGTTCAGCAGTCTGATGCTCTGACAGTATAATGTTCTGCGCTGCAGGTTTCTTGCACCTTGGAGGCCTTCGAACTGCTCTCTACAATTACATATTTGCCAAGAAGTATGGAGGCTCGTTCATCCTGCGACTGGAGGACACTGATCAGAGCAGGCTGGTACCAGGAGCTGCAGAGTCCATAGAGGACATGCTCGAGTGGGCCGGTAAGAAAACACTTGACTAATAGACTATCTTAATGAAATGTTATGTTTCAATGGTGTATTATGTCCCCATTGTTTTAGAAAGTTACCTAAACTCACTGTCACCTCCAGGTGTACCTCCTGATGAGAGTCCTCGTCGCGGTGGGCCGGTGGGTCCGTACCTGCAGTCTCAGAGACTAGATCTCTACGGTCAGATAGCCCAGCAGCTTGTCGAGAGCAATCACGCCTACTACTGTTTCTGCAGCACTCAGAGACTTGACCTGCTCAAGAAAGAGGCCTTAAGGACTGGACAGACACCTAGGTGGCTAGATAATACATATACACACACACACATATATATACACAGTTTCAACTCATCATATTCTCACAAGCTTGAAGATAATGTACAACAAGGACATCAGGATGCTTTTGTCAGAAGTAAGGAATTGGCTGTTTCCCCTCTCTCTTTCCCAGGTATGACAACAGGTGTCGTCACCTTCAGCCTAAGCAGGTGCAGGAGAAACTGGCGCAAGGAGTCCCGCATGTGATCAGGTTTCGCCTGGAAGAAGGTGTCGAGCCTTTTCAGGATCTGATCTTTGGATTCAGTCATCACGAGGTGGCCAAGGTCAGGTTTGTAGTTCCACTCTGTTCTGTGGGTTTCACACTAAATGATGTAGATTAGAACCTGACCGATGACAATTTTTGAGCGGAAAAAAATCACAGTTTACCTAAATGGCAGCTGATATAGTGAATTTTTGAGCTGGAATGAAAATAAACAGATTTTGCACCAATGTTTATGCAATAATACGCAAAAAGCTGCTTTCTTACACACATAACTCTCTTTAACATGTTAAATAATTTAAAATATAGTCTACATTGTCAACCAATTCTAGAAATGAACACTGAGAAAATAAAGAATAAATGAAAATAAAATGAATAGCTGTGAAAACATCAGGACTGTAAAAACTACAAGCCTTATATCGGCGAATATCAGATGACACATATACGCCGATTTCGGTATGATACCAATATGTCTGCAATATGCCAGTATCGGTCAAGTTTTAATGTAGGTCACTCATCGACGATCAATTCTACCTTTCTCTTGTTGTTTTTATGCACTTTTGCCATTAAATTCACTCACTTGATTCAAAAAACTCATTTATCTTCTGATCCTCCTCTTTTCTTTTTTCTTTTTTTAGGTGGAGGGAGACCCTGTGGTAATAAAAGCAGATGGCTTTCCCACCTATCACCTCGCTAACATAGTGGATGATCATTACATGAGGATCAGCCATGTGCTGCGAGGGTCCGAGTGGCTCATCTCCACCTCCAAACATCTCCTCATGTACCGTGCTCTTGGATGGCGGCCGCCCACCTTCGGACATCTGCCGCTCCTGATGAACAAAGACGGCGGCAAACTGTCCAAAAGGCAGGGGGACATATTCATCGAACGCTTCCAGAGAGACGGCGTCCTGCCGGAGGCTCTGCTGGATATCACAACCAACTGTGGATCTGGATTCAGCAGTAAGTGATGGAGTAAACCAAGTGATGTAAAGAAACTGTATTTAAATGCACACATATATTGCATAGCTTATTTAATATATATCTATGATATGAGAACAATTACATGCTTCTAAATGATTTATGTTGCTTGACAGGCAATCGAATTGGGCGGAGGATAGATGAACTGATCTCTGAGTTTAATCCTTCAAAGATTACAACACATTCTGCTCTGTTAGACCTGGAAAAACTACCAGAGTTCAACAGGTAATTAGGACTCTCTCTGTGTGTGTTTTGTACTGTATTTTCATGTTTCTCATGTTACCAACAGGACATAAAAGATTCTTACTTCTTCCCATTTCTGAGCATATCAGTGGCTTTGAATGGATATACTGGATTTTTTGCATTTTGTGATAGATTAACTGAACTTATGAACTCTTAATGTTTTGCACAAAGGATGGAAACAGACTTCAGGAAGTCACTGTACCAGCTAGGAAATACCCAAGTATACAACCACCCAAAACCACAAAAAGTGTTTACACTCTAGTGAGACCCAGGCTAGCAGTTTCCTCCTGTTTTCCGGCTTTATGCTAAGATAAACTAATCGGCTGCCGGCTGTAGCTTTGTGTTTACGTGATCAAAATAAGAGTGTTACCAGTTTTCTCATCTACCTCTTAAGTCCCAAAATTGTTTCCATGTCCACTGCACAGAATACAAACCCTTTGGTTTCATCATGAGCTTCTTCTGCTGCCACCTTTTGGTCAAACCTTTTCACCTCATACTAATGCTAGCATGGCTGTAAAGGTCAGAGTTCATATATCTACAATCTTTCTGACTGTGGCAGAATTCACCTACTACACCGTATTGAAGATGAGGAGCAGTGCCAAATGCTGATAAAAGATCTGCAGGGACAGATCCAGCAGGCCTACACAGCCGAGATCCAGGATAAGGAAGTACTACACGAGGGTTATATCAGACGGGTGCTACATCTTCGTAAGGTAACCATACAGCATATTTATGAATATGTATTCATACCATGTTAAGGTGCCAGCAATTTCACTGCAGTAGGGCACTAGGGGCAGAATTATTCTCCAAAGGGAAACATATTGGATAAACTTCCTTGATACCCTTATTCCCAATGTTATGATGAGGAGATTTAATTTGCTTATTTAGTATTTTTTATTTTTTATTTAAGTATTTCTTATGTATTGCATTTAACTTGAGGTATATTGGGCCTTATTTCAAATCATTTTACAATGTGTTCATATTTTCAGCATGCTTAACCAGGCTTAATGCCTAACTACACAACATATAGCTTAAATTGAAAGTTGAGCAAAGTTGTTGTTGCACAGCCTGATGCCCGCTGATTCTGACTATATGAGTGTGTCTGAGTGTAGCCAGTGTACCCAGGAACTGTGTGTATGTTTCATGTTATCATCTCAAACTGGTAGATGCATGAAAAATGTGTGTTTGTCCTGTTGATGGTGCTGTGTGTTTATTTTCAGTCCAGAGCAAAAAGGAAATATGGGAGGATTTTCATATCAGGCTGATAAATTGATTTGAATGTTCTGGTATGTGGAAGCCATAAAACTGAATACCAGTCGGGTAACTGAGTTCTCAGCTTGGACATTTACATGGTCTTGACAAAATGCAAATGGTCTTAGTCATCTGGGTTTTTCCTTCAAAGACTTGATGGGATTTAGATACATACATACTTGATTTCTAGCCCAACAACTTTCCATTTAGACGTTTACCACTTGTCTCTTCTTCAGATGTGGCTTGTACTCTTATTTCTCAATACTGCTCCTGTGCCTCCACAGTTATATTGAAACTATTCTCTTCCCCTTCTCTCTACAGGGTCACATATGCTCCCTTAAAGAGCTTGTGAGTCCTACTTTCTCTTACCTGTGGGTGCGTCCTTCTGTCTCCAGCCAGCAGGTGGCAGCGATCACTGCAGACGCAGAGCACATTGCTTCATTAGTGCTGAAGTATGTAGTGTTGACAAGTGCATGCTTCATCCTTTCAACTACACTGTTGTAGCAGGTTTATGATCATGTCTGTGTCTCTGCGTTATAGATTGGTGGCTGAGCGAGGTGAGGACCTGGCAGTGGATCGACTCAGTGAAGATCTGAAGGCTCTCGCTAAGCAGACTAAAGCCACGAAATACAGAGAAGTGATGAAGCTGTTGCGTCTGGCTCTCAGCGGTCTGCAGGTACCTGAAGACATCATGTCCAGACAGTAATATAAACAGGAAATTGGTTAAGGAGAGGTGGTAACTTCAAGCTAACGTTTACCCAGAGCTTCATCAGCAGCTATGTTAGAGGTATCCCTCACATCCTCTGCTGCGTGTGACTGACCTTTTCTACAACCTGTTGCTTCAATTACTTACAGATTAAGTGAAGGTATAATTTGAAGCCTGATCAGCCTGTAACGTGCTGAGCTGAATTCTTGCTGCATCTTGCCTTTTGTTTATATTTTAGCTGTTAAATAAAGGCCCAACCAATGGCTTCACTCAAACATAAAATAAAGGGTTTTTATTTTAAAGGCGAACTCCACTTATTTTACACTTTAAAGTCTGTGTAAAGATCTTGTGGAGTACTGCTGCTCCAGAGGGAGAAATACTGCAAGTTTGAAAATCAAGTGAGCTCAACAGACCTCTGCAGCCCGCCCCTCAACTCTGCTTGAGGTTAGCGACTCGAGGCTACAGTGGCTACTACCAGCATAAACACATCCGAATCCAAACTGTCTGTGGTTGAGTTGCATTGTGGGTACTGTAGTCACCAAGTTATGACAAGGAAGAAGAATGTGTGACTTTCTTTGTCCATCGTGAGACACTCGTCTTACAGAATGTTAATGCTATAATGAGAGCCGTAGTTCAGACAGTCCCAATATCAGTCCCAGGTTTACAGTTCCCTCCAGTCCTCACAATGTCTGAATAAAATGATCTGAATGAAGTCTGCTGTCATCAAACTTTTCCAGCATTAGATGGACACTTGAATCCAGAACCACTGTTTTGAAATCACACTACCAATAAGATACAGCCTTTCGGTCTGCGTCTCACCGAGACTGAAAGGAACTGTGAGTTAACAAATCAAACAAAGATTAAAATGTTTGTTTTTCTGAGCCTTATGCGTCTGTGTGTGTCTGCACTATGATGTTTTAGGGTCATGTATTTTAAGATCATTCATTTTAAGATCATTTTGACTAAGAGGAACTAATAACATTCTTTCTGTACCCTTTTTTTTTTTTACAGCTCACTTGTAATTTTCATTTCTGCAATTTGTATTTTTTCCACTTCATTTGTTTTTGCTGTAATCATGAAAAAAGAGAGTCTAAGATCCTTGTTGGACTATTGTATGTGTCCCTTTTCTTTTATTTCTCTCCATGGCAAGACTAAGCTAAACTCTAAAATAGCACGTTTGAAATGATAGTAATGACTAAAACCTCAGAAAGCCTACGGTGACTCATTCACCACAGTAACCTTGGAGATATTCAGAGAGGGAATATGGAAAGAGGAAATAAATTCTGATTACTTCTGAGAGGTTTACTCTGTTTTCTTGCTGTCTGGTTTTGATTTTGCATGACTTCACTGACCCCTGATCCTCTGTTCTCTTTCTGCCCTGCAGCAAGGTCCCAGTGTAGCTGAGCTGATGGTGTGTTTGGGGCCCGCGGAGATCAGCCATCGATTGCAGAAACTTGTGCTGCTTTCAGAGACTAGTTAAAGACTGCATTGTCACCGCACAGGCTGCTGGGAACCCGATGCAGACAGGAGCTGCTACCCTGGATGAATGAACTGCACGGCGCTCATATAACTGAAACAATACTTGAATTACTACAAATATCTTATAAAAAAAGAGATTTTACTCATATGGTCTGTTTGTTTTATTCAGTGCTTTGAGGCGTTACAGGAGCAGGTGACATAAGGAGGCCAAGGATGGGAAGTACCTGGGTATTTTTATGCAAACACTCCTGTGCTTTCTCAGGAAAGTCGTTTTTTTGTAACGAACTACAGCAGACAGATGTGTGTTGTACATCCATAAGAAAAACTTACAAACACACAATACAATAAATAACAAACATTTTTGCTTTTAAAAAATATAATCATAATATATAGACATAATCATTATCAGCTAAATGTCATTAAATTATAGATAAAAGTAGCCATTACACAGCATCAGTGAGTTTTACTGTCACATAACATTTAAGTATTATTACAGGTTCATTAACATGTAAGCACTGGTAGAAAGTAACTACCTACATTTACTCGAGTACTGTACTAGAAGTACAGTATGTTTTATTATATATGAGTATTTCCATTTTCTGCAACTATATTTCTACTTTACTACAGTTCAAAGTACATTGTGATGCTAATACTTGTGTACTTTTATTTAAAGTAACATTTAAAATGCAGGACTAAGCTGTGGTATTGTTACTTTTGGGTAAGTAAAATATCTGTGTACCTCTTCTACCACTGCGCAGGTATTTTATGATGTGCTTATAAGCTACTTGTTGTTATTTTTAGTGTAATCTAGAACAACACGTTATATTTTATAAACCTAGAGTAAAGAAAAGTACAGTATTTTGCCTCTGAAATGTAACTCAAAGCTTTAAATGCAGCCTAGTGACTTTCCCACATCTTATATATAAGTTGTTTACATTTTTTTATTTGTTTATAAGCACTTTAATTTGACCATCTGCCCACTTCCCAACGCAGTGCTGATATATATAAGTTATATATTGAGTTTTCAGGGAGGAGGAGGGTCTGTGTGTGTGTGTGTGTGTGTGTGTGTGTGTGTGTGTGTGTGTGTGTGTGTGTGTGTGTGTGTGTGTGTGTGTGTGTGTGTGTGTGTGTGTGTGTGTGTGTGTCAGGAGTGTGACTGGGCGTGAGTGTCACATGTCAGCCGTTTGACACCTCCGCTTCCCTCAGAGAGACTCAGACAGATCCGCAACTCAACATCTCTGGAGCTGCAGGAGACGGACGACAATGGCGACCGGTGACAGCCAGGCAACTTTAGAGTCCTTGTTCAGTAAGTTTAAACAGCGTAAAGTTTATTTTATTTAAGCTGTTTGTTTGTTTTTTTGCTGATATCCGACATAACGTATCCTCGTCATCCCTTCAAATGCACAAACGTCAGATTAACTGTCGGTTTACTTCGCTGACGCCTTATATTTGCGAGTTCATGCTTCATTGTGTCGATTCGTTTTCTAAAAGTTATTGTAATAGAAAATAATAAGTTTGACATTGTGGAGAAAAGTATCAGTTGGGTACAGGAAGTTGGTCACACCGTGCGCGCACACGAGACGAGCGGGTGTGTGTGTGTGTTGTGGTTGTGCTCCTGCTGTGCGCGCGCACTCTGGCAGAAAAGTGTGTTCATTTGTTGAGGTGTTTGTTGTCATTTATTTATTTTAATTTGGGGTAAAAAAAAATAGCAAGAAAATGACGGAGAAATGCACAAACCTGCATTTAAAAAATATACGAGTAAAGTGTAAGTTAAAATTGATTTAAATTCACTTAAATGGACTAAAATATTAAAACTAGTATTGTGAATACTTGTCTTTTCAGTTGAGGGGTTTAAACTATCAGTGCTACAGTTGCATATTAAAGCCTCAAATCCAAAGTTTTGGCTTCTTAGTTCAGGTTTCATACACTCGTCATCATCCTCTCTTTGCTTTTTATTAAATTCTCGTTTTTAAGGTGGCTCACTGTTGGAGACACACACTTTCTAACTCCCAAATCAGCAATATTTAATGAGTATTATCATGTTCAATGCAACATCTGAATCTTTAAAGTAAAATAGTAACTCCACCCAACAGATACATGTAGTGGGGGAAACTCCAAAGCTAGCCACAGTATGAATACTTAAGTAGCATTATCTTAAAATAGGAGTTAAATTATGGTATCAGTTAGTAGAGTGGCTGACAATTAATCAACTGTTTTCATACTTGATTATCATTTAACTAATTGATTAAGCAAAACCACAATAATGTGTGGGCTTTGGACCATTGTTTGAACAAAACTAACTACTAATCTTGGAGATTATTATGCATTTCCCGCTTTAAATAGATAATTACTTAGTACTGTACCATGCATATGCAGTGTAATCCCAGTAGGTCTGTCTTTTTAACTTTCACTTCTTCTTTACATTATACTATTATATGCATATATTTGCATGCCTTTGATCTAATTGTGACACATTATAAAAAATAGTTTCCTCTGGTGTCTTTGTTGCAGGCCAGGCCACAGACCCAAACAATCAGGAGGACAGATGGGACTGCATCCAGGGCTTCTACCAGCTCGTCAACCAAGAGACTGATGGGTACGCTGAACTCAGTCTTTTTTTGAATTATACCTTCATTATGCACTCGCACACAAACCTGCGTGGCTTTTCAGACCATCTTCAGGTTTTTGAAACAGAGCTGAAGTTCTCAGGGTTGCTTCAACGCAACTGTGGCTTTTGAGAAAGAGTTGCTTCACATCCATGTTGCGATCACAGCTTCTCACTTACACCATCGTGCGAGGGAGAGGAAGAACTCAGCAGCACCTTTTCCCCTTTTGACCCTTTTCCTTATTAACGTATTATAATGTCTAAATATAGTGCAATGTAAGTTAATGTTTTCATCCATTTCTCTTAGATTTACTCAAGCATGACAATGTGTGGAAGCTATGCAAATAGTACTCCTTTTTTTATGGTGGCACAACATGTTCTTTGCTCACGATCTATATCGGGCATTTTAATGTGACTTAAATCTTAATTTTCTGCTTCCAGTCCGCAGGTAGCCATTCGTCTTCTTTCCCATAAAATCCAGTCGCCGCAGGAGAGAGAGGCTCTGCAGGCTCTCACTGTACGTAATCAGCTTCTTCATCTCTATATGTAAAGCAAATATTCTGCATATTTATCTGTTCCCAGAAGCAACAAGTAACTAATTCTTCCATCCTTTTTAAATTTAAAATGTTATTTTGTCTTCATTTTAACAAGTCAGTCACGAAAAGAAGCAATACCTCCCCTGTTTGGTGTCTGTGTCGACACGCAGTATACATTTGTTTTAATTTAATGCTGTTTCTCATGGGTTATGCTCAGCATTTATCAGAACGTCTTTAACGCTACGGACCATTCGGTGAAAAACAAAAGTCTTTGTTTTAACCCTGAGGAGGGCGGTCCTGTGAAGAATATCTGTGACTAACTTTTATCACATGGGCCTCAAGTGACATGAGGGATTTTATCAGCGTTTTAATCTTCTGTGACACCATGCAGTTTGTCATCCATATATTAAAGAGAGCTGCAGTGTTTCTCTTATAAAATGTAACCCAGAGAAGCTTCTGGAGGTTCGTGTGCCTCATGTCATATGACATTTAAAGGTGGTTAACCGTGAACGTGCTGTCACAAATCTATTTTCTCTCTCTTTTGTGTTGAGTAAGAACAAAAGACTTCTTTTTCTTTCATTTTCACTTGATGAAGAAGATTCTGTTAGTAATGATTTATTCTGATTTGGTGCTTTCCAGGTTCTTGAGGCATGTATGAACAACTGTGGCAAAAGGTTCCACAAAGAGGCTGCCAAGTTTCGCTTTCTCAACGAGCTCATCAAAGTTTTAACACCAAAGGTACGGCTGATCCTAGATAAGTAATAGATTGGTAATTCAATCAAATGTCAAACTCGTTTTCTGAGGAGTGACTCTGATGTTGATCTTTCCTGAGCAGTACTTTGGCGCGTGGACTCCACAGAAAGTTAAAGACAGAGTGACGGAGGTCCTGTACGGCTGGACTCTTTGGCTTAAAGAAGAACCCAAGATTCAGGAAGCCTACTGCATGCTCAAGAAACAAGGTCTGAATGCAACATGGACACAACACACCAACACAAAGTCTGTGCTCAGAAGTCATTTTATACATGTAATTTAAAATGTGTCCTTTTAAACTCTGTAAATAGCCTGAGCAACACTTTAATTAAAGCTGGGTTCGTGCATCATATATTAGCATTTTACAGATACACAAGATAAGATAAGCCCTTATTGATCCCCAGAAGGGAGATGGTAAAAGAAAGTAAAGAGTTAAAAAGTAAAATAAATAATTAGAAGTATATTTAAAAAAGGAAAACATTGCTGTTTCAAGTCAAGAGACACAGTCTTGTGACTTTTAGCAGCAAAGTACATGTAAGAGTAATATGACACCATCTACTATAACAGCATACACCAGATTAATATATAGTATGATTAAATAATGATAGCTAGTGTTTGTGGGTAATATATAAAATATTACATATTAATATAGTAAATAATGCAATAAAATATTATTTATTTAATAAAAATACCATAATATAATAAGCATGAGGCAGACTTCCCACGTGCCTTGGAAAGCCTGAAAACTAGGGACTAGTTTGTTACAGTTGCTCAAGGTGTTCACACAAGGTTAAAGAATAGAAATAATAATTATATTACAATAAATGTGTATATAGGTATATACATATAAGTAAAAAAAAAAAATATATAATATTAAAAGAGCCTAAGTATGTACCTTATAATAATATAATATATGACAATATATAAACAGTATAGACGATATATGTCTCTTCTCTCAAGACTAAAACCATCATGCTCCTTTCTTTGTTATTTCAGGTATTGTAAAGAATGATCCCAAACTTTCAGACACATTAATAATGGCGCCGCCACCACAAAGAACCACAGAATCTGTTTTTGACCAAGAGGACAAGGCCCAGGTAAGTGTGTGTGTGTGTTTGTGTGTGCGTGTGTGTGTTTTATAGTTAAGTTTCATCCTAAAATGTGTTTCTTTATCATCAGCTATTAGCCAGATTATTGAAAAGTGGCCGTCCTGAAGACCTGGAAACTGCCAACAGACTCATTAAAAGCACCATGAAAGAGGTGAGGAGTGCCGTGATGGTCGTCTCTGCGATGCGTGCATTTGTAATTGTGTGAATTTGGTATTCATGTGTTTATGTTGTGTGTGTTTTTAGGAGCAGGAGAAAGCAGAGAAAGCATCAAAGCGGGAATCTACTCTGAAGGAGGTGGAGAGCTGCACCAAACAGCTCAGAGAGCTACTGGACGAGCACACGATCACCGGAACCTCGTTACAGCCGAGTGATGACGTGAAGGTACGTTGGACGTTACGCTGACATTCACCGTCAGAGAAGGTGAAGTTAGGGCCTGCTTTAAAGAGAAATATAGTAAATGCTGTTGAAGCAATAGTGAAACATAGTAACCTCCACTTTTAAACACAATTTAGATCAGATTTCACCTCTGTATGCTTTCATCTGAAGGTCATCATATTAAGGCTTACAGTTGCAAGTTACCAATTTATTTCCTCTAATTTTTCACCTTTTATAGTGATATTATTGTGATCTTCTGTTCTAAGCACTTAACACATTGAGCCTGTTACTGGCTTTTTTATTATTACTGTCAACAATAATACCAGTGGTGGAAAATACATTTACCCAAGTACTGAGCTTGAGTATAATTTGGAGGTTCTTGTACCTAACCTGAGTATTTAAATTTTTCTGCCACTTTCTACTTCACTACAGTACATTTCAATGGGAAATAGCAAATGACTTTAATGTTACTGCACTTCAGTTATCTGAGAGCTGTAGTTACTTTACAAATAAAGATTTTACATACAAAACCCTGAGTCCTAAACCTAAATACTTTCTCTAACCACATGCAAAGACTTGTCAGTGCAGTAAGAATATTGCCGCCTGTATTCAAATGTATTTGTTTCCAGTATTTTCTGGAGTCAGGTTTCTTTTTTCTTAATTCTAGATCCACAACACACCTCGTACCGCTCTTTGAAGATACAGTCCGTTTTTAGACAGGTTCATTTGGATTAAAAACAGGTTTTAATTCTACTACTGCTGCACTTCTTCACCTGTTTTAGGTCCAGATTTTAGACAGAATTGTCTTCATAAGATCTAAAAATATCTATAATAATGTACTACTATATGAAATTCTACTTCACTTTTACTCCAGCCATTATATGAGACCTGTCTTTTATTTAAGAAAACATGGTACGTTCTTCAAACCAGAGCTCAAAGTGAAGTTTAAGACTAGAAAGTGATATTTGGTCCGAGCAGAGCTGCACGTTTCCCATCAGTATCATCTGTAAAGGAGAATGTGTTTGTGTGGAAGTGTAACTCAACATTTGAACCTTCTCTCTCTCTCTCTCTCTCACTGCAGACCCTGTACGAGCGCTGCGATCGGTTGAGGCCCAGCCTGTTCCGCCTGGCCAGCGACACGATGGACGACGACGCAGCTCTGGCTCAGGTCCTGGCGGCTAACGACGAGCTAACGCTTGTAGTTAGTGCCTACAAAGACCGAGTGGGGAAGAGGGAGTGTAACGGTGGAAGAGAGAGAAGTAAAAGTGAGGAAGAAATGGAGGGTAAAAATAAAGGTAGGCCTGGGTTTTTTTTTTTTTTTACTCCCTGTGGAGAACACCTTGACCTCGTGTTTGACTCTTCTCTGTTCTGCTTGTATTTGATCCTGTTTCTTCTTGTTCCTCCAGCTCCAACGAGTCCCAGAGAGATTAAAAGCTACCACCTAATCGACCTGTCAGCACTGGACTCTCCACAGACACACAGAAAGGCTGACTCACCACCATCATTCGAATCCTCTTCGCCCATGTTTTCCTCTCTTCTGGAGAGTAGCTTCCACTCAGTGGCTGACCAGGACCTCAACGAATTAGGTAGACCTGGATTTGTACCTATTTCCAGCTCTCTGATGGTGATCAATAGGTTTCATTATGTAATGATGTGGTGTCCTGTACTTACAGACTTCGATAATCTGGTCTCAAAGAAGACTCAAGAGACTTCAAGGTCGTATTATGAAGATCTCCTACAGGTAAGGCTCGGATGTGAAGATAAAGGTTCACTGCTTGATATTAAGATTCACATATTGGCCATTAACTAGCTGCTTATTAGCACTTTGACTCTTAATTAGTCATTATAAAGCACATATTAATGCCTTATTCTGCATTAGTTTTTCATCAATAACCTCCTAATTACTGCGTATTGATAGTAAGTAAGGAAGTTGTTGTACATGAATTAAGATATATTGCTCAGTAGACTTTGAACTCTTAAACTTCAACTTGAATTAAAAATATTTTACTTTTTTTTTTTTTTAATTATCACAGTTTAAGTTGCTCATAACTAAGCAAAACCTCACTTTAGAATGGGGAACATTTTCTGAGTTAGAAAGACTTCATTTTAAATTATTTGGACACTATTAACACTTAGTTCTTTGTTTTGTTACATTAGACCACATTTATAAAGTGTTATTAAGAGAGAATGAGTATTATCATAAGATCCATACTAAGCAAGATTGTAATTCATGTGCTACAACTTCCTTCCTTACTATCAATAAGCAGTGATTAGGAGGTTATTGAGGAAAATGGCCTAGTAGTTGTAGAATATGGTCATGCAGAATAAGGCATTAATAAGTGCATTATAATGACTAATAGAGACTGAATATGCTGCTAATATACATGCTAATAAGCATCTACTTAATAGGGAATATGTGTACCTTAATATAAAGTGTTACCGTGGTTTTTATTTGGGAGAGTATTAACACGGTTGATCTTTTTCTGTCAGCTTAATGGAGAGGTTCAGATGAAGAACGCTGAGCAGAATGGAGGCAGGGGGCTTCTGTTGACAGCCCGTGGATGTGGAGGCAGCAGTACGACACCGAATGGGACTAACATTTGGTAAGGACGAAGAAAAGGAAGGAGACTCTTAAAATCCTAAATCCAGAAACCATTGGAGAAAATACTTTAAATGTGGCATATATATGTATAGATAACATTAAAAAAAGTGTTTCCTCTGCCAGTTATTGACTGTGCTCTGAATAAAAGCCACAATGGGAAGACGTGATGTAAAACTCCACAGGTAATGATTTTGTAAGGAGGTTAATAGATAATCATCAGACTCTGGGTGTAAATTCTTATACATTATTTAGTTCAGAGCTAAAAATTCTACTTAACATAAGTACATTTGTAAATAGGAAGACTGCCCACATTGAAACTTACATAATAATAACATCTGCCTACTGATCTCGTTTTGTTTTTGTTTAAAATAATACAATTTCATGTTAACTGTAACTAAAATGTACTGTTATATCATATATTTACACCGACTGTCATCTCAGATAATAAAGTTTATTGTTCAACTGTACTTTATGTAAAATAAAAAGATACATAAATATTTGTTATTCTCAAGTTATTGTCAAGTGTCTGCAAGTAACTACGTTTCTGCCTCATAAATTCTTTATCAGTCAGGAGTTGAGTCCAGGATGTGTAAATGCATTCTGGGAACATGGAAGTCATTTACCATACTTATTACTATAACGATTAAAATGCCTTTTCCTTCTCTCAGGTCACTCCCTCACAGTGAACAGTTTACAGAATCACCATCCAAGACACAGAAACAATTCAACAAAGTATCGGGATCTCCAGTGAAATTGGAGGAGAGCTCGTGTCCCTCGACAGTCCTGAAAAACGTCTTTGTTCCAATGGAGACCATCAAGCCCAGTATGTTCCCAAAAGGCTGAAACAGCTGGGTTTACTTTGTTTCATAGTACAGTTCATTTTTGTGTATACAGCCTTCTGGATATCCTGTTTTTAAATATCTGTTGTTTCCTTGTTTGTTTGTAGGTCACTTTGAGCCGATCACGCTGTACGATCAGGGAGGGATCCATGTCTCTCTACATTTTGCCAAAGACTCTCCGCCGGGTCATCCAGATGTGGCTGTGGTCGTCATCTCCACAGTGAACACATCTGCCCTCGAAGTAAAAGACTTAGTGTTTCAAGCCGCCGTTCCAAAGGTAATAAACTCCAAACTCATATTCAGACTCTGAGTCTGAGCCAAAGTAATTTTGGCCTTTTAATTACAAAAGTTATTACTTGACACATGATAGTAGCTTTATACATAGTAGTTTGCAACTACACCACTAGATGTCACTAAATCCTAGACATTGGTGAGAATGGGCTGTTTTCCTACATTTTATATCACTGTAAATGTAATTGTTTGGGTTTTTTCCCTGTTTTCCGGGTAAAAATGGAAGAAACCTCAGGAAGAGCAACAGAGGATGTGCAATAGATGTGTGAACAGAACAGACCAATGTAGTAAAATTAGTAAAATTGTAGACAGTTAGGATGATTGTAAACAAATATAAGGTATTTTTCTACTTTTAACATCCTCTAGATTGAGAAATTAACAGATGAATTGTAGAATATGATCAAACATGCAAATAATTTAGTCAGTTGTGGTCTTTCATGTTCTTCCAATTGGAAAAATAATCCAAGACACGATCAGTTTTCACACAAAGTGCCATGTTTGACCACCTTTGGCCTGCTGGTAGTGTCTCAGTGTTAAAGCAGCAGCATCAGTGTTTCAAGCAGATGATAGGTTGACACTCTTTTATAAAATTATGTGTTTAAGTTCATCATGTTTCTGACGCCACCTCCTGGAGCCACTTCACATTTGTCAGCTCACCTTATTGTTTACACTTTTCTTTATTTTATTTTCTACATTTTATGCACATTCCCAAGCATCCAGTTGATTGTGAGTTTCATTCCTCTCCTGCAGACCATGTTAGTGAAACTTCAGCCTGCCTCAGGGACACACCTACCTCCTTACAACCCTCTTCTGCCTCCGCCCGCCATCTCCCAAGTCCTCCTATTGGCTAATCCTCAGAAGGTGAGTTCTAAATTATCATGTTAGTGATTGATGTAACGCTTTACTTCACTATTACTTACAGTACATTAAACAGAGGAACTTCAGTACTTGTATACAAGAACCATTAGATTTCAGTGTGTTTTATGCTTACGGTTATATTTTATTTTTGTGGTGCAGTGGTGTATGAGATGAGCAAACAACAGTTTATTCTGAATTAGACATTTAACACTGTCCAAATTATAGTTAACTGTGAAGTTAGTGGATGATAACCTTTGCATTGAATAAGAACACAGTTGAGATTAATTACGTGTATAAAAACTAGAGTCAGTGATAAATTGGATAACCAGGAGCACAATGTGGCAAGTATTCATTTGAATTTAATTATTTATTCCTTCACTTTCTCCATCTGACATCTTTGCCTCCTTCCCTCAGAGAAAGGTGCGTCTACGCTACAAGTTGACTCTGACACACGGAGACCAACAGCCGAAAGAGACCGGAGAGATCGACAACTTTCCTGATTGGACCGCTTTGATTGGCCACTAAGAACTTCAGAGAGTTGGATTTAACAAAAAAAAAAAGAAAAACCCTCTGGAAATGAAATCTAGATTTTGAAGTGAACCCAGCGAGAAAGCAAAACTAAAAACCAAAAGGTGGGAAACTTGTGACCATGCCTGCAGTCGACCCTCATGAGGTAAACAAACACCACAACAAACAAATATCAAGACTGATGCAGACGTTTGTCCACTTTATAATGTAGCGAGCACGATGCAAACCAAGAAATAATCTCAGATTTATTCTGTATTACTCTAAAAAGGTGGGTAAACTCTATTCCACACATAGAAATGTTAACAGTTGCGTTGGGTTCGGTACATTCCCGATCTACCTGATTCAGGTATTCAGTATTCTGTTGTCTTAGTGTGTTGTTTTTGTTCTTGCTGCCTGTTGTTAACCCGCAGTTGGATTATACTGTATGTTCACTGTTATCCATATGTGCCATACGATGGAAGATGTTGTGTTTTTAATATCTATTTATTTTAAGAATAAGGCACTGACTCTCAAACTATGGTGTGTGTACCACTGGAGGTACGCAAGCTGCATCTAGAGGTATACAGAGGAATTTTATTTTCAAATTATTTAATCTGAAAACCCAGGATACTATCAAAATGCTACAAAAGTTTGATTGAAAATACTCAAAATATGAGGAAAATATGTAATTTAAAGTTAGTAATATTTAGTGTTTGAGAAACACTGGCATAAGGAATGTGGGAGAAACCTTCAGAGATTGGTATTTGTGTGTATTTCGCCGTCTTTGACTGCAACTTAAAACACAAGCAAATGAAGGAAATTTCTTCACCACTGTGACAAAACAGGCAACATTTTGTTTGAAAAATCAAGCAAATCAAGAAACACTTTTTCTACCTTGACAACACGTGGCATAAAAGGAATGTGCTGCAAATATAGAAATGCTACTTCAGCACAACAGAAAGTTACATTGGCAGCTCAAATCAGACTGGTTGCATTATAGTCAGTGGTGGAGGGGGGGGGCTCTTATTGTGAAAAACCAGGATGTGTTATTGTTGTGCACGAGGCCTGTTGTGAACATTGCTGCAGCTAATAGTAGTCTTCTTGTTGTATGTCATGGGTTTTTCACAATAAAAGCCACTTCCTCCCAATACGTGATGTAAACTCTCATACAGGAAGCTATTTGGCAAACTGAATCTAATGCAACTAGCATGAAAATATAACTATTATATTTTATAATATTATATAATTAACTTACAGGATCTCCTGTTGTGTTGTAACTTTGTGTTTGTGTGTTTTCTAAAGCTGCAGCATATTTATGTCATATTATGTTTTTCTTCATTTGCTTGAGTTTTATTTATTTGTATTGTGCCGATTCTTTTCTTAATGTGATGTTTGAAGATCATGTCTTAATTTTCTTGTGTTTTCAGTATGTTGAGCTCTTTCAGCCACCGTAGATTTGGGTCTGTTGTTAACTGTAAAGTCACTGTTAATTTCATATGAGTCAGTGTTTCCTGATGAGTTGTGTTTTATACTGTGAAGTTTTATAATTTGAGCCCAGAGCAACAAATCCAGTGCTTCTTCTATTGCTGTCGGATTTAGTTCAAAACAGGCTTTGCGAGATTTTTGATGACTTGAAGCCAATTTGAATGTTTTCTTTGAATGCTTGTCTGCCTATTGTCTGTCAGTCCGGCAGTGTGTCGCTCGGCCATATGTCATCAATAAACACAAATGCAATATCTTACACAACAAAGCTCAAATTCTCTGCCTCACCAAATCTTCCCAATCCAAAAACAACAAAAGGGTTTTATGGTAATATAATCTCACCCTGAAGTTTCATTATAGTTCAGTAATGAAGTGACCCGGTTCAGGTCTTTGACCTATTTTCTTAGTGTGAGCTAAAAGAGAGAGAGAGAGAGAGACACCACCAAGACCTCTGACGATGCTGGGACTTATTTTATGATTAAACAACTGAGGTTGGGTGATATGACCTAAAAATTTAATGTTTTGTTATTGTCATATTCCATTTTTTTCACCCATTAAAAACAAACTACACCTGTAATGTATCTACAGTATCTAATATTTTATCACTGCCCCTTCTTCTCATGTTGGGTGCTATTGGAAAATGAGTCTGTTACACGTTCTGTAAAGATTATATTAAGAGTCTTTATCTGCTGTATAACATTCATAGTTTTAATCTCTAATTTATAATTTATCCATTTTTATGCATCGTTTTAAAAAATTCTAAAGAATAAATGTTGCTTTATGACTTTGACAAATAAGGCTGCAACTAATTATTGTTTTTGTTATCAGTAGATTTTTCTTTTTCAATTAATTGATCAACCGTATTGTCCATAAAATGTGACAAAAGTGCAGAACTCCAAATATACTGTTTACCATCACAGACTAAGAAAAGCAGCAAATATTCACGTGAACTTAAATTGGTTTGAAAGGACTTGAATGATGAATTATCACAGTAACACACAATTATTACTTTTCTGTTGCTTTAATTAATTAATATTTTTTGTTTTGTTATTGATATTTAATTCAATGATTTGATAAAAAAAATGAAAATTTGAAGAAGCTTAATTTGTCCTTCATAATTCACTCTAAATTAAAAGGTTGTGCTTATGGTGGTAGATGACTCATTTTCTGGTATCATCCAGGGTAAAAACGGACACCTGCAACTGAAAACACCAATCGTTCAACTTCATTAATCATATTTATTATATGACATCAGCAGATTAAAATACATGTTTATTATGTACATATATGTAACAGGGGTGTTAGATAAAGTGCCAAATACCATTTTTACAAAAACAAAAACAAAAATGGGATTTGTGGAAGACCATCACACCCAATACCCTGGTCCCACAGTTCATTGCTTCGCGGACGAGTAACCACCTTGTTTTCGAAGGAAGGCTGAATTGCTCAGTGCTGGTCATGGGACAGTTTTGGCACGATTTCACCCGGGAATCAAACTCACAGTCTGGGAGTGGTGAAACTGTGGTGATGGGATGAATACTGGGTGTTTTTTTTTTTTTTTTGTTTGTTTGTTTGTTTTGTTTTGTTTTTTAAAACATGAACCGACATCGACACGTACAACAGGTCAGGCCTTTTGAGCCGGACTGCAAATGTTTCCACCCTGACAAAAACAGTCCAGATATTATTCAGAAATCCAGCATTGTTGCTTTAAGGTTAGTATGTGAGGAGGTTAAACTGTTCCAAGACCAGAGCCCAAAGGTCTTGTCAGCATCCCGCTCACAAGTGGAAAGTCTTTGTAGCAAATATAAGACGACAGACTACACTTTCCAGACTTTTTGCATTTTTTTTTCTTTTCTGACAAACAGAGGAAGGTAGACATTCTTTTAACAGTTGTTGGTCGGGTGTGTGTGTGTGTGTGTGTGTGTGTGTGTGTGTGTGTGTGTGTGTGTGTGTATCTTCCTCCTAAACAAGATGACAGAGAGATAATGGGTAGCACTTATTTGCATGTATGTATTTCAAGTTCTTTTAGATTTTCAGGAGCTACAAAAGGTCGATAAAACAGGTTCCCACCCCCTATTTTATTATCCCCCAGTTTATTCCCTACGGCAGTGATGGATGTACAGATACTCGGTGATGAAGACTCTGGTCTTTCTATCACTACCATTTGATCAACAATCTGGCTGTTCGGGAAGGCGTATGCTCCGGTCGGGTTTTTGTATCTGCGTCCGGTGCCGTGCTGTCCGTCTTCAATGTTTTCTCTGTGAGCTGTGAAGGTTGTTTAAGACGTCTGTAGTCGAGCATACGCTGGCCTTCAGTTGAGAGGGTCACATGATAAAGTGGTCAGAGCAAGAAGGGCGTCTTCAGCTCTTCATCCTCTTCCATGACAGTCGTACCACAAACTGTCGAAGCCTTTCTGGCTCCATTCATGTTCTTCTTTATCTCTCCTGAACCATTACTGACCGGTTATATTTATGTTTTTACATCCAACTAACTTTCTTCTTCTTCCTCCTCCTGTCCATCCTCAACCGGCACCTCTTCTTCCTCTTCTGGTTCTACAGCTTCTTTCTCCTCTTCCTCTTCGACATCTTCTGTTTCTCCTACCTCCTCCTCAACTGTATCCTCCATCTCTGCCTCCTCCTCTTCAACTGTATCCTCTGTTTCACCCTCCTCTGGTTCTACATTTTCCTCCATCTCTGCTGCCTCCTCTTCCTCTTTCTCCTCTGTTTCACCCTCCTCTTGTTCTACATTTTCCTCCATCTCTGCTGCTGCCTCTTCTTCCTCTTTCTCCTCCATCTCTCCTTCCTCTGGTTCTACATTTTCCTCCACCTCTGCTGCCTCCTCTTCCTCTTTCTCCTCCATCTCTCCCTCCTCTTTTTCCACATTTTCCTCCACTTCTGCCTCCTCATTTTCCATTTCCTCTCCCACCTCTACCTCTTCGTTTTCCAAAGTTTCCTCGCCTTCTCCTTCCTCATTTTCAGCACCTTCCTCATTTTCAGCACCTTCCTCTTCATCCTTTTGTCCTTCCTCGTCACCCTCTTCCTGTTCTCCTTCTTGATTTGTCTCATTTTCTTCCTCCTCTTCTTTAGTGTCCTCATCCTCCGCCGTATCGTTCACTTCCTCTTCTATTTCATCTGTCTGCCCTCCTTCTTCTTCTACTTGGTCCTCTCCGTGTTCCTCCGCCTCTTCCTCCTCCTCCTCTGCGTTCTCCTTCACCTCGTCCTCTTCTTCTCCCTCCCTTTCTCTAGTCTCCTCCTCCTCTTCATCTGGGAGTCCATTTTGTTCGCTGTTGTGATTCTCCTCGTCTTCTTTCTCAGTTTCAACATGGTTCTGTTCCTCGCCTTCCAGCTCCGCCTGGCCGTCCTCCGTCTTGTCTGCGGTGTCGTCACCGCTGTTCCTCAGGTTTATGTGGTTGTGGTTGTTGTGCTCCAGGTCCTCCAGGGTGAGTTCGAACTGGAAGCGGTCGTGCTGTAGGTGTCTGTCCGGGGGAGGTGAGGGAGACTGGGGCATGGTGTTCAGATACCACTCCCTGTTCTCCTCCAGCGTGTCCAGCAGCTCCTGGGCATCTGGGTGCACCAGGTCGGCCCACGTCTCCCACAGCGGGTGGACGATGTAGTCGATGAAACCCACCTAGAAAAGAAAAGGAATCACACCTGAGGCCACGATAATAGGTGATGTTAAAGAAATTGCTTTCTTGATGAGAGAGACGGTAAGATGAAGTGACAGTCAGTTAGCAACAACAGTCCAAAGGTGACAAAATGAACACGTTATATCTCGTGTTAAAGTAGTTTAAAAATTGGGATTTGCGGTTTTACAGGGACCTTGTGGTAAAATCACAAATCGTTGTTGTTTTCGCACGTTTGTTGTGTTTAATTTGAGTTGTTAACTTTGGACAGAACCTGGCTTGCTGTTAGGGTTAGCTAACTGGCTGCCGGCTTTAAATCTATCATATTGACCTGAGTGGTATCAATCTTCTCATTTAACTCTTGGCAAGAAATCATATTTCCCAACTGAAATATTCCTTTAAAGTACAGAGAAATCCAACTGGCATAATATCTAAAAAGAAAAGAGGAAGAAGAAAAAAAAGATTTAGCCTAGCATAGAAGCAGTGACCACAAGCCCGACATGTCACTATTTAATATCATAGTTATTAAAAGAGGCATATGACTGTAGCTGCTCCCAGTTGGACACTGAGACAGAAATGCATTTGTCATACGTGCATCCAAAAAACAAAATATTTAATGATTGCCAGCGTTTATCTAAGTCATTCCAAGCTTCATTACTCTGCCAGTTTCATGAAAAGAAAAGTGTTTTTTATGTCGGGGAACAATTAAAGTACTGAACAACTAACAAAAGTTTGTCTCTTCCCGTAACAATGCAATACACAAACAGACACACATGGATTTTTAGCAGCGTGGCTCGAGGGATGGCAGTGGTCGGTTTGTCGGTCGGCCGAGCTCTTTGGTCCAGATTGAAAGATTCAGATGAATCCTACTGATGATTGTGACTTTTCCTCGGTTTACTTTTGTGGTTTTGAATAAAAAGTCTCAACAACTGTTTGATGAACTGCCAGGAAATTTAGTACAGATATTCGTCTCCTTCTCAGAATGAATTGTGATTATTTTCAACTTCTATTCTAGCGCCTCAGCTGTAATTTGGGTTAAGAGCTAAGCGGCAATGTTAGCATGTTAAATTAAGATAGTAAACATGGTAAACATTATACCTGCTGAACATCAGCATGTTAACATTGTCACTGTGAGCATGTTGACATTATTATTTATCTCAAAGCCCTAAGCTTGTGTTCTGTTAGAGAATTCATGTAACACATTCAAACACACCTCAAACATCACTCTGGATCCACTGTTTTAACAATGACACATTTAAAGTGGATGAGAGAGAGAGAGACTGTGTGTGTGAGAGAGAGAGAGAGGGAGAGAGAGAGAGAGAGAGAGAGAGAGAGAGAGAGAGAGAGAGAGAGACTGAGCTTTACCTGACTCTTCTCCACTGAAGCGGTGTGTTTGTCACACATGGCGCTGATCTCCATCCCTCTCTCTCGCTCCTTGTCACCCTGTCGAAAGAACTCCTCCATGATCCTCTCCGTCCACTGTTTGTATAACGGCAACGGCTTCGTGGGGTTGCTCAGGTCTGCACAGTGCACCATGTTCCTCAGCACCTAAACACACACACATTGTACAGTACATGTAACTATACATTCACACAGTACAGTAGACAGATTTCAGGTTGCTGACCATGGTTCTGTGGGAGAAGCCAGACAGGTTACCTGTGTCCGTTCTGTATAGTGGTCCAGGAGCAGCACACCAGAGCTGGTCACCTTCTTGGTCTCCACCATGGTCTTCAGGTCCGCCAGTAGCGTCATGTGTTTGGACATGTCTGTGGCCAACACCTGCACACATTAAAAGAAGCACTAAGATCCAACCTAACCATCTATCCTCACCTGACAAATAAAAATCTAAAGATGTAGAAGCTGAGGTTTGAATGGGTTTTTTGTTAGTTATGTAGCTTCCAGACAAAGAGCACCACATTACATTACATTGTAAGTATTTCTATATTGCAGTTTTGTAAGAAATACAGTTCATAAACTAACACAGAAAGCCACATTGTGCATTGTTGAGTCCATCACGGAGAAGCTGGGAGTTTTGGCTGTAATGTTGAAGGTTTTTACTTAAAAAGATATGAGTTTTATTTTAACTAATAAAACCTCACTGAGATCAAAACATCTCTTGTTTTAAGGGGGTCCTGGTCAAGATGGGCAGTAACAAGTTATAGACAAACAGCAAAAAAAATCACAATTAAACTTGTCTCATCTTAAATAAAATCACGGCTAAGAACTAACTAACACAGAATATAAAATAGCACATCCTGGAAACAACATGAGAGCTGTGTAAAACCATCAATGTCAAGTAAGACCAATCTGAAGATCTCAAATGATTAAATAATGATGATTCTGAGTGCTGGCATCCAATAGAGGAGCTGAAGGTTAGGGTATAAAGTATCTGGTGTGGTGTGAGATGTGGTAGAAAATATTCTGACCATATCGATGACAAGCTTGCGAAGGCTCTGGCGCTGCCTCTTGGTGAGGTTCTGGAAGATGTCACAGTTTTCCTGGTGCAGGAGCTTGAAGCCCACAGCGAGGTGGTGGTTCTCCAAAACTGACTCATCGTTATACATGAGGGCCAGCTCCGAGTCTGAGCACAGAGGAGGAGGGTGTTAACACACTTTGTGCAAATATCTGGACAGTTTTACCTTTATCTATGTGTGTGTGTGTGTGTGTGTGTGTGTGTGTGTGTGTGTGTGTGTGTGTGTGTGTGTGTGTGTGTGTGTGTGCACTCACTGGTGTTGATAAGGAACTGATTAGAGACTCCGGGGTGGTCTACATCATGGATAGCTGCAGCGAACAGAGCGGCGAGGATCTCCAGGTCGGTAAAGGCGGCCTGAAAGGGACAAAAAGGGAAAGACAAGATCAGAGAAAACACACACACACACACACACACACACACACACACACACACACACACACACACACAGAGTTATTTTTTACATTTGTCTGTTTATATTTTATAGAATATTAAGAAAATGTGTAAAACATGATGTGTAAGCATCCGTTTAATGTTGCAGATAGTAAAGGTGGAGCTAATTTTAACTACTGCTGGGGTAACTAAGTCCATAATAAAACTTTACAGAATTTATTACATTTACATTTTGTATTAGTAATCTGAATCTGCAAAGTAGCAAGTAACTAATGTGTTCAAATAAATGTAGTGGAGTAAAAACTACAATAATAGCTTCCAAAATGTAGTTTAGAGTAAAATTATAAAGTAAATAATGTTTGATGGAAATACTCAAGTAGTACCTGAAGTACCTCAGAATTGTACTTCCACCACTGCAGGTTGACATAGTAACACATGTTACACTTTAAAACAATGCTTAAAGAGGATTTAGTGACATCTAGCCACTGAACGGTAGCTGTAAAACACGCAAAATATGCCCTTTTTAGAGTCAGTGTCTAGTTTGTCCATTCTGGGCTACAGTAGAAACCTGGCGGTTCAACAAGGCGGACTCTGGAGATAAAAACAGCTCATTCTAAGGTAACAAAAACAACAATTCTTATTTTCAGGAGATTATACTCCAATGAAAACATACCTATGAACATTATATTTCTGCCAATAAATCCTCATTAATGTTATACACTTGACCTTTAAACAAACAGATAAATAGTCATCCATAGTTGTTATGTTGCTTTCCCATGTGACTTTTTAAAATATTTACCGCTGTGCCTTGAGCTAGGCCACAATCATTTCCCAGCCTTGCTTTGAAAATAAAGTTCTATTGTGCCGCATTTAATTGTATTCTATGAAAGAAATTTATTTTTGTCAAACCAGACGGAGTAATGAGAATTTTTCAGTGACAAGTAGGGAAGCCACATCTGTCCACCTCTGAGCACAAACCATCCACTGTGTGTGTGTGTGTGTGTGTGTGTGTGTGTGTGTGTGTGTGTGTGTGTGTGTGTCCACATACATCAAGAGCAGGTGTGGAGAGGAGGACATGTGTGGACTGGGTGACATCTGCAGCATGGAGGCTGTTGTGGTACGCTACGTTTCCATGGTAATGGTCCTCCAGGGTCATCACATAAGTGACAAAGGTGTCGACTGGGATACGAAACGTCTTCAACAGCTCTCGCTCCTGAGGAGGGAGGAGAGGAGAACAAAACTTCACACACACACACACACACACACTCCGATGGGAGAACATCATGTACGATAGCAAACAAACAAACACTTCAGGTGAGAAAGATCCCACAGAAAACACACACTCCCACTCATTCACACTCATTTTGTTTACCTGGAAGATGGTATACATGATGCAGCTGAGAGGTCTGTTGTTGGAGAATTCTGCTACTCTGAATATGTTAAAACTCCACTTGTCCAGATCCTCCAACTCCTGGTCAAACACCACACACACACACACACACACACACACACACACACACAGACAAACATAATATGAGTCAGACATGTATTAACATTTTTAATGAAAAATATTAAAAGCCTTATTCCACTAAATGCGTCATTAAAGGCTAATGCATGTCATTTTGAAAGCAGAGATGATGCTCAGAGGGCATCAATACATTATTTAAATGCACAGCAGAATTTAACACAGGGCTAGAAAATAAACTAACATTATGGATGACTTATCAATTTTAATTTAACTTGTTATGCACAAAATTGTCCAATTAACATATTTAAACTGAGAATAGCAACAACAACCAATGACATCTATCCATAAACTGAACGAGCCAATCAATTACCTTAGAGCTGAAATGATTAGTTTAAAAAAATAAAATAAACTATGTAAAATCACTACTTCCAGCTTCTCAAATATGAAGATTTACTGGATTTCTTATTCCTTTGTGATAGTAAACTGAATACGTTCAGGTTTCAGACTGATTGTAGGACAAAAAAAAACCCATTTGAATATCTCACTGTGGGTTTTAGTAAATTGTTAGACTAAACTAATTCATTAAGAATGTATTAATCAAGAACATATCAGTAAAAAATTTGCCATACATTATTTCAGACAAACATTAGAAGTAATCCAACACAAGTAGGAAAATATAATGCAAAAAAATAGTTATGATAACATTCCCTATTATCAAGGAAAAATGTGACGAAATATTGTTACCTAAAACTTTAGGTTATGTCGCCCAGCCCTAGTTTAACACCGCTGCCTGTGATTAAGGCTTCTGTCACCAGAGGTCTGGTGCCTTTTGAACACTGATCACACAGCAGACATCCCTCTCAAGACACTCAAAATAACCTTCAGCGTATGCGTCACGGTGTCCAAAGATGTACTGAAAATACGTGCGACCTCTTTGACTGACTGACTAGTCCAGTTCTTAATGATAAAGACAGACCACAACACATTTTTTAAAGGTATGGCTGTATGGATGCCATGGAATACCCATGTTCCCTTCAGCAGGAATGATCACTCCCTTTGACTTTACATTCAGCCCCACAATGAGGTCATTTTAATTTGCCTGTTGTTGTTAGCGTTTAGCTCTAATCACAGCTTGCAGTTGCAGAACTGGTAGAGTGGCTGTTGTTATTTACAGTACATGTAGCATAGTTACAGCTGATTTATGTACTGCTAAATGAAGAGACGGTTTCTATCCTACTCCTTGGTGCTACAGACTGGATTCAATTACAACAACAAGGCCGCAAGCACGAGGAATCAGACAAAAGGAATAACAAAATATTCCTTCTTTTCGCGACATTGTTTCAGTACTATGAGCACAACAACCTGGAAGTGGCTTGGTGTTCAGTAGGAAGTCTTATAGTCTTAAAACACAAAAAAAAAACCCTTGTGCATTATCAAATGCATTTCCCACAGGAAGCCTCTCACTTCAGTCTCATTGTGACTCTGCACAAGCCTCAGCAGTAAATCACTAAAACAAGAGAGGTGCACACACACACACACACACACACACACACACACACACACACACACACACACATAGTGTCTCCACATTGCTGGAAGCAACCAATAAGCCAAGATTTAATAAAACCTTGCATAAGAAAAGACTCTACAGAGCCCTCAAAAACCTGAAAGATAAAATATTATCAGTGTTCACAGAGCACGGTCAAAGTCTGAGCAGCGATTGATCTGTGCAACTTATTTCATGAGTCAGAGAAAGAAACAGACAGACAACGAGACCTTGGCAAGCTCATCCTCGTGGTCTGTGTTGACACCGAAGCGAGGCATTGAAGTGCTGGAGAGGCTGGAGCTGTGAGACAGTTTCCTTACTCCACTGATGTGACTCATAGATTTCTCTTTCAGAGTAGGAGATGGGATTTCCACCTCGTTCTGCTTGTCTACAAAATTGGTGAACAAACACACACGTAGAAGGATTTATTGTTTTTATTTAGCAAAGGTCATAAATGTGATGTCGACAGAAATCAGATTCTGGTCCCACTCACCCATGAAGGTGCTGGAGATATATTCAGACACCTGGTTACCAGAGCGACTCATCTCTGACAGGTGGGACAGCTCTCTGTTCAGCATCCTCTTAAACTGTGGCAGAATGAGAGCAAAGCAGAGATATGAGTCGATGATGTGCCGTTTCTTCAGGTTTTAAGGGGATAAGTGTTTATGCTCAATACAATTCAATGGTGGCATAACAGCAACATCGTGGAAAGGTGCTAAATTTCTCTGTTTAACATGCATCAGTTTTTAGTTACAGTACAGTTCAACATTTATTCTATTTTTCTATTTCTATTTGTGTTGTGTATTTGTCTTATTATTGTACTGTTGTGTAAGGGTAGGTTTTTCATTGTATGGTATAAACCACTGTGTTTCTTATTGTGCATAGGGACCTATATACAGCAGATATTTATATTACTTATATATTACAACAAATTTCACAGTAACAATACACATAAAATGACACACTGTCACTGTAAACCACTATGAAAAATACAGAAATATAGCTAAATATTTTAAAAATATATAGAAAATCCATAAAAATGATACTGTAATTTCTATTTGCAACCTCTACTGTGCATTGGTATTGATATATTTATGATGAGCCAATATTAGCCTGCTGATAAGTTGTTTGGACTGGTTGGTTAAATGATGTATGCGTACCTTGGTGGAGGCCATTTCGCTGACAGAACGGTGCGTCTGAATGGTCTCCAGCTGGTCCAAGCACCAGTCCAGCTCTTCCAATGTGTCCAGGGCGAGCTGCTGGTACTGTTGGTCTGATAGTGACGCCCTGGGACTGACACACACTCCACCCAGAGGAGACCTCCTGAGGACACGACAGAAAGTTAGACCGAGCAAAACCGCAGACTGAATTCAGTTGGCAACAAGCTAGCAACAGCTTCCTCACCTTGTGTATCTTTTTAGATTGTAATTTTACCAATTCCACCGTTTTTTAAACTTGATTGGTTTTAGTTTTGTGATTTTATTATATTATATATTGAATTAAACATTGTGAGCATAGAAGAAAGAGAAAAAGAAAAAATGATATTGATGTTTTTTTGCTTTCATCCAATACAATATAACGTGTAACAAAGTTTGAAATAATAATCTGAATTTCATGTTATTCCACCATTCAGCTGCATTAGGATTGATGATCACATGCTAAAACAGTTGAGAACCGGTGCTCAAGTACGACTACTGCACCAAATAGTTACCTAACGATGTTACTGTAGTCACAGAATGTGTGTGTACGAGTGTGACATGAGATGCATGCTAATAATGGTAAGTAGCTGTATTTTTAGGACAATGATTTGGGACTGACTTTACTGTCGGTGTGGAGACGTTGGCAAGAATGGTGAAGTTGCTCCGTACTGATCGCAGACTGGCAAGCACCTAAATTATAACACAGTATCACAGGATTTAGCCTTAAAGAAATATACTTTTAACCATTTTAACCAGCAGGTCAAATGATGCAAAATGAATGAGAAGCTATTCGGAGGAACTGGAAGAATTATGACACATTTCACACAATGTATAGTGTTATGATGAATAATCTGCAGTAGAGAAAACCATTGTATTAAGTGAGACTCACTTGAGCAAAAGGTGTGACAATGAAGTCCTCGCCTGTGTGTCTGAGAGAGGTAGAGACAGAGAGTTGCAAATAGGAAAAGAAGCAAAGAATTATAGCAACATTTCTCCTGCAAACTTATGGGTACACACATACAGGCTCTCTCCCCCGTCTCACTGATTCTTTTCATCATGAGTCTCACCCTTCGCTGGCAAGGGAGGAGTTACGTGAGACCGTCTTGGGCGACATGTCGTAGTCCGAGTCGGAACGGTAGAGGAAGGACTCTCTTCTCTGGCCTTGGGGAAAGGAGGTGTGCAGGGTGAGGCTTGGACTCTGAGAACCCAACGGGGTGTGACCTGGTGACACGCCATTTTCTGCTTCATAACTGGAGTGCGAGAAGAGGAGGAAGAAATGAAAACATCCTGCAAATGGTTCTTGAGAAGTAAAATCAGGGGTTTGAAATAAAGTGAAATTGTCTGTAAACCTGTCGGAGTCTGCCTGTGTGATGGAGATGCGTGGCGGGATGCGGAGGGGAAGAGTTGTTGGACGCGACACGTTGTTCAGAACCTCTGGTGAACGTGTGCGGTCTCGAGGGCGGAGCCAGCAGGGTACCTGTAGAGTGAGAAGAAAGGGTTTGTAGATGATGCTAGTTACCAGTTGCTTTGCAGGTGTACAGCACAATCAGTCTCTCAGATTCACAGACACAGGAGCCCCAAAAATCCACATTCACTGTCAGCTGGTCTGGGGTAACTTGATTAATTGCAAATTTGTGCATATAGTGTGTTTAACATTTAGCTTTGTAACTATACGTCATTCAGTGCTTTTTCAATACAATCAATACATACCAATTTTGCTTTTTGGAGAGTTTAGATTTGCATTGGTACGTCTTGTCATTGCAGCCAACCATTGGTTTCTATTCATTTAAATGCAATATGAAATTAAATGACCAGATTCCTGCAATAACTCATTTGGCTGCAGCAGAAACAAGATGTAAACACATCACATGACATAATATCATCAGTTTGATAGGACACATATTTACACATCCAACAGTTATGGCAGAATGCTAAATTCTCCACCATCTAGTTGGTAACGTTGTAGTTAAGTTGGAGTATTTCCCTTAAAACAGTAGCCTGCTGCTGGAAAAACAAAACAGAGACTCTTTCACATTACACAGGCATTTGATCTATTGTCAATATGAAAATATTGATTAGTGCAGCTTTATTCTGTCATAGTAAAATCTTTAAGGGCTTTCAGGGAAGCCAGTGGATCCCCAGGAATCATACATTCAAAATAATACACCTACTGTCGTTGTATCTTAAATGGTTTGTATATACAATTTGCTGTAAAATGGGCAAAAACATGCAAAATTAATATTATGTTCACATGAGGGGGAGGAGGGTGTTAATGAGGACCCATAGCTTATTTTTACCCCGGGGGCACCGAGCAGGTTAATGTGGCCGTGCTTCCTTTCAGTACCTGGAGACTAGAAGAGAGCCTTCTGCTCCTCCCTCTGCGTAGCTCAGCCCCCAGTGTGGCCCCAGACGTATAGGATCGGCTGTAGCGAGATGACTCCGCCTTCTCCCCAGCACCTGTTATATCCGTGTCATTGCCCTGTGAGACAGGGGGCAAAGGAGGTGAGACACATAAAAAATGTGTACTGTGTATCTTATAATAAACATTTTGGCACACTCACCAAAGCATGTTGTTTTTGGCCATATTCAAATTCAGATGAGTGAAGAAACTTCCACAAATACACACAATACGCATACTGTGTATGACTGTGCGTGTGTTCGGCTACATGCGTGTGTGCGTGTGTGTGTGTGTGTGTCTGGGATAAGGCCTCTATAGACTGAGCTCTTAGAGGCTGATCTGCACTGCAGTACCGTAGCAACAAAACACTAGGGGAATGGTAGCAGTTGCTAGGCAACAGTGCCGTGTTGCTTCCATGCTGCGTTTGATGTCGTCCAGACCCAGATGTGGAAAGATGCTCACATCCACAAACACACACACACACACACACGTACAGTACACACAAACAAATGGGCACCCGCTCAGCATAATCAATAAAAGATCGCTTGAATAATGCATGATATTATGTCCTTCAGCCAAGACGTCACCTTTAAAGGAAATAGCTCATTTACATAGGGCACTCATTTAGCTGGGGCTCATTTACATATAGGACTATGACTGAGTGAGTGGTTCACACTGTGAGTGGAGGCTGGAGGACACGGACTGTCCACTCTGACTTCTGAGTGTGTCCACAGACCTCGACGACAAGAACAAAGGGAGCCTCGGATGTGTGAAAGTCACAAGGTTTGTATGTCATCATAAGCACTCAAGAAAACGCACAAAATCACACACACACACACACACACACACACACACAGTCTGCTCTGTCTGGCGTCTACTCTCATGGAAACACAGTGACAAAGTAAGTTGTTCTCGAGTACATCCCTGGTTGTTTATATTCTCCTTCTCACCTCTTCTCCAGTCACAGACAGCACGCTGCGGCTCTTCTTCATTCTGATTGGCTCGTTCTGGGCCCCAGGGCGGAGCGTTCCCGAACCCAGGCAGCAGAGCAGGTGGAGAGCCAGGACCGGAGAGGTCAAAGGTCACTGCAAGGTCAAACCGGGGTCAGACCGGGTCACGACCGGCCCCCATTGGAGCTGACTCAACCAAGTCAACCGCCTCGCTCGCGTCCTGTCCACACCTCAGTCTTCAGGTGGCTGAAACCGGGAGGGGGGGACGGGGGGGGGGGACGGGGTCCAACCTGTCGTTAAGTGCTAAAGGTGCATTTATGTGCCCCTCAGAGGCCCCAGGTTCAGTCTGAGGTGGATGACCTTTGTTTTGATTTGTTGTTTATTCACAAGCCAAAAAGTTGGAGGAAAAATCAGGAAAGAAAATCCTCACTCCATTTTAGCATAATCAACGGGTTTCTTGGAAATAATAAGTCCACCTGCATGTTGTCTTGCTTTGGCCAGACGAGCCAATGGGATATCCCAGTCGGAGTTCATGACGTCACTGCTGAAGAAAACTCTCCAAGTTTTCTTAAATGTTTATCCAACTTGGGGTATTGCTTGCATGACATTTCCCAGTTGTTAACCTGATCCCACATGGATGCAGTTTTCAAACGGTTAATAATCCTGGATCCAGTTTGTGGGAAGAATGTTTGCGTCTCCTGTCTCAGATCAGTTTTCCATTATCTGATCAGACAGTCGCCAAATCCTGCATAGAGAGAAGTGTTAAATCCATACGTCAAAATTCCAGGTTTGATATGCCAGGATCCATCCTTGAATCTGTGTCTGTGTGTCCTCCTCGGAGTAGACTCCTTGTGAGAAAACAGAAATAAAGAGTCAGTATGAGCAAGAATTTAAAAATGGTCAGCTAATTTTCAGCTCCCTTTGAATCATCTTTCCTTCCTTCTTTTAGAACTCTGTCCTGCTTTCTTATAATGAATTCATTTGATGCATCATCAAATATAAGAAAATCCTTTTTTTTCGCAGCTTTTTTTACAGCACTCCTTTAGTAATGTTAACCAGCTTGGAGATATACTTAGGAACAAATGACTGTTGTTTTTCACAATACACAAAGCTCATGCATGAAGAAATGAATTAAATACTAATAAAAAAATCCCAATTTGTTGACTAACATACAAAGAAATGATTAGTCGACTAATAAAGGGGGGCAGCCCTAACAAAATATTTTGGCTGTCGTGGTGTTGCAGGAGCTGTACCTACAGTGTGGCTAATTCTGAGCAGATACTGCAACACCAAAGCTCTCTGATGTTATATAATTACTCTGAGCAGTCCGAGATGACCTAATTCCAATGGATAGGACAGATTCAGCATATCAGTGTGTTTCTGATTGAGCTGGTAAACAGACAGATATTGGTGGAGACGACTTTTACCAGGGGTCATCGAGAACACACCCACTCAATGAAAGCACTCTCAAAGCAGAGTCTGCTCAGAGTAGCAAGGAGGGGAAAAAAAAGGCTGTGTGGAGAAATCAACAAATGCATAGTGACACAGTGACATATATATACACAGACAAGGAGAAATTTGAGCACATACACACACATACATACACACACACACACTCCATGGCTGCCACCAGTACCACCTCCACTACAGATAAAGCAGCTTATAAAACCAAGCAGCAATGCATCAATATGCAGCTCAACTACCAGCCTGCTCTTCTGTTACAAAACACCCAAATATATATATATATTAAACACACACACACACACACACACACACACACACACACTGAAAGCATCCATATATGAGGATAGCCCTGCCATCACGCCTGTCTGCACACGCACTGCAAGAGATATGTGTCAGACAGACACACATGTACACACACACACACACACATATTCAACACAGTCAGGCTGCAGCATGTAAGAATAAAAACACACTCACCTTGATCGCCTCAAGATCAATGGAAAGATGGGCTGGGCCTCGTCTTGCTTTCACTCGTCTCCTCTTCCCCTTTCTCTCTTCCCCGCTCCCTCTGTCTCTCTGCAGACAAGCACTGTGTCACCACGGCGAGAGAAAAAAACACTTGGCGTCTTCATGAATATCCGCGGCTTCACCAGCCTTCCTCCCTCCCTGTCTCTCTTCTCCCTCTCCCCTGCCACAGTGGTCTCCCCCAGTCACCCCCCCACCACCACCTCCTCCTCCTCCTCCTCAGTGGAGAAGCCCATCTCCTCCCCTCCCCTCCCTCCTCCCGCACAGACGCACACTGTGTCCATTAATCCCATACAACAGCCTCCTCTCCTACTCTCTCCATCGGCACCCCCCTTTGCCTTTTTTTTCCTTCTCTTATTAGCAGCCACACACCGATTCTCCGCTTCAATAGCCAGGCGTCATTTCTCTCCATTATACTCACCAACACAGAGAGCAGAGTTTTATTGGAACACACCGCTAATAATAATAATAATAATAATAAACATCACAATAAGGATTCATGCTCCCTGTTACTCACTCTCCTTTTGTCTCCCATGTCCCTTAACAGTCATTCAAGGACATGCAGCACATTTATCCATTTTTAAGCCCTAAAACAGGAATCAAGCTTCTCCTTTTGTTATCATCTTTTAACAGTTTTTGGAAGAAATGTGGACAGAGGTTGTAAGTAAGCTACACCTGATTAATTTTACTCCATATTGATAACAAACGAGACAGCGGATCGATTAATCAGTTGATTATTATTATGTCAGAGAACAGGATGTCTTCTAATTACTTGTTTTGTCTGACCAACAGTCCCAAACCTAGAAAACACTCAAGTTTATTATAATGTAATTACAAGTAAAGGCAGCAAGTCTTCACATTTTAGATGCTGGAAGAATACTTTTGGACATTTCTGCTTGAAAAATTTGTTTCAGCACTTTGATAGTATAATATAAAATGTCAGTAGAAACCACCTCTGATGATTTCAGTTAACATTCAGAAACTACACCTGCGCTGACTTCCTCAAAAATCTGTATAACACTCACACATAAAGAGAGGACCCAACTGCTGCAATTACAACCACACACTGACATAAACATACAAATAAACGCACCCAAGCAGTTCTCCATGAAGCTGTGATGCTATTCTGTCTCCCATCAGCTTTTATAGGCATTATCTAGATTTGATTTATGCCCCGGGGCCTGCGCTGATTGTTTTCTATTTACAAAAGTGACTGCACAAAGAAGCTTTGCCTCAGAAATCCTGCACAAACCACTAAATCAAACCCACCAATTAATTATGAAGGAGAGAGGGAGAGTGACCCAGCAATTAATTATGCAAGTGAGAGAGAGAGAGAGAGAGAGATGGAGAGAGAAGTATGGCAGAAAATGAGTCAGGATTCACAGCAACTAGTGGAAAAGTTAATAAATCAAACACAAATAAATTAAGTCTGATTTATTGTACAAGTTCGAGCCAACAAAACAACTTAAAAACAGTCTCACAACTTCAAAAGGTAAACATGAAATAAAACTTATGCACACAAAAACACACATTGTGACAACTTTCATTACAAAGCAGCAACTATTTGACTCTTCAAACTCATCTTTACATCAGTGTTAGAGCTGAAACAATTCCCCTACTAACCGATTAAGATTTATTTATTTTGATATTCGATTAATCATTTAATTTTTCATGCAAATAACATTCTCTAGTTTCTGCCTCTCAAATATGTTACTGCTTTTCTGTTTTATATCACTGCAAACTTTCTTCTTAATCAGTAAATTAATCAAAATCAGTTGCAACTTAAAACACTTTATGCATCAATTTGTCATCATAGTTTACTTTGAGATGCCTGGAGTTCCTACTATCAAAATTACCAATATTGATATTTACCTGATTTTAATGTATCAGCTACATGTTTTACATGAACAGTTTCTAAATATTCTCAAATATGTATTTATGTATTTTATACTGCAATTTATTGTAACCTATCAGCTGACATATATATGCTTATCAGCCTCCCTCTAGTTCCCACCATGCCAAGGATACACCCTAAATACAACAGAAAATGTAATATAATACTTTTTCTAGTGAAATCAACACCTCTGACAGTCTCAACAAATACCAAACTTTATCAAAGTTCACCTAATTCATATTTATGTAGGACATTTGTAAGGTTTTTGTTATGTTGTCCACCAAATAGTAGCAACAACTATCAACTGGACACAAACTAGACTCTGAATGTTTGAATGTTGAGCAGAATTCTCCATTTAATTTAAAGCAAATCAATATCAGTTGATATTGATTATAAGTTACTCAGGCGGTGGACTTTAAATTTCACCAGCACAAACATAATAAGTGAAGTAACTTGATGGATCTGTGTTCACTATGCAGGGCTCTGAGGTCGTTTATAGGTTGTGTGCCCAAGCACACTACAGGTGGCGCTGTTGATCGCAGCAGGACAACAGAGATGCAGTTGGGCAGGCAGATAAGTTTGATCTGTAAATCCTGTAGTAAACCTTTTTTTTCTTTAGATGTTTTTGAGAGTAATAATTCAAAAGTGAGAGCCAATCAGAATCATATTTTGGCAACTGCCTCTCATCCAGTCTGTAGCTGTGTTACACAGATGGTTAGGTGACGTCCGTGGCACCTGTGCTGCTGTTTAGTACTTTTACAAGGTGTGTTAAAATAGCCGTTTTCTCAACTGATCTTTCAAGCTGCTGTCTTCACTCAAAAATGTGTGCAGAGAAGGAAGACCTATATCACACAGCAGCCAACTGTAATGACATACAACAATATGTACTCAGTAACTGTTGAGAGTATATTGAGAGTTTAAAACTGCAATCACCTTTCTTTCGTGATTAATACACAGGATTAAAATAGGTGATTTTATATCAAATCAGCTGATTGTAATGACATTTCTCATTATTAAATGAACTGATTGAGGCATAAAATAGATAGACTGTAAAAGTGCTTTTACATTATGGTTTAGTCCATATGCTCATAAAATATGTTTCACACTGTGAGTCAAAATGGAGAATCAGATCAACTGATGCCATTATACATTCTCCTATTAATCTTTTTCTGCATCTTCTTCATCTTCATCTTCATCATCATCTTTGTCTTCTTCGGAATCAGGGACCCACAGTCCAGAGTCAATACACATTCTAAGGTAGTATTTTCCTTCCTGTAGAAAGAAACAAACAGATATATTTAAGTGGGATTTTGTTGCAATCCTCGAGTTCCCATTAACTTACTTTTATTGATTATTTTAGGTTCAGTTACAAACACACTCACCTCAGGGTCCAGTTTGTTGATAGCTTCCTGCAGCATCTGAATGTTCTTCTCGTCAAAACTCTTCTGTAGGTCCTATGAAACAAAAGTGCCAGAGTTCTAATGTGGTACAGCGAACCTTACAGGTTTATTAACACTGAATCTGACTGAGCAAAGGAGAAATAAAAAACACCTTCACTGTCATTAAAACATCATGTCAGCATATGATCACTTTAACATGCACCATGGACAGCAGTGTCTATAATTTTAAATATTTCATTACATACGTCATATTAACTTTGGACTATTCAATAGATTTTTTTCCAAGAACTTTAAGCTCTTGTGAAAGCTCAAGGAAAGTAGATAATGCTATTTACCTTGCTCAGAGAGCTCATGCCTGACTGGTGGAGTCCATTCTGCTGAGCTGTGTATTGACTTCTCTGATTATCCGAAAGGCAACAACGTTCAAATCAATAAACTGCGCAAACACTGACTTCAAAATCTACAAACAACGCACTTTTCCCGCCCTTAAATATGTGAAAAAGCTCAGTCTCTCGCACAAATTAAAAAGTTATTTTTAAATAGCTCATGCCAGGAGCCATTTACAGGATGTGTGCCTAGAACATAATGTTGATAGTGGATTAAATAGACTGGCATGGATCTCAAATCCATTCTTCTGCTTAGTATAAACAACAGTCCATTACATCATGCACACTATAAAACAATACTGCAATAACATGGAGCCAAGTGGTTAATGCTAGATTGTTTGGGTTGATCCGCAGTATTGTCTTTTCTGGCTTGCAGCTTCAGCCTGTACAGCAAAACAAGGTGGTCATTGATGTGTTGTGTAAACGAGTTGAAATGGGAGACACACCAACAGGCCGGCTGTTTTCTCTCACAGCCTCCAGGGATGTGGAGGGGAAAACACCCTTTTTTTTTTAAGTTGCTGGCTACATTAAATCTCGCTGACCTGAATTCTTAGTGATCATACTTTACGTTGAGGGAGGGTTATTTATTGAAATAGCTTACATAATCATTCTGACAACAGAAAAAAAAAATATTATATTAGTGAATCGCTGTACTGAAACAGATAAGTTGTCACAAAGACAGCTGGGGAAGAAAAGTTGACTCCTAACCTGAATGACATCTGCTGTGGTTGTGAATACATCTAATGTCTTTAATACATCAATGACAAAACACCCAGGTATTAGTATGTAAATCCTATTTATGTTACAACTATTGACAACTACAGTGATTAGTAACACATATTCCTTTATCATAGAGGAAAACAATCACCAAACTCCTTTTAAAATCAGACAGTTTAATAGAGCTTGGATCAGGACAGCATGAAAGTCTTTGTAAATTGTTTGTGTCTCCTAGTAAATTAAGCATAAAAATGGAGGAACCAACATTTAGTTATCTCAAGTAGAGTCCAAAGTTCTTGTTTACCACCAGTGTGTTACTTTTCATTAATGTTACTCCATGTTGTTACTTTTCATCCTTCATCAGCCTTCATCAGTTTCCATGTTACCTACTTTTAAATGATTAATTATTATTATTATGATGTTTTATTTTAGTTCCACATGTAAACAAACAAAGTCTCCCTGAAATACTTTGTGTATGCTTACATATGTGTGTGTGAATGGTTTACCTTTGGCAAGGATTCGTAGACCTCTACAGGGTCTAAGCCGCCTGGGCCCAGTCTCTTCTGCCTCTCTTCTTCCTCTAGCTCTTTCATAGCGCTCTCCATACGAGTCTGCGCACAGCTGCGGATCCGCTCCTTCAGCAACTCCAGCTCACGGTCGAACGCGTCTTGGTACGGCTTGTCTGCAGTCTGACATGGAGCACAAAAAAAACACGTAATTGGCCACAAATAAACCAACAAAAATAACTTTCTACACAGAAAAAGATGCAGGAGAGCAAAAAAAACACACATTACAGACCTTGATCTTTGAAAAGAATTGTCTGAAGCAGCCTCTCGGGTCGACCTTAAGCGTCCGAGCCGAATCCAAGATGAACTGCATGACGATAGCCTGGTGGGCCACCTGCTCCATCAGTGCGTGTTTCTACGAGCACATGGAGAATTCACAAGCTTTACCTGGCAGAATTAGTTGGGTTCTTTTTTTTTAACCCATACAGACTTTTCTCACAGCACTCACCTCATCTATCTCAAAGTCAATACAGATGACAACAAGGTAATTAGCCGTCTCGTCGCACACCAGATGTGGATTGTCTGACAGATACTTCTGACTGTCGTCCCAGCGTCGCAACATACCTGGAAACACATTCAAATCCGGGCAGTCAAATATGTTTTGTGTTCAAGTTACTTAAGTCATTAGAAAGTTTCTTAGTGAGTGACAATAAAAATAGACGTAGCTATATACCCTTTTCGAGAATGGTGATTTTGTGTATTTTTTTAGGTTTACTAAAACTAGGGACTGAAAGTCAGGATGTCTCTTCTGCTGCTTTGAATCAGAGATTTCTTTTTTGTTTCTTAATCGGTCTCTTCTGAGTCTAGAGAGGTGGCACAAGGTAACAGCTGTCATCCCTTAAAAAAAAAAATGCCTGGCCACCACAGCTGCCACCCGAGTTTGGTGTCAAAAGAAATTCTGTCAAATTTAAAAATGTGTTAAAAAACTGAAACAAATGTAATGATCTGTTATGGCCACATTTTAGATTAAGATCAATGGAAAAATGTCTGAAGATCTGGAAATAAAACAATGTATTGATTTGTAATGCCACCTTTAAATATTCATATTCAATGCTTTGCCACAACAATATTTATTATTTATCTAGATCTGCCCCAATATGATGGATATTAATGGTGTGATATTAAATTGCTTTAGTACCTCTTTAAAACCTGTTTATTTGTAGCTAGTAGACTCACAAAGTCATGAACACCTCATTTGCGTTTCTCGTAATTATACTGAACAAAACACGACTTTACCATATGACACAAAAATAAACGAATACATTCTTGAACCCTGAGGTTTCCATTTTATACATATATGCTTGGGCTCAAAATGATAGACTATTCACTATACAGTGTCTAGTGTTTGATCCTACAGTATATAGTGGACTCAAGTATGAGTATGTACAATATATACATACTAACCAACTGCTACAGTAGCTACCATCATATGTATATTGAACAGTTGGGACAGATTAAAATAAAGAGGTTTTAACAACACTAATCCACCTAATGGGAAAAGTGAGTGTCTGTAGGGCCGAGCAGGGTCAGGGATACAAACAGAGCAGCAGGGAGAGGTACATTCGAAAGAAAGGGACAATGTGAGCAGGGAACAAATGACAACAAACATGCTCAGGTTTACATCACACTACAGCATACCAAAGTATTTGATTTCCTTTGCATATTTCATCACAAAGGCCGTATGCTTCTCCACCTTTTCCTCCTCCGTTTCCTCCGTTGAAACAGGCTTGACGTTGACTACACTCTAGAAAACAAGATAAAGAAAAACAGATAAATCAGGACACTGACAAGACGCGCTAAATCTAGCAAATCCTTTGACCTTGATGCCGTGCTTTACCTTGCTGAAGCCTTCTTTACTGATGTTGTCTACATTCCAGGGAAGTTTCTTTTCTTCCCAACGGTGCTCTTTGATCATTTTCTCAAACGACTTTTCATCCTTCTTCAGTTTTCTCACCTGGGCCTGGACTTTCTTCAGCTCGGCCTCTCTCTCTTCATCCTCCTCCTTCTCCTTTCTTCCTTCTTCCAGCTCCTTAAGTTGGCCCTGGGCTTCCTCTAATAGCCTCTTGCATTCAGCTAAGTTACTCTCCAGGTCTTCCCCTCTCTGCTGAAACTCAGCCATTCTCTCCAGCCGGGCCTGTTGTGGCAGGTTAGAGTGGATCAGAGTTAAGATATTTCTTTTTTTTTAAAAAGCAGAAAGATAAAGACACAGATAGTGGGAGCTGAGGAGAGGATGCACCACTGAAAGGAGGATCACATAGGGAGATTCTCAATAAGTTATATTAGAAGAAAACTTTATATTAAAATCAAATGATTGTATGACAGAAAGAATAAAACACATAAAAGAGATATAATTACCCAAGAGCTACATTTTGCAATGTTTGGACTATGATTTATTTATAAACATAACAAATCAGTGCCTGACGCAGGATAGAAGGATTTGGGGAACTATTAATCATACTTTTATGTCCGTTGGTTGGCAATGAATCATTAAAGGGGGCAGTTGGTTATCTTTTACTAAAGAAAAACATACGTGGCCACATTGCTGCATTCACTGGCTGATGATGATGAGCGATGATACAGAACCATAATGCTCCAGTGTACCAGCCCATGACATTTAACACATATCAGCCACTGGTGTTACATCAACATTCCCACATCTCGGTAGCGAGCTTTGATTCCCAACGTATCAGATTTGAGAAATACTGGAATGAATATAGACATGGGAGACTAGATATTTTACTTAATTAAATATACTACAAGGGGATTCCCATTTATGAAAAAAGGTGGTAGAAAAACTACGGCTTTTTTCCACAGGGGCGGCCACAGTCAACACACAATAAAAGGCTCCTTGTAGCTACTTTTACTCGTCATGTGACAGCTAGGCAGCTCCTTAGTTAGACAGAAGCCATACAAACTGAGCTCGCTTGACCAATAAAGTTAGCAAGGATGTCAAGTTAGGATGTCATGCCAACCACTGGGTTAGGAACCACAACCGCTGACAACAGTTCCCAAACAGACATCTTAAGGCGTCACAAGCCGATAAAGTGATGTGCAGTAACTATGTGAATGCTGTTAGTTCAAGAGACTAATACTTTACTTTTCACACGGATACCAATATTGATATTATTTTTCTACCTAAAATGTATAACAAACGTTTTGATATGGGTTGTTCAAGTTGGCCTGTCGTGACCTTGATGTGTACTGACAGGAGGAGTTGCCACATAAACTGTAACGGTGACTCAGTTACTCCCCTTTGAGATAATGTTGTCAGTGACATTCAGTGGAAAGCCCTGGAAAAGGCTAGTCAGGATATGTGCAATGTGGCTTATAAGCTCTGGAAAGAAGCTTATCATGTTTTTCAACTATTCTTCCAAAGGTCAAGACTGCGCTTTTTACACTCTACCTGAAAACAGAACTTTTTACTTGTCGGCCGATGTACAAACGCCATTCAAAATATATGTGTCATCTAAAATCAACAGGCCAATTTTATCACTTACATTGCACGTATATGTCACATACTGTATTTCGTCATCTGCTGCCTTAAATGTTGATGGCTGTCAGATATGGCCACAAAAAGAGCACTTAGTTGTCCTCTTAGTCCTCTTTCTCTCGATTTTACACCTTTTATGTTTTCATATAATGTATTCTGCCTTTTACATCTCCCTCTTTTTTATTTTCTTCTTCTTGTAAAAGCCCTGTATAACTTGTTTTTTTAAAAGGTCTTGCGCTACGGGGTCGCAAAGGCCTTCTTGATTTTAGGCTGGGCAAGAAAACTTAATAAATAATAAATAATCCGCATTTTGTTCATTTCTGTTAAGAAAACTAAATCAAACTTTTAAAGTGTAGGCTCTTATTTAAAGTCTATTCTTTGGAGCTATATTCACAGAGCCTTCACTCTCATTGAATATATTATTAAATATCCATAAAAGAGGTAATGTAGTCAGGAGTCATCAGTTTACACATTGATTAAAAAAAAAAGGGGGGGGGGTCCTTTAAGGGAACACGGTAGGGAACTAAACTGATTTAGCGTCACTGAATCTAACGGGTCACTGATTTCTCCGTAACACCTGTTGGCCGTCGTTGTCGGTCTGTTACTTACAAAATCACGTCTACAGGTAAAAACTAACCCAGGTATACGACTCCAAACTTCACGGCTACTACAAGTTTCACTGCTGACCCGGTGTCTCATTCTGAACAAGCTCGGCGTGTCGACGTACGGACAGACCACATCTTCATCGTCCGACACATAGACGTGATCCCAGACGCTGTAGTCGATGCCCGCTCCGGTGCTCATCTTCCGGCTGTGCCTGCTCTCCTCTCTCCTCTGTCCTCTCTCCTCTGTCCTCTCCTTGAGTTCTCAGTTTTTTTTACCCGCTACAGTAGAAAGAAACTGCGGGGTTGTTCAAACGAGACAGAAACTGGTAGTTTTCAATCCTCTTAGCGGAGGAGGCAGCCACAAGCCGTTTACTGAAATCCCCTTTCTAACGGCAGCTCTAACGGCAGCTCCGCGCGCCTGCAATCCTATCATCAAGAAGCGCGTGCCCGGGTGCTTTATTTTTATTTATTTATTTATTTGTTTATTTATTTATTTATTACACACAAACTAACTGTATTTTTTATTTATTTTTTAAAAATAGCAATATATGATAGTTGTGGATATATATTTTTTTATGCCTCATTCTTTACAACGAATGAATAATTTTGTTAAAATGTCTTTTGATATAAAGTATTTTAGTATTGGAAGGAGATTATTTATATAGCCTATATATAACATTTGTATTTGTGCTTTTTAACTACAAGTTTACTTTGAATTTTCTCAGTTATTATCATTATTATAAGCTTTTTACCTACTAATCACACTTGCTTTGGCAATGTAAACTTCTGTTTTCTGTGCCAATAAAGCCCCTTTTAAGTGAACTGAATTGAATTCAAACTTGAGAACCCAAAACATATGATTGACGAGATAGATCATTTGTTTCTGCTTGTACACAATATGTGGCATAATATAAACATACCTTTCCATCTAATTTCAGTTAGTCCTAGGTTGTTGATTTATTTTCATGTGTTTGTGTTAAAGGTCGTCTTCCTGTGCTGTGCTGTGTTTTGTCTATTATATGCTCATACTTTCCTTAAAGTTTAATAAAACAGCTGCAAAATGAGCAACTGCGTGTCTGATAAAAGCTGTAGAGGGGCTCCCTGATAGCTCACCTGACTGCGGCAGCAAACTGTAATCCAAAAAGAGAGGATAATGGGTGGTAAATAACACTGTATATTCAGTTTTTAATGGATTGTCACACTTTATCATACATATAATTCACTTTGTCATTATGTCAGTTTATTTGTCCCACTCTTTCACTATTCTGCCAGCCTGTATGTTGTTCTGAGCTTGTGAAGGCCTCCTAAGAGATTTTTAACTGAGTGTATATGCAAAGGACAACAAGGGTATGATTAAATCACATGTTTTATCACATACTTTCAGAAGTTTTCACTTACGCAATGGCAAGCATTAACCTGTGTCACCATAAGCACTGTGAACTGGAACTGGAGCTGTGTGACCGGTGACACTGAGCAAGAATCTCAGGATACAGGTGTTTCCTCTGGAAGTTTTTTAAGGTTTTCCCTTTAAGTTGTAGATTTTCTATCTTCATTAGTGTAGGAAACTAGAATGTGAAGGAGGGGCCTGCTTTAATTCAGGTCTCACTGGAATCAATTTACACCATGCATACAGTAATCCATCCATGGACTGACATTCTGTGTATCCTACAGGAACAGATAACAGTGCAGATAACATAATGTGGGGATGGGTGTAATCAAGTTATGACAGGGCTACTTCATCAATACTTTATCTGTTATTGATGATCCAATATGAAGTTTAACATGCCCCTCCTCTCCTCTGCTCTTCTCCAAGTTTCTTCCTGGAAGCGGATAGTTTTACAGGAAGGGAGGAAAAAGAACAGGAGTGCAACATTTCTAGGATATATTTAGTCTGCTCCACCCTTAACTAAATCTCTAGCCACAAGGATCAAAAAACTTCGGCAATCAAGCATCTCATAAACAGGAAATATATAATTACTTCCAGTTGCAACTACTTTTGGGGTTTATGGTAGGCTGCTATTTTGTCACGCTGTTGAGTGCGTGTCTGACAATTTTTAACTTGTGAGGCCAATCTGTGACTGTAATACTTTAAGTCACCATAATTAGGAAATACACAGCAGATAATGTACATGTAGCACATACTGGTTCATCAGTATCATGGGGTTTTAACAAAGTCTCCATTGCTTTACTGTTAAAGGAAAGTATGTTGTTTTACTTGTATTTGCAACTACTTTAAAATGCAATAAAGTATCAATGAAAAAGACTTCTTATGTAAATTATGTTATAATTTATTCACATTTCAAAAATAAACACAGTCAAAGTCCATACTTTCTAAAAGTTTCAGTGTGACATTCATTCTTATACACTTTTTGTACTGACTTCCTCTTTTTCATTTTCATTCAGCCAGCACATCAACACAGTGCGCGCACACACACACACACACACACACACACACACACACACACACACACACCAGTTCACACGTAGATGGACAAAATGTAACAAATACATACACACAGTAGCTGCTGCTCTATCAATAGCTGTGGGTTAACGAGGTGAGGCAGAAGCTTTCAATGGTTGAACACTTATCTCTTCTGAACACACTCATCTGTGAAGTTCAATGTGAGAATTTATATACAACACATGTCTAAATAAAGTAATTTTTTTCAGAATACAAAGAGAAAGAGAAACCGTAAAACAGCACGTTGGCCTAAAGAACATTAACACAACATGTTTCAGGACTAAATCAGCACTACATTATAGTTTTCACTTATTCACATGAATTTTGTTTCAAATTTCCTTAGCAAATGACAAAATATAAAATTGTTTCCTTTTTTATATAAATATATATATAAAATAGACAAATAGAATTATATCCCAGATAAAAATATCAAGTCTTACAAAAAGAAAAATAAAGTTTGCATCATTTATCGAAGTTTAAAGACTACGCAGAAATACAAAATTTATATAAATTCTGTTATAAAGCTTTGCTTATTAGAAACCTTTTCAGATATTTTCTGAATGATGATAATGTAGACTGCAGATGTTACAGTGGAGTAAATTGTCCTCTGTATTTCAATGTACATATCGATTAAGGGAAGTCTGACGAACAAGACATGAAAGCCCTTGAATCATCATTTCGAGTATAAGGTTGGTGATATTCTACATATTTCAATAACTAATTAACAATAACTCGATACAACTCGAGGCTACTTTACCAACCACGTAAAACTGCCTTAGGACTCCAGACCCTCACAGGCCCTGAAGACTGCAGGTGTCAGCATGGCAATTATTTCATAGTAATCTGATTCATTACACATAAACTGTACCACAAAAATACCATTACCAAACTGAAGTGGGCCCTAAGGTTTTTCCACCACTGCAAAACCATTAAAAACACATTGTGTGTCATCAATGTTCCTTAACTACGAAGGATCAAGGGCAGAGTAGTTCATCTTCTGTAGTACTGAAATAATCTGACTGTATACATCTCCCACTTAAACAGTATTACACGTCAATCTGTGGCCTCAAACCTTTTAGACACCATACTGTGTGTAGGTATGTGTTTTAAAGTTCAGATACAGAGACTTCTCGTTGTTTCTACAGCAGCTGGGTTTAGGGTAAATACAGCAGTTGAAACTTGACGTGACTGATATTATTCTGGGTCTTTTATGTCAATAGATAGCATCAGTAGAGATAACAGGAAATGAAGGAGAGAGAGATTCAACACAGTCTCAAAATAGAAATGTTGTTTAGTTGTCAAACTTGAGTCAGAGGGGAACCTCATTATTTCAACTCTTAGAGTTCAGACTGTCTGTACACAGTTCATGCGTATTCCCATAGACTCACTCTGTAATGGGCACGGCAGAGTGTCTTGCGTGAAGACGGAAAACGTCCTTCAGGTTGTACTGTCCCATTCTGTACTTTCTGTGGTAATGGATGTATAAGAGTACCATGATGATGACGATCACAGCAGCAATTATTACTCCCAGCACGATAAAGTATACAATGTAGCTGACTGCAGAGGGTTGGGAGAGGGGTATGGGTAAAAGAAAAAAGCAACATGAGAACCACATCAACAGTCAGTATGTACCTGCTTCCTGATGTCATATGTATTTATTCCCCTGAAAAAATTAAAAACTCACCGTTGACATTCACGTTGAACCTCACAGTGAAATCTCCCTCCTTGTTGGAGACATAGCAGATGTACAGTCCTTCGTCCTCAGAAGTTGTAGAGTTGATAATGAGAACGCTGTCGGTGTGGGGGGGCTGGCTGTTTGGTGGGCGCGTCCAGGAGTACGAGGGACTGGGGTTTCCCACCGCGGAGCAATCCAGTTTCAGAGAGTCTCCTTCTAAGACAGTGATCAGCTCTGGAGGTGATGACACCTGGAGCTGAGGCTTATCTGTATGATTGAGTGAGAAAGAAATACAACACGTCACTACAGTAAAACAACTGTGGGGATTATTATGAAATTTACACAGTTCATTCATTGATGCTCATATACAATACAGTGGAAAGTACCTAATTTCTGTCACTGACCGCCTATTGTATTTTACTTTCACTTTCTGCTACTATGTAATTCTACTCATTTCAGAGAAAAATATTGGACCTTTTAATCCACTAGTTACTTTGCAGATTGATGTTTTATATACAAAACATAAAAATAATTTTGCTGTATTAGATTATACAGGGTTGGGAGGGTTATTCTAAAAATGTAATCTGATAAAATTACTAATTAAAAAATGCAGTCAGTAACTTAAATCCAAAAATCAAAATGGAGTAACATAGAAACAAGTAACATAACTTGTTTACTTTCTGTTATTTTTGGATTACCTCCACACCACAGAGAAAACAGATATCAATAAGATGTGTACATACTGTGTAAGACAACAGGACAATGTAACCTTTTAAGGATAAAAAATGTTTCCTCCACTCAGTGTATTTTTAAACTTCAGTGAATTTAGGCAGTGGCCTACTACGAAAGCAGAACTTGTGATGTTGTTCCCTTTTCTGCTTTAAAGACAATATAATGGTCTAGTTTCCACTCAGAGACAGCATTTTTTTCCACTAGAGACCATGAGGAATCTGTGGTTGCTGTGGTATTGTGAGACTTGTGAAGAGCTGTAATACGTGTTCACTGCTCATGTGAATCCTTCTTTATTTTTAAGTGTGTTGTGAAATTGTAACCCTGCTAATAATCTCCATTCTTACTAAATGTAACTTTCATCTACTGAAGTCAAAGTAAAGTTTTTTTGGGGTATCCTGTTACATGTAATCCATTACTTCCCAAGCCTCATTACATACTGTAACTGGGAAAAGTTACAGTTAGGCTATATTACTCTCAGTGATAGGACGTCGGGTCTCCACTCCCTTCCAACTCACTTTCAGAGAGCTGTCTGGCACAGTTTTGGCACAGTTGGGATTTCATATTTAAATTAAATTTTGACCACATGATGGTGCTAGCTAACTTTTTATGGATCACCAAAGCTATTACAATGCATCCTGAGAGCATCCAATCAATCCATCCAGTAATATCCAGATATTCAGTGTGGACCAAAGTGATAGACGAACCAATCTATAGAGCCACTGACTGTTTCTGTAAGGACATCAATAAGCATATACAGTCAGCTTGTCTACAGGTGCTAAGTGGATCAAGTATGAATATGGATTAGCAATGGATCAGTCATGTGATCTATTGCTAATATAAAAATATTGATTAGAGAAGCTGTAAGTAACATATCAAAATACTATGTGATTGTAGCACAGCCAAAGAGGCCACAATAATAACCAAAGGTGTCAGAGTGGGTCAGTGTTGTTGCCAGACTCACAGTACACAGTAGCAGTGATGTTCTGTGACTTCACCACTGGAGGGGGCTGTGGTCCTTCTGGTCCCAGTTCTAGCTTGGCTTCACACCAGTACTGGAGTCCATCGTCGTATTTACTGGGGCTGATCTTTAAAGTGAAGATCTCAGTCACTGGTTTCTTCTCTGTAGTGTTGTTGGACTGTAGTTGACCCAGTACTGTCTGTCCTTTGTAGAAGGTCACAGTGAGGTTTTCAACAGGAGCAACGTCCTGTACCGTACACTGCAGACTGTACTGACGGCCCTCATACATCGGCCCAGTGTGATTAACAAAGCTGATGGACACATTATCTGGAGGCTCTGTGGAGACAAACAGAGAGACACACAGTAAGATTAAGGCTGGAAACAACTGCTTAACTTTAGATTAGAAATTATTAAACCATCATAGCAACAGTATTTCACTCAACACAAAGTTTACTTACTGTAGACAGTTACAGGCAGCGGGGTACAACACTGGTCAAATTCCTGATTAGGATCATTAATATACTTTTCATAGTAACACAAGAGAGGTAAATCCCATTCAGTCACACTGTCAGCCTGCCATGTAATTGTGGTTCCATTTTCTGTGTTTTCTCCCAGAGATTTTTCCAAACCAAATGCGGTTGTGCATTGCTCACAGACGGTGCACATGGTAGAGGATGGGTCACCAAACTTGACCACCAGTCTGGACGGACTGAATACGGGTTTTTCTGCACAGTTTTCATCTGTAAGACAATAAAAGGTTGTGATTTTAAAAAGCTTTGTGTAAAATTATCAATAAGCCATTAAAGCATCTAAAAGTCTCACACACAATGTCATTCAGGAAATCAAACTTATATTAGTGCTATATACTGTATCTTATAACAGTCTTTGTTTATGCATTATGTATTTATATTTTTTTAGAATATACTGGATATATGTTGCCAGACTGACTAAAATGGTCTGCCCTGCCTTGTATGCCTTACAATGTTCAGTATCCATACACTATAAATTAGTATATACACACACTATATATTAACATAGATTATAATACAATACTATACTATAGTGCACAATAACGAAAGAAAAACTTTTAAACAACAAATCATTCAAAATCAAAAGAACATATGAAAAGAGGAGAAATGAATTCAATCTGAAGCTTGTAACGGGAGCAAATTTCACCCTGACAAACAAGACAACATTAATCATAATAAAAACAAAACAAACCACTAATCTGAATTTGATATGATGTCTATGTAAAGCGCACCATGAATGATAAAAGTGATCATTTCTGCTCTATAACGGAGCATACACCGATATCAAAGGCGAACTAATGATGCCATTTCCGACCGCAGCACATAAAGAATACTTACCGCAACCATTGGCGTTCACATGGGAGTTGTTCAGGATGTTCAGCAAAGAAACAACCAAAAATATGTAACAGGTAGACATGTTTCCAGTCGGTCCGAGCAGCCTGGTAATGAACTGTTTGAGCCCGAGGGTACAGAGAGTCTGCGACTGAAATTAAAAGTAAAAACAACTCGCTCCAAAAAAGGTCCACTCCCTTTCAAAAGTCTCTGTGGAGGACTGGCTCTGAATGAGGTACTGCCGTGTTTCCAGTCAGGCTCATTATGAGAAAGAATAAGTGAAATTGAAACTTGTTAGATCACTGGGGCTTTTGGGAAATTCCGGTGCTGTCAGCAGAGGATGACTGATACTCATGACCCTGAGTCAACTATAATGACCCGCTGCATTAAAGGAACCACAGACAAAATCCACAAAAAAACAGACAGATAAAAAGCTTCATATATATCAGTCTACAAATCTCCACACGTAAACAGCAGTTCAAAGTGTAGCAGGACTACTTTAAAGGGGCGGGATCTTTGTGGAGGAATTCGTCAGGAAGCACAGTCTGCTTATCTCCTTTCCTAAGAACTCCCATTACTCATACTTCCAATTCCCTGACTGAGATTTGAGGAACTAATCACTTTTACTACATTAGATACATTTCTCCAATTTCCAAGTAATTTTTAAAATAAAAATTTCACTCTCCACTATGTAGTGAGAGCAGGAAGACAGGACTCCTTATCACAGGGCCAGTTATTTTGATGGCAGAGCGTGTCAGGAATAGAGCAGCAGAGTCACACTACTGGAACAGAAAAACATCAGTGAACTGAGGTCAACTCTGAGTAAACACCATCTGAACCTAACCCTTTGCCAGAACCACTTTCTAATAAACCACCGTTTATAAAGGGTTAATAACTTACTTATTAAGAGGTAATAAAGCATTTACTAGTTATTTATATGTTTTGATTTGTTTACAGATAAATCCAAGGTTAAGATGTTAGACAATTTGGGAAATACCTCAAAAGTGAAATTGAAAGCAGGGTCCCCTTTGCTAGCCTGGTGGGGATTTTATAGAATTTGTTTTCGCTCTTCTCACATAATTCCGAGTGTTAACGGAAATATTTGTATTTCACAAAATGTTGAACTGTTTTTTTCACAATAAGAGCGCCTCTAACATGGTCCGATGAGGAAAAAACAAAAGACAAACGTAAAACATATAACACTGAATTCAACAACATACGCTTAAAAACAAAACCACATTGGTGCAAATTAAAGTGGGAATAAGATTATCTGGGCTCTAACTCCATAGTTTCCAACCTTAAGGGACCCCTTTTCTATTACTGAGTTAACTGATAACACATATTTCATGAATATTTCACATTCTATTCAATGCATAATAATGACAGCAAAGAACAACTGATAAACTGTACAGTTTGTTTTAATAGTCTTCTTTTTTGACAAATGTAGTGTTGCCTTCTCCCTGACACTCACCCTATTGTTATCTTTAAAGTTTAGATCTTGAATAATAAGCTAAACTTTAACACAGCACATTTCTTTTACTCCCCTGGTTGGGAACCACTGGGTTAACAAAATCAACAAGCAGTCCCCTTACAAAACAAGTCAAAACTTAATTGTTAATCTCCATTATTTAATTACTCATTGTCCACATGAAGCTTGCCTCACCATGTTCTTGAAGAACTGGTTCTCTGGATAAAGTTTTGGCAGTCAAAAATGTAGTTGGAGCATGAGAAGGTGAGCTACAACAGTCTGACACATAACATAAACAGAGACAGGCTGAGCCAGGACATGGTTGTAAATATTTAACTCCTCAATAAGCTGCAAGTGTCTCCTTCTTCATAGATATCAGATACACCTCGCTGGTTAAAGTCAGTGCTAAACTTAATGTTTTATCTGCCTACACTCAAGAATAAATCAGGAGTTTTATGTCCACACAATGCCATTCCCCTACATTGTGAAACACCCTGAAAAAAACTAGCCAAAATAAAAATGTAGAAGTCATTGCTGTGTGTTAAGGAAGTTAACCTTGACATGACGTGAGGGAGATTTCAAAAGTTTGACGAAATCACCACTGTCTGACCATGACAGGAAATCAGCGTGTTCCTCAAATGAATGCATCAATAATTAACTTTAAAGTAATTCGTCATGTGACAGCTCTGTGAGAAGTGTCATAGTTATATTCACTGAGGTCATGCTGACTCTTACACAGAAACAGAGTTTAATTTGGTTCAGTTATCAGCCTGCTTCAGGTATCGAGTTTTCTTGTGTTCCAACTGAAACTACTACAGTACTATTCAGTTCTACGTGGTTGGATTATTCTCATTTTGTTGAGCATTGTACTTACCTGGGTGCCTCTTACCAGGTGACTTCACACTGCTACTTTCAGGAAGTTGTTATGCTGCTTTTGTACAGTCTCATTACTTTGTGCATCTTTTTAGATTGTTGTTTTGATATTTATAGTCATTTATTAATGTATTTAGTATAATTTCCACATCTAGTTTTAAAAGGTTACAGACTGAATGTTTTTAGTTTTGTGACTGACTCTTGATTTGGGTGGCGAGCTGCTAATCCTACAGGGATATATAAAGTTGTATTGTGTGTTTTTTGCCATACAGATGTTATATGTAATCTTTGAATTTACCTTTTATGTTTATTTTTTCTAATTCTTATTGTCACACTAAAGTCTTCCACACTGCATTTCACTTTATAAACTTTCTCATAGGTATGTATACTAACTGAATCTAACAAACATCTGCTTCCATACAACTCTATTCTAGAGAACAGGACACATAAGAAGTGGCGAGGTTTGTACAAGTTACAACCTGCCCACATTGTATTCTCCACTGGATTCACGTTCACATCAATGTCAGTGAAAAAAGACTTTATTCTAAAGTTTACATGATGTAAATGAGTTCAATATTGTCAAATTGCAAAAGACTGAAGGATAGAACCATGCCATGCATATAAGAATAAACAAAAACTAGGCTACATTATTAATGCACCCACTAAGGTTTAGTATGAATCTTTCAAGGATCCTATTTAAAGAAAACATAAATGAACACAGGATTTTCTCCTCTAAAAGAGTCTTTCTTACTAACAGGTCAACTTTCTCATAGGTACGTATACTAAGTGGCTCTAACAAACGTCTGCTTCCATACAACTCAGCTTTACTCAGAGGTAGGCTTATCAAACAGCTCCAGAACAATACATCCTGACCTGTTAGAAGGTCAGATATAAACACTGAATTAAGATACATAGCATGCACACATAGCTCAAAGGATGTAAACATTAAGCCATTAAATCAAATGGGATGAATCTTTTCAAAGAAACTGGCTCTCAAACTGGTGGCAGGATGGTCTCAATCAAAGGATTTGAAGCAACCACACCCAGCCTTATACAACCTCCTCTCCTAAGGTACAGGCGAGTCTCCTCATCTACTCCTGGTCTTTAACAGTCATATAATATTCAAACATACAGTAAGTGTCAATGTCACAATATAACACACTGACCTGTCATAATCAGATCATTTCTCATATAAAAATTATGCCACCCAGTGGTTGTCTGAATAAAGACACACTGTCATAAGTAGAAGATACCACATTTTCTGTTTGTCAATAGGAAGTAATGATGACAATAGGAAATGATTACTAATACTGTAAATTATATTGTATGTGAGGCAATGCCTAAAAACTGTGGTCCAAGAGCAAATTCCTGTTTATTGGTTGTCAGAGTTGGGAGTTCAACTTTTCAATGTCAGGAAATGTGCATGGAACATTTTGTGGTTGCACAATTGTCTCCGGTATGTTTTGATTGTAATCTTGGCTCAAGAGTCAAATATGGCATTTAACCTAATACAACACAAGTATAATGTATTAACTAGGAAAAAACTAATACAGCAATGACATGATATAATGTTAATAATGTTTTTTCTTTCTTTATCTGCATATAGGCTAATGTATCAGATATACTTTAATAATCCCGTGGGGAAATTACTTATCGTAACATATCAATATAAACAACCCCCAGGTTGCTAACAACTACAGCCCTGCTTCTTCTGAGTAGACATAGGTAAAAAGGAATTAATGATAATTGTATCTTTGTTTAAAGAAAGTTTGTTCATTGATTTATATACAGGAAGACAATAATATTAAAGTGCCTGTCAGTGACCGTGTCACGTTATAGTACTGCAACAGAAGCACTTCTTCTTCCTCTCTCCAGTTCTTCCCCGTTCTCAACTCCACCCCCACCTGGGCCACCTAGGGGTAGCTGAAGTCCTGTATTTCTATTATGCCAGGGTTGAGGTCTTTTATTGTGTAATGTCCCTGTGAAATTTGCCTTGTAATGCTCTGCCTACATTCTGTGGTCTACATACTTATGTCCTCAGGATTTCCACTTTTACTACGACTCCCAGTGGTTTCCTTTCCCGTTCTTCTCTTTGGTGCACCGGACATGCTCTGGCTGAATGTAACTGTTGGTGGTAACATTAACTGTTTTTTTGGTTTTTTTTAAAGTATTTTTGGGGGGCTTTTTATTGTCTTTATTTGATAGGACAGCTGAAGACAGACAGGAAGGAGGGGCAGAGAGAGAGAGGGGATGACACACAGCAAAGGGCCGGAGGTCGGATTCGAAGGCCCTGGGCCGCTGCAGCAAGGACTCAGCCTTGGCACATGGGTCGCCAGATCTACCCTCTGAGCTAACCGGGCGCCCGGTAACATTAACTGTTGATGTTATATTACTGTGGTTTAAGTTTGTCATTTTTTATTTATTTTTTATCAACTTATTTGCATTGAGATGATAAACCTTTTTGTAAAAACCTGTGTTTCTTCTGTCTTATTATTTATTATTGTCCATTATTCTTATCTTAATCAGTAACTACTGCAGACACAGTGTTTCACAGTAGTACTCAAGCAGAACTGAAGAAATATCTTAATATAATTAGAAGACTGAAGATTCACATGGCATTCAGCTTTCTTCATTATAAAAGGAAAGTCCAATTTATTAAGCATATAAATTGCCTAACAATCAACTAAAAATGCATCAATCAGGAGTTGAAATATGTCCACTTCTGGTTTGAATGGCCATTCTGTATTTTGAAAATTTCAGAAATGGCTTCAGCATCCCAACAACCAAAACTACTAAAACATTTCTTGGGAGAGCCTTTCAGCATGTCAGATCTTTTTCAGAAATGATCATTTTAGTCACCACTCACTTTATAGATTACAGTCTACCATCCTCTAGTGGTAATACATCAGTATTACATTGAGAAAAGTAAAGTGTACCACAACAAGCTTCTTCTCATTGTCTAAACTGAAAACTGATTTCAATTGTAGTGTTGTTGTTCAATTTGAGGTGTAAAAATACCTCTTTAAACATATTTATAAAACATTCTGTAGCCTTAAAATAAGTCAGTGAAACCTTGAGATTTAGAAATGATGTTCTGGATGATTTAGTTGTGGTCAACCACTGAATAAATACAATAAGGTTATCTCATTTAATAATAAAGTCTATGGTCATTATCCAGTGATTTCTACAATTCAAACTTTCCAAGAAACTGAATGTTACGTATTAACTTTTATAACTGTGGGCTATTAGCTACTCGGGTAATTAAATGATAAAAACATCTACACTGTGAATGCTTTTATTCCAAATTCAACTCATTATTCATTATATAACAGTACTGCCACAAATATCCTGAAAAATAACACATTTGCACATCACGACACAAACACTATGACAGGACATACACTAACTTGACAAAGGCTATAAAACATGTGTTACGACTACATTACTATTGATGATAATGAAAGAAAAACTCAAATCATTCAAAGATCATATACGAAAAGAGAAGATTCAATCCGAAGCTTGTAATTGAAGCAAAAACTGCCAAATTTCATTGCTGAAAACATTAAAATAGAATTAAAAGAAGAAAAAAAAACGGAACCGCTATCAAAGGCGAACTATAAAATGACATTTCTGACTGCAGCAGATACAGAATACTTAGCACAATCAGCTGTGTTCAAAAGGAAGTCGTGCATGAAGTTCATCAACGGAAAAAACTAAAATATATAACAGAAAAACACGTTTATTTGTCCTTATACAGAAACACCACAGCCTACATAGAGAAATATTTATCTTAAACAGTATTACACGTCAATCTGTGGCCTCAAACCTTTTAGACACCATACTGTGTGTAGGTATGTGTTTTAAAGTTCAGATACAGAGACTTCTGGTTGTTTCTACAGCAGCTGGGTTTAGGCTAAATACTGCAGTTGGAACTTGGCATGACTGGGGTGCCTGGTTAGCTCAGTCGGTAGAGCTGGTGAACCATGTACGGAGTTGCTGCAGCTGCCCGGGTCGAATCCGACCTGCATCCCTTTGCTGCGTGTCATCCCCTCTCTCTGCCCCCCTCTCCTGTCTATCTTCGCCTGTCACTATCCAATGAAGGCAATAAAAGGCCAAAAAAATGACAAAAGAAAGAAACTTTGATTGATATTATTTTCGCCAGGTCAGTTTCCGCTGAAGGCCCTATACTGTATTACTTAATGGCTAGACTTGTAAAAAGGAAGTGTGGCTTATCAGTAATGAGTTATGTCAGTCTATAAAATGGCCATTAATCTTTTTTCAGCAGTTTCCTTCACAGCTCGAAAGATCATTATACAATCATAGGAGTCTTCACACTTGAGCCAGAGGGGAACCTCATGATTTCAACTCTTAGAGTTCAGACTGTCCGTACACATTTTATGCGTATTCCCATAGACTCACTCTGTAATGGACACCGCAGAGTGTCTTGGGTGAAGACGGAAAACGTCCACCAGGTTGTACTGTCCCATTCTGCACTTTCTGTGGTAATGGATGCATAAGAGTACCATGATGATGACGATCACAGCAGCAATTATTACTCCCAGCACGATAAAGTATCTGATGTAGCTGACTGCAGAGGGTTGGGAGAGGGGTATGGGTAAAAGAAAAAAGCAACATGAGAACCACATCAACAGTCAGTATGTACCTGCTTCCTGATGTCATATGTATTTATTCCCCTGAAAAAATTAAAAACTCACCGTTGACATTCACGTTGAACCTCACAGTGAAATTTCCCTGCTTGTTGGAGACATTGCAGATGTACAGTCCTTCGTCCTCAGAAGTTGTAGAGTTGATAATGAGAACGCTGTCGGTGTGGGGGGGCTGGCTGTTTGGTGGGCGCGTCCAGGAGTACAAGGGACTAGGGTTTCCCACCGCGGAGCAATCCAGTTTCAGAGAGTCTCCTTCTTTGACAGTGATCGACTCTGGAGGTGATGACACCTGGAGCTGAGGCTTATCTGTGTGATTGAGTGACAAAGAAATACAACACGTCACTACAGTGAAACAACTCAGTAACTTAAATCCAAGAATCAAAATGTTAAAGTAACATAACTTGTTTACTTTCTGTTATTTTTGGATTACCTCCACACCACAGAGAAAACAGATATCAATAAGATGTGTACATACTGTGTAAGACAACAGGACAATGTAACCTTTTAAGGATAAAAAATGTTTCCTCCACTCAATTTCAAATTGTTATAATAAATGTAACTTTAATCTACTACAGTTAGTATCCTGTTACATGTAATCCATTACTTCCCAAGCCTCATTACATACTGTAACTGGGAAAAGATACAGTTATATTACTCTCAGTGATAGGACGTCGGGTCTCCACTCCCTTCCAACAAACAAAACGTTACGAGCAGGACTCAGGTGTCAATCGTGATGGGAAACCCTCTTTTTATAGCTTTTAAATAACGAATGTACTTTTTTAGTAGGATTTTTTAGTTTGGCCCGTGTCCCATCTGCTAACATGGAGACAACAGGCTTTCAGACCTACACTGAAGTCAGCCACTAGGGGGCGATCAGATAATTTGGTTTCACTTTTGGAGAGCTGTCTGGCACAGTTTTGGCACAGTTGGGATTTCATATTTAAATTAAATTTTGACCACATGATGGTGCTAGCTAACTTTGTATGGATCACCAAAGCTATTACAATGCATCCTGAGAGCATCCAATCAATCCATCCAGTAATATCCAGATATTCAGTGTGGACCAAAGTGATAGACGAACCAATCTATAGAGCCACTGACTGTTTCTGTAAGGACATCAATAAGCATATTGTCAGCATATTTTCAGCTTGTCTACAGGTGCTAAGTGGATCAAGTCTGAATATGGATTAGCAATGGATCAGTCATGTGATCTATTGCTAATATAAAAATATTGATTAGAGAAGCTGTAAGTAACATATCAAAATACTATGTGATTGTAGCACAGCCAAAGAGGCCACAATAATAACCAAAGGTGTCAGAGTGGGTCAGTGTTGTTGCCAGACTCACAGTACACAGTAGCAGTGATGTTCTGTGACTTCACCACTGGAGGGGGCTGTGGTCCTTCTGGTCCCAGTTCTAGCTTGGCTTCACACCAGCACTGGACTCCATCATCGTATTTACTGGGGCTGATGTCTAAAGTGAAGATCTCAGTCACTGGTTTCTTCTCTGTAGTGTTTTTCTTAGACTGCAGTTGACCCAGTACTGTCTGTCCTTTGTAGAAGGTCACAGTGAGGTTTTCAACAGGAGCAACGTCCTGTACCGTACACTGCAGAGTGTACTGACGGCCCTCATACATCGGCCCAGTGTGATCAACAAAGCGGATGGACACATTATCTGGAGGCTCTGTGGAGACAAACAGAGAGACACACAGTAAGATAAAGGTTGGAAACAACAGCTTAACTTTAGATTAGAAATTATTAAACCATCATAGCAACAGTATTTCACTCAACACAAAGTTTACTTACTGTAGACAGTTACAGGCAGCGGGGTACAACACTGGTCAAATTTCTGATTAGGAACATTAATATACTTTTCATAGTAACACAAGAGAGGTATTTCCCATTCAGTCACACTGTCAGCCTGCCATGTAATTGTGGTTCCATTTTCTGTGTTTTCTCCCAGAGATTTTTCCAAACCAAATGCGGTTGTGCATTGCTCACAGACGGTGCACATGGCAGAGGATCGGTCACCAAACATCACCACCAGTCTGGATGGACTGAATACGGGTTTTTCTGCACAGTTTTCATCTGTAAGACAATAAAAAGTTGTGATTTTAAAAAGCTTTGTGTAAAATTATCAATCAGATACACCATTAAAGCATCCAAAAGTCTCACACACAATGTCATACAGGAAACCAAGTTATATTAGTGCTATATACTGTATCTGATAACAGTGTTTGTTTATGCATTATGTTTTTATATATATCTTTTAAGAAAGTATGTTGCCAGACTGCCTAAAATAGTCTGTAAACAGCAACTGCCCTGCCTTGTATGCCTTACAATGTTCAGTATTCATACACTAACTATATAATAGTATATACACACAACAACATTATCATAGATTATAACCCTTCAATCTGATGTGCTGTGGTCTCTCCGTGAGGTAGTCCGTAATCCATGTCACCAGGAGTGGGTCCACCCTCATCTCTGCCAGCTTGTCTCTCAGCAGGAGCAGCCGGATGGTGTTGAAGGCGCTGGAGAAATCAAAAAATGTGATTCTCACAGCACTGCTCTCCTTGTCCAGATGAGAGTGGGCCCTATGGAGCAGATAGAGGATGGCATCCTCCACGCTCACCTTCTCCTGGTATCCAAACTGCAGTGGATCTTTTGCATGGTGGACCTGGGGTCTTGAGGACATGGAGCAGCAGCTGTTCGAACGTCTTCATAATGTGTGATGTCAGTGCTACTGGTCTGAAGTCACCCGGCTCCCTGGGGTGTTTTTACTTAAGAACCGGGATGAGACATGAAGTCTTCCAGAGCACTGGGACCCTCCCCAGCTGCAGGCTCAGGTTGCCCCAGTTCAGCAGAGCAGGCTTTAAGCATCCTTGGACACACTCTGTCCGGGCCCGCTGCTTTCCTTGGACGAAGCCTCCTCAGCTCTCTGCTCACCTGATCCTTGGTGATGGTGGTGGTGAGGGGGGTTGAACTGTCCATGGGTGTGGAGGGTGGGGGTGGTCTGCAGTCTGAGGTGGTGATTGACATGGTGGTGGCATTGGGGGAGGTGCAGGATGCTCCAGTCAGTACATTCAAAGCAGTCCGTCAGAGCCTCCGCTGCCTCAGGAGACCATTTTCTGAAGGAGCGTGTGGTTGTAGACTGTCTCTGGATCTGTGTTTTGTACTGTGGCGTGAGCAGGACCAGGTTATGGTCAGACTTTCCCAGTGGGGGCAGAGGAGTGGCAGTGTAAGCTTCCCTCACTTGGCATACAGGAGGTCTAATGTAATGTTCTTCCTGGTGGGGCAGCTTACAAACTGGTGAAAGTCTGGCAGTGTGGAGTCCAGTGTGACGTGGTTAAAATCTCTTTTTTTTAACTTTCAAAGTCATCTTTATTGTGAAAAGAGGTTTATAATTCAGACGTGACTTACAGAAACATATATATGTAACAGTAAACGAACATATCAAATATTTTATAGCTTATATATTATTAAAAAGAGAAAGAGGACCATATGTCGACAGTTTTAACCGCGTTTTTGTTGTTGGACCCAGAAATCAAATTAATATAATGTACAACTTCATGGAGAAAAGGCACAAAATAACAATTCAATTCAATTCAATTCAATTCAATTTTATTTGTATAGCGCCAATTCATAACAGAAGTTATCTCAGGACACTTTTCAAATAGAGCAGGTCTAGACCGAACTCTTTTTTTTATTGAATATATGGAATGAAGCTTGAATATATGGAATGAAGCTTGGATATACTGATAAAAAAAATTGAGAATAGCCTACAGAATGAAATTCAAAACCTAGTTGTATCCTTTTCATCAAAGTGATAGCCTTCTGAATTTGCTGGTTTTACAAAATGGCATCAGTTGAAATATTACAATACTTTCTTGAACTGGAAAACTTTTTTTGCTCCAAATGACACTAACGGTTTGGAGACTATATCGCGTCACCTTGAGGATCATATTTCCATTATTGCGACATTCATAGTGCTTATGAGTAATAATGTTCAACAAAACATTGCCGAAAGAACATTATGCGTCAAGATTTTGCCTGAGGCCTGTTGTAGTCGACCTGCCATGATTAAAAAGGGAGCAAACTTCTTCGTCAGGAGAACGGTATTGGGTACGGGTACTATCAGGAGGATTTTGGACCGTACAAGCACTTGCCAATGAGTTAATAATTACCTCATTGCTCAGTATTGCTGCCACAAGGTTACTGACTGACTCATTCTCACTTCTTGCAGCAGCAAAATACAAGATGGCAACAGTGCCTTGATGACGTCAGTCAAGTTTCATTACATATGTTCAAAGATTCATTCAATATATTCAAAGAATTACTCCATATATTCAAGAATTAATTCAATATATTCAAGTTTCATTCCATATATTCAATGATTCATTCAATATATGCAAGGATTCATTCCATATATTCAAGGATTCATTCAATATATTCAAAGATTAATTTAATACATTCAAAGTTTCATTCAATATATTCAAGTTTCATTCCATATATTCAATGATTCATTCAATATATGCAAGGATTCATTCCATATATTCAAGGATTCATTCAATATATTCAAAGATTAATTTAATACATTCAAAGTTTCATTCAATATATTCAAGTTTCATTCCATATATTCAAGAATTCATTCAATATATTCAAGTTTCATTCCATATATTCAAGGATTCATTCAATATATTCAAAGATTCATTCAATATATTCAAGGTTCATTCAATACATTCAAAGTTTCATTCAATATATTCAAAGATTAATTTCCTAAACGGCATGCCATAATATATATATATATATATATATATATATATATATATATATATATATATATATCTGTAAGTCACATCTGAATTGTAACCCCTTTTTTTTCAATAAAGATGACGAAATACAAAACAAAACCGGAAACAAAAACAAAAAAACCTCTCTCTAGGCATGTACCGTTATTACAGCAACTCGATGTCTCTGTTGCACACGATCTATGTTGTCCGTAAAAAGTCATTGTATCCATAGGCTATATAAAGTTCTACACAGCTAGTGAAATCTACTGAGTTAAAAGTTTAAAAAAAACACACACTTAAAGTACTAAAAACAACACGACACACACGGAGCCACTGGATAAGCGCCCTGCTTGCGCCGGAAGTTACTTATGAACATATAAAGATATGAAAAGAGGAGAAATGAATTCAATCTGAAGCTTGTAACGGGAGCAAATTTCACCCTGATAAACAAAAAACATTAATCATAATAAAAACAAAACAAACCACTAATCTGAATTTGATATGATGTCTATGTAAAGCGCACCATGAATGATAAAAGTGATGATTTCTGCTCTATAACGGAGCATACACCGATATCAAAGGCGAACTAATGATGCCATTTCCGACCGCAGCACATAAAGAATACTTACCGCAACCAGTGGCGTTCACATGGGAGTTGTTCAGGATGTTCAGCAAAGAAACAACCAAAAATATGTAACAGGTGGACATGTTTCCAGTCGGTCCGAGCAGCCTGGTGATGAACTGTTTGAGCCCGAGGGTACAGAGAGTCTGCGACTGAAAATGAAAGTAAAAAAAAAAAAGCGGCAAGAAAAAACTGCATTTTAAGAGTCAGAAACCTCGGACGTGTGTGCGCATGTGGAGCCTTTGCTTTATTATTTTACACTCTTACATCAGTAGGCGCCCAACCTAACTCACTCTTGGTGTTTTGCGTTAATCGGGTGGTGGTGGCTTGGTATGGTATCAAATTCCCGGTCTGAGTGATTGTCCCAGTCCGCCCCTGGCATCAACAATTAACCCCTTCAGACCCTGTGTCCATTACAATGGACGTCACTTGACAGGGGCTTCTTTTTTACTTTTTGCAACATTTAACAGACAAAAAATAGGTATGATGTTGTCATATGATGTTGGTATTTTAAGAATTGTTTGGACCCGATGTCCATTGAAATGGACAAGAAAAATAACAATTAAAGGGTTTTGATTAAAAAAAATCTTTTTATTGATTCTCATTTCTGGTTGCATTAAGGATGGGAAAAAGTCATTATTATATTTTTCACAACCTTAACATAAGGCGGGTCTGAAAGTAATTTGTCATGTGACAGCTTTGTGAGAAGTGTCATAGTTATATTCACTGAGGTTCTGTAGTTTATTCATGCTGCTCAAACTCTTACACAGAAACAGAGTTTAATTTGGTTCAGTTATCAGCCTGCTTCAGGTTTCGATGTTTCATGTTCCAACTGAAAATTAGGGTCTGAAAATGTCCTTTTCTGACTTTTATAGAGATATAGATGGATATAGATATATGTAGAAATATTTAATGAATGGCAGCTTAAATAACCTATTCAGTTCTACGTGATTGGATTATTCTTATTTTGAATGGCATTGTGAGCATATTGAATTTACCTTACCTACCTAACTTTATTCTAAAGTTTACATGATGTAAATTAGATCATTATTGTCTAATTAAAAAAGACTGAAGGATAGAACCATGCTATGCATATAAGAATAAACAAACACTAGGCTACATTAATAATGCACCCACTAAGGTTTAGTATGAATCTTTCAAGGATCCTATTTAAAGAAAACATAAGTGAACACAGGATTTTCTCCTCTAAAAGAGTCTTTCTTACTAACAGGTCAACTTTCTCATAGGTACGTATACTAAGTGGCTCTAACAAACGTCTGCTTCCATACAACTCAGCTTTACTCAGAGGTAGGCTTATCAAACATTAATTAAGATACATAGCATGCACACATAGCTCAAAGGATGTAAACATTAAGCCATTTAATCAAATGGGATGAATCTTTTCAAAGAAACTGGCTCTCAAACTGGTGGCAGGATGGTCTCAATCAAAGGATTTGAAGCAACCACACCCAGCCTTATACAACCTCCTCTCCTCAGGTACAGGCGAGTCTCCTCATCTACTCCTGGTCCTTAACAGTCATATAATATTCAAACATACAGTAAGTGTCAATGTCACAATATAACACACTGACCTGTCATAATCACATAATTTTCATATAAAAATTCTGCCACCCAGTGGTTGTCTGAATAAAGACACACTGTCATAAGTAGAAGATACCACATTTCCTGTTTGTCACTTGTCAAGTGGAAGTAATGATGATAATAGAGGACTTACTAATGCCGTAAATTATATTGTATGTGAGGCAATGCCTAAAAACTGTGGTCCAAGAGCAAATTCCTGTTTATTGGTTGTCAGAGTTGGGAGTTCAGCTTTTCAGTGTCAGGAAGTGGGGATGGATAATTGTGTGGTTGCACAATAGTCACCAGTATGTTTTGATTGTAATCTTGGCACAAGAGTCAAATATGGCATTTAACCTAATACAACACAAGTATAATGTATTAACTAGGAAAAAACTAATACAGCAATGACATGATATAATGTTAATAATGTTTTTTTTCTTTCTTTATCTGCATATAGGCTAATGTATCAGATATACTTTAATAATCCCGTGGGGAAATTACTTATCGTAACATATCAATATAAACAACCCCCAGGTTGCTAACAACTACAGCCCTGCTTCTTCTGAGTAGACATAGGTAAAAAGGAATTAATGATAATTGTATCTTTGTTTAAAGAAAGTTTGTTCATTGATTTATATACAGGAAGACAATAATATTAAAGTGCCTGTCAGTGACCGTGTCATGTTATAGTACTGCAACAGAAGCACTTCTTCTTCCTCTCTCCAGTTCTTCCCCGTTCTCAACTCCACCCCCACCTGGGCCACGTAGGGGTAGCTGAAGTCCTGTATTTCTATTATGCCAGGGTTGAGGTCTTTTATTGTGTAATGTCCCTGTGAAATTTTCCTTGTAATGCTCTGCCTACATTCTGTGGTCTACATACTTATGTCCTCAGGATTTCCACTTTTACTACGACTCCCAGTGGTTTCCTTTCCCGTTCTTCTCTTTGGTGCACCGGACATGCTTTGGCTGAATGTAACTGTTGGTGGTAACATTAACTGTTTTTTTGGTTTTTTTTAAAGTATTTTTGGGGGGCTTTTTATTGTCTTTATTTGATAGGACAGCTGAAGACAGACAGGAAGGAGGGGCAGAGAGAGAGAGGGGATGACACACAGCAAAGGGCCGGAGGTCGGATTCGAAGGCCCTGGGCCGCTGCAGCAAGGACTCAGCCTTGGCACATGGGTCGCCAGATCTACCCTCTGAGCTAACCGGGCGCCCGGTAACATTAACTGTTGATGTTATATTACTGTGGTTTAAGTTTGTCATTTTTTATTTATTTTTTATCAACTTATTTGCATTGAGATGATAAACCTTTTTGTAAAAACCTGTGTGTCTTCTGTCTTATTATTTATTATTGTCCATTATTCTTATCTTAATCAGTAACTACTGCAGACACAGTGTTGCACAGAAGTACTCAAGCAGAACTGAAGAAATATCTTAATATAATTAGAAGACTGAAGATTCACATGGCATTCAGCTTTCTTCATTATAAAAGGAAAGTCCAATGTATTAAGCATATAAATTGCCTAACAGTCAACTAAAAATGCATCAAAATTGGCCCACTGGGAGTTGAAATATGTCCACTTCTGGTTTGAATGGCCATTCTGTATTTTGAAAATTTCAGAAATGGCTTCAGCATCCCAACAACCCCCAAAACTACTAATACATTTCTTGGAAGAGCCTTTCAGCATGTCAGATCTTTTTCAGAAATGATCATTTTAGTCACCACTCACTTTATAGATTACAGTCTACCATCCTCTAGTGGTAATACATCAGTATTACATTGAGAAAAGTAAAGTGTACCACAACAAGCTTCTTCTCATTGTCTAAACTGAAAACTGATTTCAATTGTAGTGTTGTTGTTCAATTTGAGGTGTAAAAATACCTCTTTAAACATATTTATAAAACATTCTGTAGCCTTAAAATAAGTCAGTGAAACTTTGAGATTTAGAAATTATGTTCTGGATGATTTAGTTGTGGTCAACCACTGAATAAATACAATAAGGTTATCTCATTTAATAATAAAGTCTATGGTCATTATCCAGTGATTTTTACAATTCAAACCTTTCAAGAAACTGAATGTTACGTATTAACTTTTATAACTGTGGGCTACTAGCTACTCGGGTAATTAAATGATAAAAACATCTACACTGTGAATGCTTTATGCTAAAATAACACATTTGCACATCACGACACAACCACTATGACAGGACATACACTACATTAACATTAAGGAGATATAAAACATGTGTTACAACTACATTACTATTGATGATAATGAAAGAAAAACTCAAATCATTCAAAGAAAAAGAAAAGAGAAGATTCACAATCTGAAGCTTGTAATTGAAGCAAAAACTGCCAAATTTCAGTGCTGAAAACATTAAAAATAGAATTAAAAGAACGAATGATTAAAGTTATTCTTTCACTCTATACAGAGAATAAACAGCTATCAAAGGCAAACTATAAAATTACATTTCTGATGGCAGCAGATACAGAATACTTACCACAATCAGCTGTGTTCAAAAGGAAGTCATGCATGAAGTTCATCAACAGAACAAAAATAAGTAACAGAAAAATATGTTTATTTGTCCTTATACAGAAACACCACAGCCTACACAGAGAAATACTTATCTTGAACGGTATTACACGTCAATCTGTGGCCTCAAACCTTTTAGACACCATACTGTGTGTAGGTATGTGTCTTAAAGTTCAGATACAGAGGCTTCTGGTTGTTTCTACATCAGCTGGGTTTAGGCTAAATACTGCAGTTGAAACTTGACGTGACTGGGCCTTTTATATAAATAGATAGCATCAGTTGAGATAACAGGAAATGAGAGAGAGAGAGAGAGAGAGAGAGAGAGAGAGAGAGAGAGAGAGAGAGAGAGAGCTGCAACACAGACTCAAATTGTTGTTGCTCTTGGGCGGAGTCTTCACACTTCAGCCACAGGGGAACCTCATGATTTAAACTCTTACAGCTTCAGGCTGTCGATACATATTTGGTGCATAGTCCAATAGACTTGTGCATATTATTACCGCCGCAACGACAGCCACAGCAGCAATTATTAGTATCAGCAGGATGAAGTATGTGATGTAGCTGACTGCAGAGGGTTGGTAGAGGGGTATGGGTAAAAGAAAAAGGCCACATGAGACCGATATCAACAACCAGTATGTACTTTCTTCCTGATGTCAGATATACTACAAAACAATACTATAAGCAACAACAATAATAATAATGATTACCCTGGAGACTTAAAACTCACCTTTGACCTTCACGTTAAACTCCAAAGTGAAACTTCCCTCACTGTTGATAACAAAGCAGCTGTACACTCCTTTGTGTTTAAAGGTTGCAGAGTAGAAAGTGAGAACGCTGTCATTGGAGGGGGACAGGCTGTTTGATGGGAGCGTCCAGGAGTACGAGGGACTGGGGTTTCCCACCGCGGAGCAATCCAGTACCAGAGGGTGTCCATCTATGACAGTGATCAAATCTGGAGGTGATGACACCTGGAGCTGAGGCCTATCTGTGTGATTGAGTGAGGAAGAAATACAACACGTCATTACAGCAAAAGAATTATGGGAATTATTATGAAATTTCCACAGTTTATCCATTGATGCTGATATTTAGTACATTGTAAATAAGCACTGGTTTACTTTCACAACAGTGTTGTCCCTATCTGTCTGTCTCCTATTTGGTGCGGGGCAGGTAGGTTAAAGTGGGATTTTAGAGCTTTTTTATTGAAAACATGTCTGTAAAATCAAAACAATGAGATAAAAGACACTACAAAGGTCTGATGAGGAGAACGGCAGAGTCAGGTGACCTGTGGGTAAAACCAATACGAGCGACTCCTTTCATATGCAAGAAGTCATGTGATCTATTGCTAATATACAAATATTGATTAGTGCAGCTTTAAGTAAAAGGTCATCACAGTCAAAGGGGCAAAAATGATGAACCAAGGGTGTGAAGTTGTTGCCAGACTCACAGTACACAGTGGCAGTGATGTTCTGTGACTTCACCACTGGAGGGGGCTGTGGTCCTTCAGGTCCCAGTTCTAGCTTGGCTTCACACCAGTAATGGACTCCATCGTCGTATTTACTGGGGCTGACGTTTAAAGTGAAGATCTCAGTCACTGGTTTCTTCTTCTTCTTTTTGTTGTTGTTGGACTGTAGTTGACCCAGTACTGTCTGTCCTCTGTAGAAGGTCACAGTGAGGTTTTCAACAGGAGCAACGTCCTGTACCGTACACTGCAGACTGTACTGACGGCCCTCATACATTGGCCCATTGTGATTAATCAAGCTGATGGACACATTATCTGGAGGCTCTGTGGAGACAAACAGAGAGACACACAGTAAGATAAAGGTTGGAAACAACTGCTTAACTTTAGATTATAAATAATTAAACCATCATAACAACAGTATTTCACTCAACACAAAGTTTACTTACTGTAGACAGTTACAGGCAGCGGGGTACAACACTGGGCAAATTCCTGATTAGGATCATTAATATACTTTTCGTAGTAACACAAGAGAGGTAATATCCATTCAGTCACACTGTCAGCCTGCCATGTAATTGTGGTTCCGTTTACTATGTTTTTTCCCAGAGATTTTTCCAAACCAATTACAGCCGTGCATTGCTCACAGACGGTGCACATGGCAGAGGATGGGTCACCAAACTTCACCACCAGTCTGGATGGACTGAATACAGGTTTCTCTGCACAGTTTTCATCTGTAAGACAATAAAAAATGTGATTTTAAAAAGCTTTGTGTAAAATTAAATCAATTAGATAAACCATTAAAGCATCTAAAAGTCTCACACACAATGTCATACAGGAAACCAAAAGTATATTAGTGCTATATACTGTATCTGATAACAGTGTTTGTTTAGGCATTATGTATTTATATATTTCTTAGTTAGAATATACTGGAGTGGTATGTTAACCTTAAATGGTCTGTAAACATTAATTCATGTTATTTTGTGCATAAACACTCACCAGTGATTGTGAAGTGACTGTGGGCTACAAGAGATAAAACCATCTACACTGTTTCCAATGTCAACTATTCATACACTAACTATATAACAGTATACACTACACATTAACATAGGCTATAATACATTACTATACTACAGTACATAGTAAACAATAATGAAAGAAAAACTAACTTTAGTCAACAAATCATTCAAAATCAAAAGAACATATGAAAAGAGGAGACGTTAATTCAATCTGAAGTATGTAATCGGAGCAATAACTGCCAAATGTCGCTCTATCTGTGTAGTGCTGAGAACATTAAACATGGAATTAAAAAACAAAACACTAAACTGTCTTTGATGGTATTCTCTATGTGAAGCACAAAACTTATTAGAAAAGTTATCATTTTGTTCTATACGGAGCATAAACCCAGTGGGGGTCATCATGGGCCTTGTGGCTACTCTTTGTGTCGGCCAAAACAATATGCTGATTTAATCACAATCACATATATCAATAATTGCTTGGAAAAGCCCCCAAATTAAGATATTTGAACTCAAAACCATTATTGCAGCACATGAGTAAAGCACTGATCAAAAATATCTAAAAGAAGAAGAAGTAGAAGAAGTTATTTACAAATCTTCAGACATTTTTGCAAACACAGCATGTTTTTTTTTTTAACTGAACTTAAGCCAGTCGCTTAAAAAGCAGATTAAATTAATTTGACAGTAAACTGGAGTGGCAGCTGGCCACCCCCATGCCACAGAGCTAAATAGTCTTCCCCAAGTGTACAACGGTCGCACCCTTGTACAAGTTGGGCCCCTCAACTGCAGCACATACGGAATACGTACCACACCCAGAAGCGTTCACATGGAAGTCGTGTAGGAAGTTAATAAAAAAAACAACCAAAAATATGTCAAATAAAAACATTGTTCCCATTAAGTCCGAGCAGAACGGTAATGAACCAGTTTGAACCGTTGACAGCAGAGACGGTCCTGACCTCCCTGGGGCCCTGAGCAAACTTCTGCTGAGAAGCCCTCCTACCTGACCCGTGAGCCATGTAAAACCATTTGCCTTTGCCACACAGTTACACCCCAGTGCCCCCCCAGTGAGTACAATCCCCCTCCTTTAAAACAGTTTGCTCCATCTGTCTTAGAATTACTAGATCTATACAGAAGAGAGTGAGTTATAAACAAACAATATTTATTGAATAGAATTTTTTCAATAGAATCTCAAGAGAAGTGAATATTGACAACATCAAAAAGAAATTGTAGAAAATATGACGTGAAAAAAAGATAAAATATAACACTGAGCTAACCCTGTACTGCCTGGTAGTAAGTCCAGTCCTGACAATATTATTCAATACACTCTCAGAATATCTGCATCAGACCCATTTTAACTGGCTCCCCAAGATTTCCTTTTATACACTTTGAAATATAAAGTAGTATTCATACTATAGATTGACTGAATAATTGACTGAGAGATGTGCATCCATATTACCCAGTATGCCCAGCTACCAACATTTTAAATTCAATATTCAATCAATAGTCAATATCAAATCATTGCTGATCAATCCATAGTTGTAAAATATAGACTGAGAGAGTAAATAATCAGTGTCTTGTTTTACAATGGTGTGTGCCCATGAGAGCCACCACGCCCATACACTATCTCTGAACTGATGCGCACAGATGTTGCAGCTGCTGGAAAGCATGAGTTTCGATTCCTTTTCCGCGCAAGCGCACATGAACGCACGTTCACGTGCGATGCAAATTATAAAACATTGCTGCTGTCTGGTGTTTATCAAACAGAATACACAGATTGTATTACACTTTGTCACTTTAGTCTGGCACAGAACAGCTCTGGAAGACAGACAGACAGACAGACAGACCGACAGACAGACAGAGATAGAGACAGACAAGAGATAGAGACAGCCAGACAGCCAGACAGACAGAGACAGACAGACAGACAGACAGACAGACAGAGAGCTGCACTGTCAGTTGTTAGTGAGACAGACAGACAGACAGACAGACAGACAGACAGCCCATCAGCTCAGTATTATTGTTATTAACTGACGTCAAACTTGGAGAGAAAACAAGTTTAATTGATTTCTGTTCGATTCTCTCTCCTTGTTTGTTTTTCTGTTTTCATGATTGAGGGCTCCTCTCTCTCCTGTATTACTGTTAACATGTTTGACTGCCCAAACTTCATCCAGAGAACCAGTTCTTCAAGAACATGAAGAGGCTTTATGTGGTTAATGAGTCATTAAATAACAGTCATGGAGATTAACCATTAAGTTTGGACTTGTTTTGTAATGCAACTGCTTGTTGAGTCAGTTAACCCAGTGGTTCCCAATCAGGGGTTCTGGATCTCCTCTAGGGGTTGCCAAAGCTTCACAGGGGGGTTGAGAAAGTAATATTCTATGGATTCATTTTTTTGAATTTCTTTGAAGAGACTTTCAGCATGTCAGATCTTATCAGAAATTATCATTTTAATCACCGTTCACTTTATAGATTACATTCTACCATCCTCTAGTGGTAATACATCAGTGTTACATTGAGAAAAGTAAACTGTACCACAACAAGCTGCTTCTCACTGTCTAAACTGGAAACTGATTTCAATTGTATACTTTTGAAATATCAAAACAATTTGAGGTGTAAAAATACCTCTTTAAACATATTGATAAAACATTCTGTAGCCTTAAAATAAGTCAGTGAAACCTTGAGATTTAGAAATGATGATCTGGATGATTTAGTTCTAGTCAACCACTGAATAAATACAATAAGGTTATCTCATTTAATACTAAGGTCTGTGGTCATTCCAAGTAATTGAATGTTACGTATTAACTTTTATAACTGTGGGCTACTAGCTACTAGGGTAATTAAATGATACAAACATCTACAATGTGAATGCTTTTATTTCAAATTCAACTCATTATTCATTATATAACAGTACTGCCACAACATGTTGTATATAATGCCAAATATTCAGCATATGAGAAAAGGAAAAATAACACATTTGCACATCACGACACAACCACTATAAAAGGACATACACTACATTAACATAAGCTATAAAACATGTGTTACGACTACATTACTATTGATTAATACTAATTTTGGCCAACAAATCATTCAAAGGACAAATTAAAAGAGGAGATTCAATCTGAAGCTTGTAATTGGAGCAAAAACTGCCAAATTTCATTGCTGAAAACATTAAAAATAGAATTAAAAGAAAAAACAAACGGAACAGCTATCAAAGGCGAAATTTTAAAATGACATTTCTGACTGCAGCAGATACAGAATACTTACCACAACTCAGCTGTGTTCAAAAGGAAGTCGTGCATGAAGTTCATCAACGGAAAAAAATAAAATATATAACAGAAAAACATGTTTATTTGTCCTTATACAGAAACACCAACGCCTACATAGAGAAATATTTATCTTAAACAGTATTACACGTCAATCTGTGGCCTCAAACCGTTTAGACACCATACTGTGTGTAGGTATGTGTTTTAAAGTTCAGATACAGAGACTTCTGGTTGTTTCTACAGCAGCTGGGTTTAGGCTAAATACTGCAGTTGAAACTTGACGTGACTGATATTATTCTGGGCCTTTTATGTCAATAGATAGCATCAGTAGAGTTAACAGGAAATGACAGAGAGAGAGAGAGATTCAACACAGACTCAAAATAGGGATGTTGTTGAGTCTTCACACTTGAGTCAGAGGGGAACCTCATTATTTCAACTCTTAGAGTTCAGACTGTCCGTGCACATTTCATGCGTATTCCCATAGACTCACTCTGTAATGGGCACGGCAGAGTGTCTTGCGTGAAGACGGAAAACGTCCTTCAGGTTGTACTGTCCCATTCTGTACTTTCTGTGGTAATGGATGTATAAGAGTACCATGATGATGACGATCACAGCAACAACTATTACTCCCAGCAGGATAAAGTATCCGATGTAGCTGACTACAGAGGGTTGGGAGAGGGGTATGGGTAAAATAACAAAGCAACATGAGAACCACATCAACAGTCAGTATGTACTTCATATGTATTAAAATAATAATAAATAATAATGATAATTAGCCTGCACATTAAAAAAACTTAAAACTCACCTTTGACATTAACATTGAACTCCAAAGTTAAATATCCCTCCTTGTTGGAGACATAGCAGCTGTACAGTCCTTTGTCCTCAGAAGTTGTAGAGTTGATAGTGAGAACGCTGTCAGTGGAGGGGGGCTGGCTGTTTGATGGGAGTGTCCAGGAGTACGAGGGACTGGGGTTTCCCACCGCGGAGCAATCCAGTTTCAGAGAGTCTCCTTCTAAGACAGTGATCAGCTCTGGAGGTGATGACACCTGGAGCTGAGGCTTATCTGTGTGATTAAGTGAGAAAGAAATACATCACGTCATTACAGCAAAACAATTATGGGAATTATTATGAAATTTCCACAGTTTATCCATTGATGCTGATATTTAGTACATCATAAATAAGCACTGGTTTACTTTCACTACAGTATTGTCCCTATCTGTCTGTCTGCTGTTTGGTGCAGGGCAGGTAGGTTAAAGTGGGATTTTAGAGCTTTTTCATTTAAAACGTGCCAATGAGAGCTGTGAGAGTGAATCAAAAATGACGTCTGTAAAATCAAAACAATGAGATAAAAGACACTACAAAGGTCTGATGAGGAGAACGGCAGAGTCAGGTGACCTGTGGGTAAAACCAATACGAGCGACTCCTTTTATATGCAAGAAGTCATGTGATCTATTGCTAATATACAAATATTGATTAGTGCAGCTTTAAGTAAAAGATCATCACAGCCAAAGGGGCAAAAATGATGAACCAAGGGTGTGAAGTTGTTGCCAGACTCACAGTACACAGCGGCAGTGATGTTCTGTGACTTCACCACTGAAGGGGGCTGTGGTCCTTCAGGTCCCAGTTCTAGCTTGGCTTCACACCAGTACTGGACTCCATCATCGTATTTACTGGGGCTGATGTTTAAAGTGAAGATCTCAGTCATTGGTTTCCTTCTTGTGTGGTAATTAGACTGTAGTTGACCCAGTACTGTCTGTCCTCTGTAGAAGGTCACAGTGAGGTTTTCAACAGGAGCAACGTCCTGTACCGTACACTGCAGAGTGTACTGACGGCCCTCATACATTGGCCCAGTGTGATTAACAAAGCTGATGGACACATTATCTGGAGGCTCTGTGGAGACAAACAGAGAGACACACAGTAAGATAAAGGCTGGAAACAACTGCTTAACTTTAGATTAGAAATGATTAAACCATCATAACAACAGTATTTCACTCAACACAAAGTTTACTTACTGTAGACAGTGACATGCAGCGGGGTACAACACTGGTCAAATTCCTGATTAGGATCATTAATATACTTTTCATAGTAACACAAGAGAGGTAATTCCCATTCAGTCACACTGTCAGCCTGCCATGTAATTGTGGTTCCGTTTTCTGTGTTTTCTCCCGAACTGCTTACCAAACCAAATGCGGTTGTGCATTGCTCACAGACGGTGCACATGGTAGAGGATGGGTCACCAAACTTCACCACCAGTCTGGATGGACTGAATACAGGTTTCTCTGCACAGTTTTCATCTGTAAGACAATAAAAGGTTTGTGATTTTAAAAAGCTTTGTGTAAAATTATCAATTAGATAAACCATTAAAGCCTCTAAAAGTCTCTCACACAATGTCATACAGGAAACCAAAAGTTATATTAGTGCTATATACTGTATCTGATAACAGTGTTTGTTTATGCATTATGTATTTATATATTTCTTAGTTAGAATATACTGGAGTGGTATGTTAACCTTAAATGGTCTGTAAACATTAATTCATGTTATTTTGTGCTGGGCTACAAGAGATAAAACCATCTACACTGTTTCCAATGTCAACTATTCATACACTAACTATATAACTGTATACACTACACATTAACATAGGCTATAATACATTACTATACTACAGTACATAGTAAACAATAATGAAAGAAAAACTAACTTTAGTCAACAAATCATTCAAAATCAAAAGAACATATGAAAAGAGGAGACGTTAATTCAATCTGAAGTATGTAATCGGAGCAATAACTGCCAAATGTCGCTCTATCTGTGTAGTGCTGAGAACATTAAACATGGAATTAAAAAACAAAACACTAAACTGTCTTTGATGGTATTCTCTATGTGAAGCACAAAACTTATTAGAAAAGTTATCATTTTGTTCTATACGGAGCATAAACCCAGTGGGGGTCATCATGGGCCTCGTGGCTACTCTTTGTGTCGGCCAAAACAATATGCTGATTTAATCACAATCACATATATCAATAATTGCTTGGAAAAGCCCCCAAATTAAGATATTTGAACTCAAAACCATTATTGCAGCACCTGAGTAAAGCACTGATTAGAAATATCTAAAAGTAGAAATCAATACATTGTTTTTATTTACAAATCTTCAGACATTTTTACAAACAGAGCATGTTTTTTTTAACTGAACTTAAGCCAGTCGCTTAAAAAGCAGATCATTAAATTAATTTGACAGTAAACTGGAGTGGCAGCTGGCCACCCCCATGCCACAGAGCTAAATAGTCTGCCCCAAGTGTACAACGGTCGCACCCTTGTACAAGTTGGGCCCCTCAACTGCAGCACATACGGAATACGTACCACACCCAGAAGCGTTCACATGGAAGTCGTGTAGGAAGTTAATAAAAAAAACAACCAAAAATATGTCAAATAAAAACATTGTTCCCATTAAGTCCGAGCAGAACGGTAATGAACCGGTTTGAACCGTTGACAGCAGAGACGGTCCTGACCTCCCTGGGGCCCTGAGCAAACTTCTGCTGAGAAGCCCTCCTACCTGACCCGTGAGCCATGTAAAACCATTTGCCTTTGCCACACAGTTACACCCCAGTGCCCCCCCAGTGAGTACAATCCCCCTCCTTTAAAACAGTTTGCTCCATCTGTCTTAGAATTACTAGATCTATACAGAAGAGAGTGAGTTATAAACAAACAATATTAATTGAATAGAATATCTTCTATAGAATCTCAAGAGAAGTGAATATTGACAACATCAAAAAGAAATTGTAGAAAATATGACATGAAGAAAAAGATAAAATATAACACTGAGCTAACCCTGTACTGCCTACCAACATTTTAAATTCAATATTCAATCAATAGTCAATATCAAATCATTGCTGATCAATCCATAGTTGTATAATATAGAGAGAGTAAATAATTAGTGTCTTGTTTTACAATGGTGTGTGCCCATGAGAGCCACCACGCCCATACACTATCTCTGAACTGATGTGCACAGATGTTGCAGCTGCTGGAAAGCACAAGTTTTAATTCACGTGCGATGCTAATTATAAAACACTGCTGTTGTCTGGTGTTTTTATCAAATGGAATACATAGATTGAATTACACTTTGTTACTGTAGTCTGGCACAAAGTCAGAACAGCTCTGGAAGACAGACAGACAGACAGACAGACAGACAGAGAGAGAGACAGACAGAGAGCTGCATTATCAGTTGTTAGTCAGACAGACAGACAGACAGAGAGACAGACAGACTATCAGCTCAGTGTTATTGTTATTTACTGACGTCAAACTTGGAGAGAACACAAGTTTAACTGATTTCTGTTCGATTCTCTCGTTTGTTTTTCTGTTTTTATGATGGAGGGCTCCTCTCTCTCCTGTATTGGCAGGAGGGGGAGGCAGGTTCCTTGCATAATTTACCGGGCACTGCCTGGTTCAGCCTCTCTCTATTTATGTTATGTGTCAGACTACTGTAGTTTACCTCCTCCTGCTCCAAATATATCATTACTGTTAACATGTTTGACTGCCCAAACTTCATCCAGAGAACCAGTTCTTCAAGAACATGAAGAGGCTTCATGTGGTTAATGAGTCACAGTCATATAAATAACAGTCATGGAGATTAACCATTAAGTTTTGACTTGTTTTGCAATGCAACTGCTTGTTGAGTCAGTTAACCCAGTGGTTCCCAACCAGGGGTTCTGGATCGCCTCTAGGGGTCGCCAAAGCTTCACAGGGGGTTGAGAAAGTAATATTCTATGGATTCATTTTTTTGAATTTCTTGGAAGAACCTTTCAACATGTCAGATCTTTTTCAGAAATTATCATTTTAATCACCGCTCACTTTATAGATTACAGTCTACCATCCTCTAGTGGTAATACATCAGTATTACATTGATGTACAGGGGGGTTGAGAGGCTTTCTTGTAAATATAAAAGGTGGTTTATTAGAAAATGGTTCTGGCAAAGGGTTAGGTTTAGATGGCGTTTACTCAGAGTTGACCTCAGTTCACTGATGGTTTTCTTTTCCAGTAGTGTGACTCTGCTGCTCTTTTCCTAACACCCTGTTCCATTAAAATATCTGGCCCTGTGATAAGGAGTCCTGTCTTCCTGCTTTAACTACATGCTGGGAGTGAGGGAGGGGACAGAGTTGAGGTAAACCAGATGCAGCTCGCCTTCGAGGGCTGGGAAGAATAAATAGATAGAAAATTCTGAATATCTGGAGGATGATGGGAGGGAGCAGAGATTTATGTAATGTGGTAAAAGTAAATGGTTATTTAATCTTGGAAATTGAAAGTAAGAGCATAAGACAGGGAAAGGCGATAAGGAACGTCTGCTTCCTGACAAATTCCTCCACCAAACCCGCCCAACAAAGTTGGTCTATTATACTTTGAACTCTGCTGTGTGGGTCTAGACTCTGTGTAACCTCTGGCTCAAACAGTTCATTAACGGACTGCTCAGACCTACTGGAAACATGTTTATCTGTTACATATTTTTGGTTGTTTCTTTGATGAACTTCCTGAACAACTTCCATGTGAACGCAGATGACTGTGGTAAGTATTCCTTACCTGCTGCGGTCGGAAATGTCCTTTTAATAATTTTTTATAATTGGTGGTGTGCTTTATATAGACACAAATACAGTGTATGTTTTGTTTTTTATTTTTATGTTTAATGTTCTCAGCACTTGTATTTTATCAGATAGACTGAAATTTGCCAGATATTTTTTCGATTACATGCTTCAGATTGAATTAACTTCTCCTCTTTTGTTCTTTCATTTTTTAATGATTTGTGGGCCAAAATTAGTTTTCCTTTCATTATTGTTCAATATGCACTATAGTATAAACATGCATTATATAAGTTAATGTATATTGTACATATTGTTACATAGTATATGACTATTTAATAATGCCTGGCCATGCCAAAAAAGCAATGAATTGAAATTGGACTAAAAGCAGTCACAGTTTTTTTAATCTCTTACCCAATGCTAGCAGCCCACAGTCAATTAATATTTAACATTCAGTGTCTTGAAAAGTTTGAATTGTTGAAACCACTGGAGAGAAGTAGTTTTAAATAAGATAACCTCATTGTATTTATACATTATGATTATGAAACACAATGTAGAATTAAAGTTTTTTTTGGTGAGTGTTTATGCACAAAATAACATGAATTAATGTTTACAGACCATTTAAGGTTAACATACCACTACAGTATATTCTAACTAAGAAATATATAAGAACATAATGAATAAACAAACACTGTTATAAGATACAGTATATAGCACTAATATAACTTTTGGTTTTCTGTATGACATTGTGTGTGAGACTTTTAGATGCTTTAATGGTTTATCTGATTCATAATTTTACACAAAGCTGTTTAAAATCACAACCTTTTATTGTCTTACAGATGAAAACTGTGCAGAAAAACCTGTATTCAGTCCATCCAGACTGGTGGTGAAGTTTGGTGACCCATCCTCTACCATGTGCACCGTCTGTGAGCAATGCACGGCTGTATTTGGTTTGGAAAAATCTCTGGGAAAAAACATAGTAAAAGGAACCACAATTACATGGAAGGCTGACAGTGTGACTGAATGGGAATTACCTCTCATGTGTTACTATGATAATAATTATACCCAGTGTTGTAGCAGGCTGCCTGTAACTGTCTACAGTAAGTAAACTTTGTGTTGAGCGAAATACTGTTGCTATGATGGTTTCAACATTTCTAATCTAAAGTTAAGCAGTTGTTTCCAACCTTTATCTTACTGTGCGTCTCTCTGTTTGTCTCCACAGAGCCTCCAGATAATGTGTCCATCAGCTTTGTTAATCACACTGGGCCAATGTATGAGGGCCGTCAGTACAGTCTGCAGTGTACGGTACAGGGCGTTGCTCCTGTAGGAAATCTCACTGTGACCTTCCACAAAGGACACACAATACTGGGTCAACTAAAATCCAACAACACTACGAGGAAACCAGTGACTGAGATCTTCACTTTAAACATCACCTCCAGTAAATACGACGATGGAGTCCATTACTGGTGTGAATCCAAGCTAGAACTGGGACCAGAAGGACCACAGCCCCCTCCAGTGGTGAAGTCACAGAACATCACTGCCAATGTGTACTGTGAGTCTGGCAACAACTTCACACCCTTGGTTCATAATTTTTGCCTCTAAAAACTCTAAACACCCACTGAAACGTACCTGCCCAGCACCAAAGGGCAGACAGACAGTTAGTGATTAGTTGGTGAACATAGTGGAGCATTTCCCCCAGCAGTTTGTGCAGGCCTAAAAGGAGAGTGAATATTGATCTTTGTACTAAACATTACTAAATTAACATCATGCTTTTGTGGTTTTTTTAAGCACCAACGCACCAAGGCAAATTCCTTGTATGTGTAAAAACTTACTTGGCAATAAACTCAATTCTGATTCTGATGGAAGAAGGCTATAAACTAGCGACTGAGACAATATAGACTATACAAGGCAGTTTGTAACTTTGTTTTGAAAACTACTGTATAAATAAAGTTTATTATTATCATAAACTCATTAGAAAATTATTTAGTAAGGAAATTTAGAGTTCATCACAGCACAGAGACAGCTCTGGTTAAAGTTAATAATGACCTTCTGATTGCTTCTGACAATGGACTTGTCTCTGTACTTGTATTATTAGATCTTAGTGCTGCATTTGACACCATTGACCATAATATTCTTTTACAGAGACTTGAGCATCAAATTGGTATTAAAGGAACCGCACTAAGCTGGTTTAAGTCATATTAATCAGATCGCTCGCAGTTTGTACATGTTAACGATGAATCTTCAATAAATACTACAGTTAGTCATGGAGTTCCACAAGGTTCTGTACTTGGACCAATACTATTTACTTTATATATGCTCCCTTTAGGCAACATTATTAGGAATCACTCCATTAACTTTCACTGTTATGCAGATGATACGCAGTTATATCTATCAATCAAGCCCGATGAAATTAATCAATTATCTAAATTACAAACATGTCTTAAGGACATAAAATCCTGGATGACCTGCAATTTTCTGATGTTAAACTCAGAAAAAAACGAAATTCTTGTTTTTGGCCCCAAAAACCTTAGAGACTCACTGTCTAAAGATATAGTTACTCTAGATGGCATTAACTTGGCCTCTAGCACCACTGTCAGGAATCTTGGAGTTATCTTTGATCAGGATTTGTCATTTAACTCCCACATAAAGCAAACCTCTAGGATTGCCTTCTTTCATTTACGCAATATTACAAAAATTTGAGACATACTATCACAGACAGATGCAGAAAAACTAATCCATGCATTTGTTACTTCAAGGCTGGATTACTGCAACTCTTTATTATCAGGTAGCCCCACTAAGTCCATTAAAACGCTCCACTTAATTCAGAATGCTGCAGCACGAGTACTGACAGGAACTAAAAAAAGAGATCACATCTCTCCTGTACTAGCTTCTCTACATTGGCTCCCTCTAAAATGTAGAATAGAATTTAAAATCCTCCTCCTCACCTATAAAGCTCTTCATGGTCAGGCCCCTTCATATCTTAAAGAGCTCATAGTACCCTATTACCCCACTAGAACACTACGTTCTCTGAATGCTGGGCTACTTGTGGTTCCTATAGTCTCTAAAAGTAGAACAGGAGCCAGAGCCTTCAGTTACCAAGCTCCTCTCCTGTGGAACCAGCTTCCAGTTGTGGTTCGGGAGGCAGACACCCTCACCACATTCAAGAGTAGGCTTAAGACATTCCTCTTTGATAAAGGTTATAGTTAGGGCTGGATCAGGTGAGTCCTGAACCATCCCTTAGTTATGCTGCTATAGGCCTAGACTATTGGGGGATTTCCCATGGTGCACTGAGCTCCTCCCTTCCTCTCTCTTTCTGCACTCATTCATGTTCCATTAATGCATGTTACTAACTCCACTTCTTCCCTGGAGTTCTTGTGCTTTCTCGTCTCGCAGGTTCGTATCGATCCTGGTGGAGCCTCCTGCCATGGTCCTGCTAGATTGCCATTGCCAATACTGTTGTTGTTGTGCACCTGTCTGTCTGTCTGTGTCTCTCTCTCTCTCTCTCTCTCTCTCTCTCTCTCTCTCTCTCTCTCTCTCTCACCCCAACTGGTCGAGACAGACGACCACCCACCTAGAGCCGGAGGATCTGTCCTAGGTTTCTGCCTTTTAACAGGCAGTTTTTCCTTGCCCTTGTCACCAAGTGCTTGCTCATGGTGGTACTGTTGGGTCTCTGTAATTAATGTTAAGGAGTTCGGTCTAGACCTGCTCTATTTGAAAAGTGCCCTGAGATAACTTCTGTTATGAATTGGCGCTATACAAATAAAATTGAATTGAATTGAATTGAAATCATGTGAGAAGTGGGATCATTTTGCCATAAGACTCAATACTTTCAAGCTTCTTTTTGGCAGCCCATGGAGCTGCTGGCTGCTGGCCATTAGAAAGAATGCAGGTTTAAGTCAAATTGAAGCTCTGTCCGTAAAAATACATACTACTTCATACTACACTGTAAAAATACTCTTTACAAGTGCTGACGTTTTAGAGGACTGCTCCTTTTACAGAGTTAACTTACTGCAAGTTACTGCTGCTGTGCACCTTTGTCTCTCTCTGTCTGTCTGTCTGTCTGTCTCTCTCTCTCTCTCTCTCTCTCTCTCTCTCTCTCTCCTTAACTGGTCGAGGCAGACAACCACCCACCAAGAGCAGGGGTCTGTCCGAGGTTTCTACCTCTTAAAAGGAAGTTTTTCCTTGCTGCTGTCGCCAATTGCTTGCTCATGGGGGGAACTGCTGGGTCTCTGTAAATAATTTTATAAGGAGTATGGTCTAGACCTTCTCCATTTGAAAAGTGTCCTGAGATAACTTCTGTTATGAATTGGCGCTATACAAATAAAATTGAATTGAATGGAATTGAATAATATAATATATTATTCTAATATTGAATTATAATTACTGATGCATTACATGTACAAATTGCTTTAATGTAAATTTCAGACATTTCAAACAGTTGACAGTTTAGTACATATGCAGTATATATATATATATATATATATATATATATATATATATATACAGTGAGATATGGCTTTGCTGATTTTTTTTTAACCAACACTACACAGTGTAAAACAAAACAGTTCTGTATGCACTGACCAGTTCACTCACTCCAGCTCCAACAACCCCATCCCCTAGGCCCGTCCCTGACAATCAAATTTACCCTCAGGATGAATTTTCATAACTTTTGTGATCCATAAAAAGTTCCATCTAGCACCATCATGAGGTCAAATGTTTAAATTAGTCCAATTCTTTTTTTTTTTTTTTTTTTTTTTTTTTAGGAATACCTGTAAAATTAAATACAGACTCACTGAGGACAACTTTAAGACTCATAACAGTAACTCCTAACACATCGCTCCCAGTTTGTTACAGTATCTGAGTAAATGTCCCTTTGTTTGTGAATATAACCTCCATCTGCACTGTCGCCAAGTGCTTGCTCATGGTGGGAACTGTTGGGTCCTGAGGTAACCTTCGTTATCTTTTGAAATACAATCACACAGTTAGCAGGAAAGTGAATCACTGAACACGTTTGACATCATGAAGCAAGCAGATTGTGGCTGATAATATTGGTCTCATGTTTCTTTTTTTCTTTTACCCATACCCCTCTCCCAACCCTATGCAGTCAACTACATCGGATACATTATAGCAGCGATACTATGTGCTGTTGTGGCCGTCCTCATCGGGGCAGTGGTATACATCCGTTACAGAAGGAAACGAGACAGAACAACCTGAGGGATATTTTCTGTTGTCAGGAAGGACGCTCTGCTGAGTCCACTGTAGTGTAAGTCTGTGTTAAAGCATCAAATGTGTATGAAACTGTTGAAATCATGTAATATAATGTAGTTGTTACATCAAGTTTTATAACCTATGCTAAAGTAGTTTATATGCTGTTATATAGGTTGTGTAGTAAAGTACAAACCGTTTGTTATTTTTCGTTTCTCACATTATGAATATTTAATGGAAACATTAAACATGTAAGCAATTGCACACAGTAGTTTTATCCATAACAATGCATCTAAGCATGTATATTTTGTATAAAATCTTAATCTGTAAAGTAGTAAATGAATTGTAGAGGAGTAGAAGTAGAATACCATTAAATAGAAATACTTAAATACCACAAATTTGTAAACAGTATTTGAATAAATCATAGTTTTGTATTTTACGTTTGTTTTTGTATTGTTTAAAAATGTGTAAACCATTTAGTGTTTATAGTTTCAGTTTTAGTTTTAAGGTTTTTGTGGAAACAAAATAATGTGTAAGAAGAAGATGTAAGAAGTTCAGAATAGGTATTACAATATGAACACACAAACATATGCACTAATGCCTCCTCATGATTTTTGTGTTGACAAATTTGCCCAGACTGACCGACTCAAGACATTTCCTGTATATTCTTATTTTATTTCAGTACATTTTGTAAATACACAATACTGTTAGTTAGTATTTGTTCAATTCTTATTTTTGTTTCAGTTTACTAAATTTTTTTCATAACTTTGACTGGGAGGAACAATGGCCTGACAAATTTCCAGTTGTTGTTTGTTTATCTCCGAGTTCTCCAAGTTCCTCCTATAGTCCGACGACACTCAGGTTAGGTGGAAACTGTAATTACTTTTCTTTCCTTGTAAATATTTCATGATGATTCACATGAACAAGTTAATTGTATTATCAGGATGATATCACCCATCAGTGATAAAACTTTAGTATTGCATTAAAGGGTTTCAAGTGAAAATATGATGTATGTGCACATTAGATACTGTATGCCTGTAGTGTGGTTCTGAATCAAGAAATTAAAACTTCATTTTATTATTTTAATGAATTTCTGATGTACATGACATAACATACCAAAAAACACAATTATGGCAACAACATTTATTAGCACTTTTTAAACAGTGTTTTTAGCTGCGTGGCTCTGGGAATGTCTGTAGGTCAAAAATATGTCAACAACTACTGGATTGATTACCATGACATTTGGTGCAGATATTCATAATTTCCAATGAACGCCACCGTGACGGTGAAATATCTCAACATCTGCTTGATGGGTTAGCACAAAATTTGGTGCAAACATTAATGTCCGCCTCAGAATTAGCTGTAAGAGTTCATTGTGACGATCCCTTTAACTTTTCATCTAGCATCACCATCTATTAATGCCTGATACCTGCAATACTAATGACATTCCCATTAGCCTCAGCTGTACTTTCTGTCCCTAATTAGTGCTAATTAACAAATGTCATCACGCTACACTAAGATCAGAAAACATAGTAAACATTATACCTGCTAAACATCAGCATCAATAAAATACAGTATGTTGTGTGAAAATGCATAATAGAAAGCAAAAATCATGTACATACTATGCATGTACAAGTTAATGACCTCTAGAGGTTAAATGCCAGTATTACATTGTAAAAAGTAAGCTTTCTCACACTGTATTTAGAAAATCGATTGTATCGACATCAGATTTGAGGACCTTCTATTGCCCAGTTATATATTTTTTGTGGCAGAAATATTACATGCTGTTGTTGTGGAAATAAACCTCATCTTGCATTTTCCAGGAATGAACTCAGACTAGAGCAGAGAATAAAAGCATACAACACATTATGAACCTGTGAATCAGAATGCTGCTCGTACTCTTGCTCGATGCCGTTGTTGTTGCCTGTGTGGTTGTTGACGGCAGTCTGGTTGAGGGTAACATCCGATCTGTGGACAAAAAAAAAGAGACAAACACACAATAATGTGATGCATATAATTCAGTAGTATTCTGAGATTTCTTTTCCTAGGATGGCGAAGACATGATATACAGTAGCTGATAGTAGGCGGAGAGAAGGAATGAGTAGTTCACTCAAAATGCATAATTTTGTGTAGCTGTCTCACTCTATTGTCTGTGGGACACTCATGCACTTCTTCTGTGTCTAATGTTAATATCGTGGTGATCATTACTGCCTGAAGTAAAGCTGCAGAAGTTCAGTGACAATGTGCAAATACTACTAGCCCATTTGTTGGAGAACTGAGGGATTTGAACCCATGTCCGCTGCAGCAAGGACTCAGTCTTTCTACACGGGGTGCCAGCTGTACCAGGTGAGCTATCCAAGCACCCCAAACTTTATGAACTCTTACTCCGATTCATTTTACTCTTTATTTTATCACCTACTAGCTCATCTTGTGTTTGAATTCTTTAATGTCTTTTTCTTTTGTCTTTGCGCACTAATTTTCCATCCAACACTTGGTATATACCCACATGTTCAATTTTCCTCATCTTGCTCTGAACATAGTCATTGAAAAATCAAATGAGAGTGAAATACAAACAGTAAAATAAGTTTTATTTTATTTTTATTTATTTTATCACATCATTGGAGGTTAAAGGTGAAGGTATTAAGCTTTGTAAATCTTTTTACACGCCACTAAATTATGTAACAGTATCATTTATTGGTGTATATATATTTTGACTTTTGTCAGCTTTGGGCTCTCTAGATGATTATTTAAATCACAATATGGCAATTTCCAAATCACAAGAAGCTGCAATTTTTTGATAAAGGTAAAATGTGACAAACAGCATTATAATGAAGTACAGAAGAACAGCAGAGATGCCCTGGCTTACAACTCTTGTTCTCCTGATTGAAGAAAACATGTTTGTTTGGTACAGACCCCAGAAAATGTCACATCATCAAAAATCTAATGAAAACTGTAATAATTCCCACACTAATCCTGAATCATATCACAATATCTGTCAAGATAATCGTAATATGCTTTTGTTTAACTCATATACGGAGTTGCTGCAGTGGCTCAGGTTCGATTCTGACCTGCGGCCCTTTGCTGCGTGTCATCCCCTCGCTCTCTACCCATCTTTCCTGTTGATCTTCAGCTGTCTCTATCCAATAAAGGCATGAAAAGGCCAAAATAATAACTTTTAAAAAAAACATTAAGCACATACTATAACTACTATAATGAAATCAGCATTTAGCAATTTGAACTATTGATATTTACTAGTGTTGTTGATTGATTCAGGTTCAAATCTGGACATTTTAGTGGAAAGTATTTGAATTCTACATATTTTGTTATAAAAATTTAAAACTGCTGGTTGGTGTTACCTCCTGTAGCCACATGGCCACGCCCCCTACATGATCCTCTGTACTGCATTTTTAATTTAATTTGCAGGGAGGGAGGGAGGTAGCAGAAAACAGAGGTTTAGTTACACTTGGTGGACTCAAAGGTTTAGGTAAAAGGAAAAATAGAACAGTTTGAACTCACCTTTGACAACCACCGTGGACGTCATAGTGAGAGTAGCCAAATGGTTGCTGACAGAACAGGTGTAGTTCCCTCCATCTGCAGGAGTTGCAGATTTGAAAAAGAGCATGCTGTTGTTGCCGGAGGGGGAAGGGGTATCTGACGGGCCCGTCCAGGTGTATGAGGGACTTGGGTTTCCTACAGATGAGCAGTCCAGAAGTAAAGACTCTCCCTCTGTGATGGTGATTTGATAAGGAGGTGGTGGCCGAACTAGGCGAGGCTTATCTGAAGGAAAGAGAAGAGAGAGAGAGAAACACAGAACCTCATCATCATAATCATTAATGCAAAAAGCAAGCACTGTAGAACAGATGGTCATCAAAGAAATAGTCTCACATTTGAGGAAATAAACTTATTCTAGGTCTAGTGCGTTCGGTTTTATTGAAGGGGGGGTCCGAGCTCAAACTGCATGGAAGGCCGTTTTAGTCAATATTAAATACATCATTCATAAATAGGTCTATCAAATAAATCCTGAAATAAACAAATATGGCAATATTTATATAAATAAATGTCAATATAAATATAAATAAATGTCAATATAAATATATATAATGTCAATATAGCTCAATAATTTAATAAATAAATAGGTTTTCATTTAAAAAAGGACCTCTTCAAAATACTCTTTAAAAATACCTTTATTTCCTAATGTCTATTTTATTTCCAGGGTATGAAAATAAGGTGGCCGTGGTTATTCCACAGAGATAAAAGGTGAAAACTTATTAATATGACTGTCTGCTGCTAGAGCTGTGGGTTATTATTATAGCTGTGATTAACATGATATACGGGCATTGCTGTTGCTGTGATTAACAAGGCTGTGCTTTTAAAGTGTAAAATATCTTATCTTATTAGTTTTGTTTGTGTATCTGTTGTTTTTTGTTTTTTTTTATGTCTGTTTGTTGTAATATCTCACATAAAATGTCTACCTTTGTCACAGTCGTCTCTTTAAAGGGCCAGTGTGTAACATTTAGGAGGATCTAGTGGCAGAAAGGGAAAATAATATGTATAGGTCTGTTTTCATTAATGTTTAATCACCTGAATATAGAAATTGTTGTGTTTTCTTACTGTGGGTCGCCTTCTGTATTTGTTATAATATCTATTTTATGTACATATTGGAGGTGCTGGCAGGAAGACAGAACCAGAACTATTAATTTAAAACAAAAGAAACGACAAGATGTTGATGAAAAGCTACAGTTGTTAATCTATTTAAGATTTTGGCTTTATGCAACATTGAGGTGTGTTGATTTTTATGTTGCCAGACTCACAGTACACAGTGGCAGTGATGTTCTGTGACTTCACCACTGGAGGGGACTGTGGTCCTCCTGGTCCCAGTTCTAGCTTGGCTTCACACCAGTACTGGAGTCCATCATCTTCTTTACTGAGGGTGATGTTTAAAGGGAAGATCTCAGCCACTGGTTTCCTTGTTGTCTTGTTGGATTGTAGTTGACCCAGTATTGTGTGTTCTCTGTAGAAGGTCACAGTGAGGTTTTCAACAGGAGCAACGTCCTGTACCGTACACTGCAGAGTGTACTGACGGCCCTCATACATTGGCCCAGTGTGATCAACAAAGCGGATGGACACATTTTCTGGAGGCTCTGTGGAGACAAACAGAGAGACATGTAGAGCAGTGCTCCTTAAATTAAGGATACTCCTAGTAATTTGCAGTAGTGCAGGGGGTACTCAACCTTTTTACTGTTTTTAACTGTAGTTAAAAAAGATCAGTCATGTATAATTCCCAAAAAAATTATACTATAAGTTCAATAAAAATGTAAATGTGATTCAACTGCCATAAACTGTCAGAAGAGTTTGATCACTGCAGTTGCCTACCTGCCACAGACAAACCTGACAAACATCATCAGTAAAGCACAAACTCATCAAAGAGACGCAGTTCAGTGCAACTTCAATGCTGTCTTAGTGTCATTACATGATGAAATTGGCTTGCAGTGATTTAGTGATGCATTCAAAACATTTGAAATTAAGCATTTAAGTGTTTTTCTGAACCTCTTTATACAGACATTTTTCTTCTAGTAAGATAAACAACAACTTAGCTTTAGATTAGAAATTATTAAACCATCATAGCAACAGTATTTTGCTCAACACAAAGTTTACTTACTGTACACAGTTACAAGCAGCCTGGTACAACACTGGGTATCATTCTGCTGCACATCCTCATAATAGCACATGAGAGGTAAGTCCCATTCAGTCACACTGCCAGCCTGCCATGTAATTGTGGTTCCATTTACTGTATTATTTCCCACAGAATTTTCAAAACCAAATTCATTCGTGCATTTCTCACAGACGGTGCACGTGGTAGAGGATGGGTCACCAAACATCAGCACCAGTCTGGATGGACTGAAAACGGGTTTTTCTGCACAGTTTTCATCTGTAACACAATCATTAATATTGATTTAAAACAGCATTGTGTAGAATAAGAAATCAAACACAAGCTGTCATTCGGCACAATCAGAGCTATTGTTGCATTAAACTTTGCTTTTGTTTGTTCTCATGTACATATTTTCTTGCAGACACTGGGGCGTATGAGCACAAATGAACACACTGACTAAAATAAGTGATTAAGAGTAATAATCATTTTGTAGTACATACACAACTGTGGATCACTGTAACTAAACAACACCCATACAAAAATAATATTAATAGATTCTACTTTTACACAATGCATTAATGTTGCATGTTTTTATTTATTCAAGATATTTGCTAGTTTCTGATCAATTGAACAATAACACTAATTATAATAACTAAGATATAACTGTATTTGTCTACATTACAAGGACACAGATACTATACATAGAAGGATATATGCCCAAAATGAATCACAAAAAGTTAAAACAGTAAAATTTTGTTCAAAAAGGCACATTTGGAAAATGGAAAATCATAATAAATCATAATAAAGTACAGATAGAAAACTCTTCACGTACCACAATCGAATACGCCACGCAGAAAACCCATCAAAGAAACAACCAGAAGAATGAAATGGAAAAACATTATTCCCAGTTATTCTTTGGTGAGAGAAATAAAAAGAATCGTTGAACGCAAAACCCAAAGGTGGTCAGAAAGGGAATGAGTCCACTCCTTTCCTTGATTTTCTATTGTAGTCCAACAATGTTGGCAGTGCTGCCTGTTTTCGAACCACACATCCTCTCTGCGTTTGTTCGCAGTCATGTTTTCAAAGCTCGATGAAAGTGAAAGTGAGGCATTGTCTCCAGAGGGGGTCCCACTTTATACACCCCCCTACCCACACCGGCCCCCATTCATTTCAAAATGACTTCACTCACTGTACTGACTGCTCTGACTCTTGTCTTATTGAAGCCTAATAGGGAAAGAAATATAACTCTAAAATAGATCAGTTTTTATTTAATATAAATACATCTAAATTGTAGCTTTTGGATTTGATTCAAAGCAAACACTGGCACTAGATAGATAGTTTTTTTTTTTGCCTGTTTTTCTGGGTTGGGGGAAGTGACTGCAAGATGCCACTAAATTCTACACACTGTAATTACAGTCGTTAAAAAGTGGGTTGTTGTTTTCCAACTGCTACCACGGCCCTTTATACAAACTAGATGTTACAAATCAGGGAGAACAACTTGACACACACAAAATCCACAAGCACAAGCACGAGGAATACAAGACAAAACTCAAATGAAAGAAATCTATATTCTAGTGCTTCAATTCAGTATTTAAAGTAAAATAAAGAGAGCACACTCCAAAAACTCCACTCACCTCCATTACAGCCTATCGGGGTGGTGAATTTGGGTTTAGGTTTTTTCCTGATTGCAAAACAAAATGTAAACTATGCATTACTATCATACGATGGTGTATCTGTACTTGGGTAAACCCCCGTGCCATTGATCTAAGGAAATGCACGGATGCATGCCCACAGATGACAGGCTTGGAGATAGCACAGAAGGAATTTGCCCCACCCTCCAGCTTTTGCCAAGCTTCAGACCACCACTGACACTGACACACTGTTACCACACACCAGAATTATTATGGTTTTATCATTTGTTTTTTATTTCTGCTGCTGTTTTTATTATAATTTTAGCTTTTATAGTTGAGTTTTTATTAGTTTCAGGATTAGTTTTTACTCTTCTTATTATTATATGGGGGTTATTTGTCAGGGGCAAGATTAAGTTCAGAATAGGTACAAACACATTGAACCACAGTCTCTATGCAACAATGCCTCTTCATGCTTGTTGTGTTTCCACAAGACATTTCCTGTATATTTGTTTTTTATTTTAGTTTTGTAAGTACACAATATCATTTCTATTCATCTTTCAATTCAGTGTAGTTTTTATTTCAATAAACAAAGAATATTTCTTTCACTTTTAATTTAGTTTAAGTTAACTTTTAATAACCTCACCACACACATATTCAGACTCAACAATCTGCAGTCATAATATTTGTTGGTCTAGGTGGTCCACATACGAGAAACAAAACTGAACATTTTGTCGGGGAAGTGTTGGAAACGGATCTCACTGCAGAGCTGTAGGCAATTGTTCCTCAACTTCCCGGGGATTTTTATCTTTCCTGAGATCCCTCCCATGATTGGACGCATTCGAATACCACATACAAGTCTGTCATTTACCTTATTTTCTCTAACCATATTACATTCCGTCTCTCTCTCTCTCTCTCTCTCTCTCAAGTTTATAAGCAAAGGCAGGCAGAACGCCATATCACAGGAGCAATCTCTGAGATATTTTAATGACGCTGAAAGAGCAGCAACACAATCAGAAATGTCAGAGATGTCATACAGAGTCTGACTTCAACTGATTTTAAAAGTGTTTAGAGAATTGTAGGATTGTGTATGTCAGTGATTACAAAACCATCTGAACTAATACATCAGGCTACCAGCAACACAACATCCTGAGTTGCACATTAGGGAAATGACCCTTTAAAAGCGGACTCAAGCCACACAATGTAAACTCTTTCTTTGGCCGAGCTGGTCCTACTCCTTTGACTCCTACTTCCTTTTTCCTTTCAAAAAGCATCATTAGGCAGTACAAATGGATGTACAATGCAATGAGAGAGAAAAAAGGTTGAATTAAAAAACAAACAGGGGTAATTCAGTATTTTGTACCAGAAATATAGTATATTTAATATATATTGCATCATTTTAATTATCCTGCATTAAAATATTACATATATATTGTCATTTCTCATTTCATTTAAATCTGTTGGCTGTTTGTAATTGCAACAGTCTTTTTATATTGATTCAAGTGGTAGTTTTATTACTCAGGCCAAGTGTTATATTGCTATGCTAATGAAGACTGCTTGTCAAACTGCATAAATATGTGTTTTATTGCAGTAATTGAGATTACAAAACACAGCTGATGAAGTTGCAAAGGTGTTTTCAATGAAATCTATGACAAGGGCAATATAGTATACATATACATCTAGTACACAGTGTTTATTATTATTTCCCTACTCTTTTTTTTATTGCTACTCGTTCATTTATACTGTTTTCTCTCTATCCACTTTGTTGCTGTTACATTGGAATTTCCCCATTGTGGGACAAATAAAGGAATATCTATCCATCTATCTATCTATCTATCTATCTATCTATCTATCTATCTATCTATCTATCTATCTATCTATCTATCTATCTATCTATCTCCCATTCACCTGTTCCCTCTTCATAATGGCTTGCCCTTTCTTGGAGGATGTACTGGATGAGGAAGCCCTAATCCTCAGACGAGCATTTAGTCATGAAAGAGTCTTCTGGGACAGGTCAGACCCATTGGCCGTTGGAGATGACTATCTCATTGAGAGATACAGATTCTCAGGTGATGGACTAAGATATTTATGTAGGCTGCTGGGTCCAAAAATACAGCACCAGATGGCAGGAAGCCATGCTCTCACTGTACCACAGATGGTCTGTGTTACATTGAGATGGTTTGCAAGTAGGAGCTTCCTTTATTCTGTTGGGGATGCAGAGAACCTCAATAAAGGAACCATTTACAGCACATATCCTGGCTTGGTGGGCCGCCCCCTGTGCCAGTTCTATGGGCTTTTTTTTTAACTGCTACAATCATACAGACATTCAACATGTCAGCAGACACCTAATCTATTCACCTCATTTATTCACCATTATCTACTTTAGAGTCACTTTCCAGCCTGCAAAATGTTCTTGTATTTAACTTTTTTAACATTTTTAATGTAACTTGCCGCAAGGTCTTTTTATGGACAGACAAGTTTGTTCTTTATCAATTGTTTGCACTTAATCATACTTTACATTTCCTGAGTAACATGCACCTCTACTTGCCACATTTAAAGCAAAGTGTACAACAGTTGATTAGTGGACTTAAAGTAACTCCTTTAGTCCTTTAATTGTGGCCTAATTATGACAGTTCCAGTGGAGCACTGTTTATTCATTGTAGTTTTGGACTACTTAAGCATTAAGCCAGTCCGCTATTGTCTGCCAGGCTTTCTCTCTTTCTTTAATTATGGCATTGGTATTGCCTTTTTCCTTTTATATATCTTTCACCTCTTCATAGAACTCCTTCAGGAGCTGTTGTTCAGCGGCCGTGAAATATGAAGTGCGACTCTTATCCATGTTCCCGTCGGTGATTCTGTGAGCGATCGCGAGGTCTATTTCAGTATGCCGTGAACACGCACTTATCCCGACTATCTACACTCGGCTTAACATAGCCGCACCTTTTAATCCTGGCTCGGCAAACGTGCAACCAATTACGGCAAGATGCGCCGAGCAGACTAGGTCAAGCCGCGCTGCACAATTATCCTGGATTTCTTTATTCTACTTTTGTGCAATACCCCTCATGTGCAACTGCTGCTGCTGCTAATATTTGTGTTATCTGTTGTGCATTCTTACTGCATAGTGTTTTTATTGATTATTTCCCCACTCTTACTGTTTTTTGTTTTTTTTTCTCTATCCACTTTGCGGCTGTAATATTGGAATTTCCCCATTGTGGGACAAATAAAGGAATATCTATCTATCTTTATTTCCATTTTCAAGGAGTATCTACGAGAAAGTGACGCAGCTACACACAACCAGAGAGGGAACAGTAAAGGGAGAAATATAAAAACAAAAATGCTTGAAGCAGTTTGGCTTCACCCTGTTGCATTCATGTTACAGTAAGATATTTGGCTCCTTGAGAAAATACAATAAGGAAACATAAATAAATAATTATTGTTCCTTTAATTCTTAACCAAATAGGGTGGCAGAGCTTTAACACATTGTACCCATTTGCCCCAGTGTTGTATGAAGATAAATTTAAAAAGAGCAAATATAAACAGGTGAGAAATTTGAAAGAAACCCAGCACGAGGAAATTCATATCACCTCCTAAATCTTAAAGTTCAACAATCGACCAGAGACGGCTTTCCGGCATTCGATTTCTCAGGAAAGCGGAGCAGTGTGATACAGTGTAAAGTGGAGAAAAGTTTGTTCTTGTTACTGTAGTTTGTAACAAAATATTACTACTCAACATACTCATTTATCTGTGAGACAAAGATAAGTCAAGAATGTAATGTAATGCATTTTTATTAATAATTTTACAAATACAACAACACAAAACTACATTTAATTTTAAGACAAAAAAAAAAAAATCCACAAAGAAAGAAATGTACAAAGAAATCTTGTTCTGTAAAACCAGAAGTAAAGTCTGTCAAAGAACCTGACATGAAACTTTTTAAAATTTTATCACAGCAGTCTGATGGGTGCTCAACTTAAGGGCCTGAACTTCAAAAGCCTTATAATGTACCGAATGAAATACCAGGTCTAGGCAGGTAAGGCCATGATCACTCCTATGGTAGACAATAGTTCCAGTGGCGCTCGTTGGGTAACACCTGACTGAGCCGCAGGCAGCAGCTGATGGTGGGCTCGTAAAACACTTTGTCTGGCTCCTCAATCTTGATTGTTGTCTCACTTCTTGTCTGATTCACGGGGCGGGAGAACAGCGAGCTCTTAGGTGCTTTAACCAGAGTTCTCTTTGTTACGCAGCCCATTTCTATGAGCGCCTGTGGAAGAGACAAGGAGGGTAAAATATCCAGAGATAACGTTTTAAAAGCTTACTTTTAGTGTTTTCAGTGTATTGTGCATTGTTAAAGAAGATGTAAATCACTTAAAAAGGTCCAGTGTGTAACATTTAGGAGGATCTATTGGTAGAAATAGAATATAATATTCATAGGTTTGTTTTCATTA